AAAAAATATTTCTTCTTTCCCATTGATTATAATTATTACTATTCGTCGCCAGGAGTGAAATATATAGAGTATCTACAGAAATAAATCTTGCGACTTTCAGCGCAATATTATAAGTTATTTTAAACCTAACTATGCATATAAGCATGTATTTAGTAGCATTAAACAAAACATTATAATATATCACCATTATAAATACCAATAATTTAATTTACCTTAATAAAATTAGCCTATATCAGTCTCCAGCATATAAACTCTACTTCGATACAAAATCACGTTTATTCATTGCTCTGTAGCTACACGATGGAAAGACAAACACATAATATTTGTAAGGATAGTTGTCTTAAATTATTATTTTTTCATATAGTTATCGAACGACAAGAATCAAACTTAAGTGCTTTAATATCCATATCATAAATGCATACACCCATTAGTGATAAGAACAAATATAGAATCAGTCAGTAAAATCTATTACGTGTAAAGTTATATGCAGAATACGCAAAGGAATGTACAGACAATATTTAGCTTTGTTTTACGAGAATTCGATCAGACCTTTGTATGCATAAAATATAAAAATGTGACAAGTAAACTGAATACCTTATACGGTGGAATAAGAAACCAATTTTGGTGAAATCGTTACATACTAACTTTCGCCCGAGGCTTCTATCACGTAAGTTCTGAATTATTTTTATAGGTTTTCTAAATAACTACCTAACATCACATTTATTAATATCGAGATAAAAACTTTTTAACAAAAAATAAAAACCGACTTCTAGGCACTAAAATGTAAAAAAAAACGGAGGTTTTTATTTAGAATAGATACCTAATCAGATATTTTCGAAGTCGGTGCCAGCCGATGCAAAGCAAATCTAATATATTTCGATACGTAAAATACATATTTACCTATTAGATATTCATATCTTAAAATATTGTAGGCTGGCACCGACTTCGAAAATATCTGATTAGGTATCTATTCTAAATGAAAACCTCCGTTTAGTTATTTTTTACATTTTAGTAGGAAGAAGTGGAAGTCGGTTTTCATTTTTTGTTAAAAAGTTTTTATTTTTCCATTTTTAGTGCAGACGAAGACGAAGCAGGTAATTTATAAGAAGAAAGTTTTTTAATAACATATTTGATTAAGCAATTTATTTAAAAAAATATATTTATTGTTGATTTTTAAAAAAACCGCTGTACCGATTTCGATAAAATTTATATGGGAAACAAAAAAACAAAAAAAAATTCCAAATCGGTTCAGGCGTCTTCGAGTAATCAGTGAACATACATAAAAGAAAAGATTCCGACGAATTGATAACCTCCTCCTTTTTGGAAGTCGGTTAAAAAAGAGCGATATAACAGTATTACTAAAGCTACAGGTTTCAGCGTTTCTATATGACAGTAAACAAAATCTATGGATGATTGATGATGATGGATCATTTCAGAATAAGCAGGTATGTTAGGCAACGAATAAGCTCAAAAAATATCGAACTCTATTAGAATTTTCTCGTCTTACAAATAAAATTTCATGCAATAAAAGCAAATAAACAACAACAACAAGTCAAAACTTTTCTTGTACATTTTACTATTTTTATTTAAAGCCATATAAATAGAATATGCATATATTTTAAAGTGTATTGAATAAAAAAACAACTGAATACAAAAAATAAGGACTTTAAAACAACTGCCATTAGAAAGTATGTATATATCGATACATGCCAAAGCGTATGTATGTTGTGCAAAAAATGGTGTAACATTTGCCGTTTAGGCGATTGACTTCCGATCGGACGTGTTGAATTTGCCGGTAACAACGTGTGTATGCATGTTATTTTCTCACGTGACCGTACACGTGATCCATATATAAAATACAAAATGATAAAATCGCTCCTGGCTAGGTATAACTAAAGTATTTTATTAAATTAATCTATATAAGCACAAATAGATCTATCCCACGGGAACCGTTCATTTTTCCGGGATAAAAAGTAACATGTTGTTTGACTGACAATATAAGGTATCAGCATGCCAAATTTTACTAAATTAGGTGCATAAGTTGTTGTGTACTAAGCTGTATAAATTATTATAGTTTTTTAACTATCCTACGGGAACTCTTTAATTTTCCGGGATAAAAAATATCTAAGATGTTGCCCGGGGATATAAGTACTACCATGCAAAATTTCATTTAATTCGGTCAAATAGATTCGAAGATTAGCCAGTATAAACAGACAAACAGATAAACAGACAGAGAAACAAAAAAATATAAAAAAAATCTGTATTTGTTCTATTTCTCTTCTTACATTCCCCCTGACTCGCTTTTTAGCATTTTTTTCTATGTACAGACATTCGACCTCTACAGTTTTATTATAGTAAAGATCTAAGTTTAATATTGTAATCACTAACAGGGTCATCATCGCTAAATTTATATTATAACTATATACAATCAAAATCAAATCCATACTTATTGAGCAATATCTAATTTAAACTTTACTCATACTGATATTTGGTACGTTTCGCAAAAAAGCAATTGAGAACGACATTAATTTTGTATGAAGGTAGACTTTACGAAAAACTGATACGTTTAAAAGGCGTTTCAAAACCGGCCAGAGTGTGTATTGACCTAAAAATGTAAGTATATAAGAGTTGAAATATTGAACAATTTTAATGTTAATGTTAATCTGACCTTAATTGTTGGCGTTCGACGGTCGTAGCTCCAGGTGGCATGCATATACTCGTATCTAAGATTAGTACAGCCTACTACAGTGAAGTATGACCTCAAACATAATATTAGGTTCGATTTCCGCGTAGGTTAATATTTGTATTAATCATATAAATATTTTCCCAGTCTGTCTAATCGAAGCACTAAGTATATACCTCTACCAGCACATATTCACGATATGCTATTAGTTTGTCTATACCTACTCCATAAGAGTAAAATACTAAAGATAAGACAGAATAATTTAAATATAAATGTGACCATTAATTTTACAGTTAGGTAAATAGAAATGTGCAGTTTGTGTTGTCTGTTTACGAAATACGTAATAAAAATCCGGTATTTTTATTTTCCCTTAAAATATTATTGTTCCAATTAGAATTACTTCCCACGTAAACCATTTCATTTGGGTTACGCATACCTGTAAAAGGTTGGCAACCTTGCGCGACGCACGATTACGTCAGGCTGCTTTCATCGCGTGAGAACCTTCGCGGCTTACAGAGTGCATCACTTTCGATGTTTCCGGGGATTTTTATTTACCTATATATTGTTTATAATAGAATACTAGCGAAAAAAATCATTTTTATTTTTCTATTTATATTTTTTTTAAATAAACATAATACATACATACAGATAAAAATAAAAATAGATAGATAGAAATTATATTATTTTCTGTTCATTTAGAAATTTCAATTAATTTTTACAAGAGATTAATTATTGTAAAATTTATAGTTGTTTAGGTTTACGACTAAAAACGCCTATAATATATATTTTACACTCTTTACTATTCCGTTGCTTTTGTAGACTTTTACAAGTATTTTATTTACGCTTTTTTATGTATGCGTAATTATCTCATACATATTGATTTATTTCATAACAAAGATATCATTAACGTAAATAACTTTATTACTTTTGACTTACATATGTAAATGTATATATATATATATATATATATATATATATATATATATATTATATTAGGTTGCCTTTTTGATTGTGCTGTTAATTTCCGGAAAGACTGATCTAATATTAACTAAAATTTATTGATGTGAACCGTGGTCCGGTAGTATAATTTCATTTATAAAATATTTATACTTTAATTTTTAAAAGGCAACAACTTTTCACGGTCAATTAAATATGTAATAAAAATATATAGAAACAATTTGATTTACTTATATAGCACATTGAAATAGATAAACAAGACCTACAAGGTAACTTTTGTGCGTGCAATGCGGATTTGCACATTTTATAAACCCACACAATGTGGGCGGCGCCCACAAGCTCGAAGGACCGTAGTCCAATGAATCTGGAACCTCATGTATTTAGAATTACCTGTATACCTATCGTAATAACCCATTACAACTATATAATAATTATTAGACGCCCACTTATCACAAATCAAATATCACGACAGTTATTAGTAAGCTACCATATCATAATATTTTTTTCATTGAAAATAAAATTAATTAAAATTATTTCTAAATAATACATAGTTAGTTTCACATATAAAAACTGTTACATGTACGCGGAAGTTAGCATCCATATATCTGTAGATCATGAGAGAAATTCTATGCATGTTTAACGGTACCCTAACCCTATCTGATGCTCGTGCTTCGGGTACATGACTTATCGGATCATTGTTCGCATAAAGGTCAGTGAATTTACATTAAACAAATAACTACTAAGGATATTACTGAAAGCAATGAAGAAATAAACTTAAAATAAATAAAATAAAAGACCTCCCGACCGACTTCGGTCACGACGGCCAGTCTCATTGAGACTAGCCATCTGCGCAGGAGATATTACAGTGCATAAGTATGCGCGTAGATACAAGTGCACTCTCTATTCCTATCACTCTCATACTCCGGTGGGACGACTACTCGACACGACCGGTGAGAGTAAAGGCACAGGACCGACGGCTTTACGTACTCTCCGAAGCACGGGGGTGAAACACCGCCAACTTCCCAACTCCGGGCTGTTACTGAGACTTACTAAACAGATAGACTCAATAACTAAACTTGGACCGACCCGGGACTCAAACCCAGGACCTCTCGATGTGCAGCCGTACTTGCTAGCCACTAAACCACCGAGGCAGTGAAACTTAAAACAATGCTCATAGAAACTCATTATATCGCCCATAATAGACGATGCTCTATTTGATGTCCATTTATGGTCATCGGTGCGCCTTAAGTAAACATGATTCATCCCATTTGCTAATATTAGTCGCAACTTTGTAAATTCTTAATGGTAAAGAAAATATATAAGTGAAACAATGCTAGTATATGTTAATGTTAATATTTTATTCTATAACTGGAGCTTGAGGTATGTGATTACCCTCAATCTTAACGCCATCAATCCCGGCGCTGTATTTGGTGACATAGGTCTTGTCATCATCTCCGACGTAAGAAACTTCACCTTCGATGACGAGTACATAGCCAGTACCATCGAGAGAAGGAACAAGGCGGCCGCGTTCATACACAACAATCCCTTCAGCAGTTACGTAGCGCAGTGCGTACTGTCCAAATTCGTCATGCACCTCCTCATGCTCAAGAGCTGGAAGAGCTCGAATCGCTTTTAAATCTTTAGCATCTTTGGCAGCAGGTGCAGCAGACACCGCAGCAATGATGCACAAACTTACCAAAAACTGCAAACAATAATAAGAATTATTTATAAAATGCCTTAGAATATAACAAATATCAATCAATACATGTTAAATTAAATAAATAAAAGTAAATTTTAAATATAATAATTTACATAAAAAAGTTAAAATATTGTAAGGTACTTTAGTGCCATTTTTCAATTTTTTGAATTCATTTTGTTAATTGTGGGTAGGCTGTCTGTAACAATTATATAATACCTTAGAGACATCTAACACCTCAGTCTCTCCCGTGACCATGATTGCTGTAAAGCATTCGAAACGTCGGGAAACAAAAATGCAAATAAATCCGCGACAAAATCCGAAAAGATAGTTTTATTTAAAATGTCAAATATTCGCGTAAATCTAAGAAAGTATTAAATTTAATAATATTAACTCACCAATTTCATTTTTTATGTTTAATTTCTGTATGGTTAGATGAATTTAAACGAACTGTGAACTGCTAACTGATGCTACATTGTTTGAAAGTCTTACTTTTAAATGACCATAATGACCCTTAGTTATGACTTATGAAATTACAAAGAATCAAATGAACATACCTAATTACGTTTTTTTGAATTCATAAATGACAATTATGCAATCTTTCTATAATTAGGTGCAAGTATTATTATTGTATTATTTAATCTGTACTTTCTATTACATAGAATAGAATATAGTCCATAATTATTTGTTTCCATTTTTTGTTAAAATGTAACTATAAAATGTTGTCGCACATTTCCATGTCAGGTATTTTCACGTTCTGTGCAAAATTTTCGTATTGCATTTATCATTCCTCTACCTCGCATTGTTGTGACAAGCTTCCTAATTACAAAATACATAAGATATTGGATATGATTGATATTATAAAAGTATTATATATAAGAATTACAATAAAATTTTCAAACGACTTCATAAAAAATAATTATATTTTAAATATAACTACTTTTTGCCCGCGTGGTAAGTGGGGCGGGGATGAAAAGTAGCTTCCATCCCCAGGATGCAATTTATGTCCTTGCTCTCACATTATAATATTGGTAATATGGATGTATTACAAGTTAAATTGAATTACACAAATCTCTTCATTTATTCTTCGCTGAAATACCTAATGAATTGACTTGATAGAAACAAAACAATAGTTACCATTTTAAAATAAATATTATGCAGTTAAAGCATACGATCTGTTTCGAAGTCAAATAAATGTTATACATACGTGTATTTTATGTACATAAAAAAAATATTTCACAAATAATAACTACAAAGTGTTTGGATAAGGAAAAGAACCTATTTAATTTAGACTCATTGTTCCATTATCGAAAGTTTTTCATAAGTAGTAATGGATATTCTATTTCATATCCTTTTAGACTAATTATGTATGTTACACTTGCTAAGCAAATAGATACTAATATATACAGAATAATACGAATTCAAGCAAAATTTACAAATCGAAATACATAAACATAATCTAAGCATTCCACTATTTCGGGCAGCAAATAAAACAATTGGACCTTATTTCTGCGGCATGTACATAGTATTGTTCACTTAAATCAGTCGGTGAGTCACAATGAACAGTGCTTTACCATAAATTCAGGCGTAGATTACGCAAGACAACAACAGGTACTAGGACCTTAAAGGGGACATTCACTAATTATTGAATATAATCCACGTGTCCATTACATTAGTTTCAAAACAGTACCATGGTTGGCTCATGACATAACCTGGCTTCCGGTCCAATTTCACTGCTAAGTATTCTTGAGTGACAATTACACGATTAAACAAATATACAATGCTAAAGTTATGTATATTATTATGTAACATAAGTAAAGCTAAAAAAATTTATTGTGTAATCGAAATTTATTTTAAAATATACCCAAAAATAACATTAATAATTGAATTAATAGTATAAAAAATGTTTTAAAACACAACAAAATCGAAAGTGCGTAATATTTAACACCATTCAGACAAAGAAAGACAATAGCATTCCCAAGGAGGGTTGACGTCAGGCAGGCGGCCGGTCGTAAAACTTTTGCCATATCCTATCAGCAGTACACTGAAGATGTACTGCGCCGACCCCAATTGATTTGGGAAATGGGCAGGGAGAAGAAGAAGAATAAGTAAAGCTAAAGGTTTTAGATTTATATTATTTATCAACTTGTATACACTGATACAGCTATCCATACATAATATTATAAATGTGAAAGTGTGTTTGTTTGTTTGTTTGTTTCTTTGTTTGTCTTTCTTTCTTAACGTCGAAATGAATGACGGATTGACGTGATTTTGTTGTGTGTTATTTTGTTCTGATGTTTATAGTTGGAGGGCTGAAAAGTGACATAGGCTACTTTTTACTGCGGAAGATTATGTCATTCCCACGGGAAAACACGTAATATAACCCAAAAAATTATTAATGATCAGAATTACTTGAAACTTGATGTTAATGCTCTTCAATACAATTAAATAAATATGTATTATAGCATTTTTCGAAATTCATCCCATAAGAGGGTAAAATAGAGAGTGAAAGTTTGTATGATACCTACCTTTTTAGAGATTTCGTAGTTTTAACGCGAGCGAAGCCGCGGGCTCTGCATGAAATATATAATTAAATTAAATGAATGAACACACGCTCTGCAGCAATATTTTAGGATATTAGTAATTAGGCTATCTATTTTATTCATTTCTATAGATTTCATATAATAGGATCAAAATATTTGCATTCCAAACAACAATTATTACCTCGTTGCGTTAAGTAAAGCAAACGCCTTTGACATGACTCACTATTTGCGTTTTATTTTTCTTGCATTGTGCTGATTTTAGATCTATACCAATTACGCCTATCTTAATCACTGTCTAACGTCATGTGTATGTCGTAATCGTAATTCATATAACTATAAAATTCTATTATTTTTGTATGTTTTGGTGAATGAAATTTTTGGACTAAGTTTTTGAACTTTGGACTAGCAACTTACGCCCGCTTTGCTCGGGTGCATCCTTAGGTGCTTAACAATATCTCATGTGTTACTCCAGGTTACAGTCTATTACGAACCGTATGTCGAGCCGTTTTAGCGCGAAGGAGTAATAAACATACGCACAAAATTCCATGCTATTAGAAGTCCGATTATAACAAACTATATTATATAATGTGTAGAAAATCCACGTGTGATAATATAAGCTGACGCTATACTCCTCACAGGATAAGAAAAGAGAATGTAGTGAATCACGCTCTATTTTCCACTTTCTGTGGATTAACAACGGGGCGGGCTCACTATACGGGTTACTATTCTCTCCTTCTCTCTCCTCCTTTCAAGTCGGCCAAAAATTAACATGATCATATTATTATTAGGGATCTGTACCTCAAGTCAGATACCTTAGTTGTCCATCTGTCTGTCCGTCAACACATTTTTTCTGTGGACCGCGTGGAGGTATCAAGTTTAAATTAATATCAAATATACTATTAATATCCAACTCAGATCTACTATCCCAAGATTTAAGATATGGACGTTTTGCTGTATATTTTGACGCTAGCAAAGGAATTAAAACCTATAGCATACTTCCTGTTGACCTAGAATTATGAAATTTGGCAAGAAACAATGTCTCATAGCACAAGTAAAATGAAAAATCCGAAAACAGTAAATTTGTAGTTACATCACAAAAAAAAATCTACGAAATCATCGGTGCGCGAGAACTCCCGAGTACTTGCCTGGTTTTAGACATAGCCCGTACATCAATTGAACCTACTGATAGAAGCCACTTTTCTACCTGACGATTGACAGTATCCTTTCTATACACCCACCAGCAAAATATAACTATTATGTTGTTGTTATTAGTTTTACGTAAGCATTTGAAGATTCAGTCAACTAATCTGTCATGCACACATGTTTCCGCGTAGGTCCTTAGTTATCGGCCCACGTTTGTTCCCGAGGTTACGACAACGGCAGCCTCGTATTTTTATGCTGATGAACACTCTGTATTATTATTCTATGGCACTAGTCATGTATAAGGCTATAGTTAGCATCTATGAACATTGGCATTAGACACTTCCTCGTAGGTGACGAATTGAAAATTGAAAACTTAACTCATGATTTATTGTTTGAAGTAGAAAAACCCACGATAACAGACAAAATAGAATTCTTTTGAAATAGCTTATTAGAATAACGTTTTTGCTATCTTACACACGGTTAGGTTACTGTAAAACAATGCGGTATGAAATATGATGAATCATGATAGAAAAAATCTGATTAATTCATTAGCTGTCTCAAAAAACTACGTCCTAAAGTTATATATATTATAATCATATTTTTACATAATAAAATGTATATGTTATAAAAAATTCCTTCAATGTATTCAAAATTTTACTTACGTAATTAAAATGTAACATAAACTTATCTATATACTTTAGAATAGATTTTTTTACATAATGCCAACCTTCAAAACCTATTTAGCACTTTAGCTATTGTTCAAAAAAGTACTGATTCCGTGCCTCTAACTCGTAGTTCTCTATTGTTTTTCCATATACCTATTGCTCGATTTTACGGATAATGCACATCGCGGGAAGACTGCACCCATAAAAACTTTATACATATAAATATAAATTTGCTTCATTATACGATAAAACTCATTTGATTCTCCTGGTCGTTTATTAACAAAACTACTGGAATTTTGCATCCTTGACATCACTAATGTTACTTCATTACACACAATCTTAGGATCCCACGCTCGTTGAATATTAATATTTACAAAAACAATACTAAAAAAGGCTATAAAAATTACTGTGTACCAAAATAAATTTATAATATCAAGTGTATGTTTATATTATATTGACCTTATATATAAATATATATATATATATATATATATATATATATAAATATATATATATCATATTTCTTTAATATATTGCACTTATTTTGATTGTTTCTAATAATTCTGTCATACTTTGATCATTTGAATTAGGACTTATATCTTCTATCTTCTTTTTTTCTATATTCCAGATGTGCGCATATAGTGCTCTAGCCGCGTTAGACGGTTACAGTGCTCAACAAGATCCTGATCAGTTCCATATACAAACAGACGAAGACGACGACCGTTATTTCCTTTACCAGACACACAATGGGCAGTACCGTAAGGAGCGGCGACTCAAAGATGGCTCTGTAGTTGGTAATTACTTACAAATAGCCTTTTGTTCCCTAGAGAATTTCATGGAAAGAAAAATAAGCAAAAGATGATTGTTAATTATGTTTATAGAACTTTTAATCGAAATTAAATCCAGGATGTTAAAATTTTCATATTTAATCATTTTTTACATAGACTAATATGTAAATGCTCGAGGTAGTTTAGGTTTGTGAACGTACATCAAACTTAAATATAAGTAAACTGTTAAACTATTTATCCTTAGATTTACGCCTCCGTCTACGAACCAGTTCACTTAAGTCATACCAATGATGACAAAATTTATGAATCACAGTACACCTACCAAACTTTTAATATTTTAATTCCAGGAACCTCAGGTTGGGTGGGTGCCGATGGATACTTAAGGCTACAAGACTATATAGCAGATGGTCAAGGATATAGAATTTATAAATCCAAAACTGTTTACGTAGGAGAGAATCGATCTATAGGCGTATGTACCCATAACTCTTTGTTTCAAGTTAAAAGCATTCTTAACAAACATTTTTTTAATAATACTATTTTTTATTTTCAGGAATCTCTCAAAATAGCAAAAACGGCTCCTACAGATTCCGGTTTCAACATTACCCCGGCACCAGCACCACATCCGCCTCGGGGTACTCCACGATTTACCACGACAACTTCATCTCCGCTGCCTCATTCTTCTACACAAAGTCCAAGTAGTCAGTTTCCATCCGAGGTTTCCATTACGCCCCCGCCTCGTACCTATTCTTCTTCTTATCCTACCTCAACACCTAGAGTCGAAGTGTCACCGAATTCGATTGACTCATCAACAAAATATGACTTAAGACCCACAGTAACCCCTATTACAGCAGATGAAGCTTCACCTTCACCAAACCCTTACGATTACGATTTGTCAAATACAAACACAATAGACGGTTATTACGCTAGCGACAGCTCACTTCGAGGAAGGTACGACATTTATAACCCCAATTCGTACAGACACGCTGATGAATGGACAAGAAGACCTGGAATTCGTGTCGGTGATGGTTATACACCTCAGTTCCCAGGATATGACGGGGTCGCGTTTAGAAGAAATGGGTTCCGTTATTATCTTCCGAAACAGTATCACGAAGAAGAAACTGATAGTGCAGATGATCGAACTGGGAGTTTTGGATATATAGATCCCTTCGGAATTCGACGAGTAATATATTACAATACTTCACCAGATCAAGGATTCCAAATACGTAAAAACAATAGATACGTTGGACACGATGCGACTCCTTACGATCCAAGGCCTGTGAAATAAATTAAATTGGTTATAGTTGGATAGATTTATGTATGTGCTGAAGTTACCACCTGTTAATCAGTATTTTTAGTCAAAAAACTATAAATGAATTGATAGAGACAAAACGATTGATCTTCGAACGAAACCTCTTAGCCATGTAATTGTTTAAAATAAGTTATAGTAATATTGACAATATCTCAATATAACAAAGTGTAGTTTAACAATAAATAAGACTACAGTGGAAAACTGGAAATCCCACTGTATTTATAATTCAAGTGCCATGAATTGAACAGGAACAAATGGTATACGTTTATTTCAAACAGATTATAAAGTATGTATATAATATTGATACATCTTCGCATTTTACAAAAAAAAATAGCTAAGAGTAGTCTATTACGTTAGAATGTGTGATGACAAAATATTACTATAATATTCTGTTGAAATTCGAAATAAGATACCAAAAAGGAAATAAGCTTCTATGGAAGGAGCAATGAACTTGACACGCTTTGTCGCGTAAGCATATTCTTGCTAATGAGTACGCGTAGGCGCATCTTGATCAAGTTCTCTTTACTTTATATGGAAAAGTAGCTTTTTGTAAGTTGGAAATTAAATGTTTTCCGACAATACTACGCTTTTAAAAACGTTACGTACTTGTTCTATTTATAATTTATTGTATATTATAATTTATGTATATAAATAATAAGCTTAAGCTTGGTGATTGTACCTACATATTATGTACATATATACTCTGTTGCAGCCAATGATTTGTCATTTTATAAAAAGAACTCTACACTTTGAAAATAATAATGACATCTCGTTGCTACAACTTTAACGTGGGATATATTTAAAAACGTTATTTATCTAGTTATCTGTAATAAGTTACATATACTTATATTATTGTTTTTAGTTACTCCAACACAAACTTTAACCGCACAATAAATTTAATAATATAAAATATACTAGTAACATTTTATTGTTTATTTTAAGTCATAATTTAACACTCATTGCAAAAGCTTCAATTAAAATAATAAAAACTTAAAAGTTTACTACTTCGATTTATTTCAGTTGTAAGCCACATACATACAAGTATAAATTGAATTTTATTTAATACATATATTTTGTAGTACCTAACATTTTTTTCATATAACCTGCATTGAAAGTGCGAGTTTCAATGCCTATTGAGCTACCTGAAACTAGCCAATTTTAGATGATGCGATTTTTGCCGGACAAAAACCGAACGTTTTCTTCCCCGAGGGAAAAAACTTTAGATACACACAGAGAGATCTATTAGTTCCCACGGGGACCGTTCATTTTTCCGGGATGAAAAGTAATCTGTTGTTTGACCGGCAGTATAAAGTATCAGAATGTTAAATTTTACTAAATTAGGTGCATAAGGTGTTGTGTACTAAGCTGGATAAGTTACTATAGTTATTTAACTATCCCACAGGAACTATTTAATTTTCCGGGATAAAAAGTATCTAAAATGTTGCCCGGGGATATAAGGTACCACCATGCAAAATTTTATTTAAATCGGTCCAATAGATTCGGAGATTAGCCCGTACAAACAGACAACAGACAGAGAAACAAAAAATTTGAAAAAAAAAATTATGGATTTGTTCTATTTGTCTACTTACATCCCCCTGACTCGGTTTTTAGCATTTATTTTGCTATGTACAGACATTCGACCTCTACAGTTTTATGATAGTATAGTTGAATTATACTCCACTTCACCGAAATATACGTAGGAGAAAATTGGCAATAGGAGAATTACTTGATATACCTACCAGAATATGATTTATAATTTCGTTACCATAAGTGATTAATGATATTTAGTAAACTTTAAGTCATATTATCCAAAACTAGTAATTGATGGTAGGTAATATAAAATTTTACAGTTCGATGTAGTTATATTGCATAATTAAAATTAATTGATTAATTTGCTCATTACTATAATAGTAATAGATCAAGTTTAGGTAATTTAAGTCACTTAAAATCATTATATATACGTTGAAAAAAATATTTTTCATTAGAAAGAGCCTTCTCTATTCAAGGTAAGGTATAGAATTGACATTAAATCTTCAGTATATTTGTGAATTATTCTATAAAAATATTACTTTTATTTTACTTACTAATTACTAATATTACTTTCAGGAACCATGATTCCCTTCGTCATTTTATTTATATCCGCAACGTCAGCGTTAGGTGCTGATTTTAGCAACTACAATGACCAAAATCAACCCCGTAGTGGAAGCCAGGATTCTCAGACGTATTTCCCTATAGATTATTTTGATGACATGTTTAATGAAGATGTAAAAGTAAAACCAGATTCAAAATTTACTTATAATTTTGAGCAAACAAGACGTGATCAGCCTCCACAAGTAGAAATGAGAGAAGAAGACGTCGGAAGATATTTCCACTCGCGGCCTACTATTACCACACCTCGCTCAATATTTTCTATGAAGGTGGACAGCGAAGCACAGCACGTATATCCAAATGTAAATCCCACAAATGAGGTAAGCAGGCAAAGTTGGAACGAGCCACAAGTTGCTTCAGCTCCACCTCCTCCTAAATTCGCGTTTTCAAGACGACGTAACGAGGCTCCCCGTCAGGTTCATTCAGCACCATTCAAAAACAAACCCATAGTTGTAGCGCCACGTCAAACTACTGCAACGCCAACCGTTCAGTGGACAGAACATCACAATGTCCAAAATCCTCCACGTGAATCTCAATATTTAAAGGAAAGCGATAAAATCATGTTTGCTCCATCTGCGTCTTATGTATCAGATTCTATAACCGACAGCAAAAGAAATGACCATCATGATATACCTAATAGAGGACGGCATAGTACACCTACTAGAGGACATCACAAATTTAGCTGGGATGATATCAAAAATGCAAATGAGAAACCTATAGGAATTCGTCAGGACGTAATCTCACCACAAGTATCTACAATAGTTGAACCAAGCACTGCTTCTCCTGTGAACGCATTATCTAAAAATCCTCCATCAGTCCCCACATTGTCACCATGGTTTGACGGATTCGGTAAATAATATTTGCCCTCCTCGTATTTTATCACTAAAATGAATAAGTATACGAAATAAAGATTTCAAGCAAAAAAAATTGTTTTCTTCTCAACTTTTAAATATTTATTTAAATAAGACAGTTTTTATTACAATTACTAGGGACTCACCCACGCTTCGCTTGGTCTTGGTACGTTTTAACGATTAGTATAGAATAGATAGCCAAAGTAATGACAAACTCTGATGAAACACCAATCAAACCCAACAACATTACAGAACTGGAATATGTCAAAGAGTATACATACTTGGGCCAAATAATATCTCCTATAGACCTCACAACAAAAGATATATATATATATATATATATATATATATATATCTTATTTCTACTGTCTTGAAGAAATAGATATATTATTTTAAACAATCTACCAACCTATTAGATACCTATTTAATAAGTACCTCCTAGTACCTTCTCTTCGGTACGCCTCAACCATAGACCAGGACAAGCCTCAACATTATTACCTTTAAACATCTCCCAGTAATCTCTATTTTACTACTACGTTCCGAAATCACCTTTTAATATTATAATATTATTTTATTTTGATACTGCCATTAAAATAGGATTAATAATTATTTGTAAATCTTTCATTTAATAAGTCCTAAAACTTGGGAATCAAAATTTAATGATTGAGGTGCTGAAGTAACTTCTGGTTTCACTTTTAGCGTTTTGTAAAACTTGATAACATCTTGCCAAAATCATAAATCTGTAAGTGATAAAAAAATTACCACCTTGAAGGATATCAACTAAGCAGGACTTATTTATACATTATAAATTAAACTATATTTTCGTATTTTTTGCAGATTTATTTTGATTTATTATTTATAATTGTCATCGTGACTATCAAAAACCATGCCATGACTACTGTAAAGCATTCGAAACATCGGGAAACAAAAATCCGAAAGATAATTTTATTTAAAATGTCATATAAATCTGGAATGTATTCAGTTACATAATATTAAAAGGGTTTTAACAATTTAATCCATATTTTAGCCAAAGATTTACTTAACTAAATTTCAACTAATTTTTCCTTTTTTGCCTGGCCCGGAAGAGTAAGAAGAAAATGTATTACCATAAAAATAAACAATCTAAATTTTTATTACGTTGATATTATTATTGTGACAGGTTATTAATGAGTATGAGCATTTGTTACTTTTTCACTGGAAATTCGAAGCGATAGTAGCTTGGACTAAAGACTTAGACCAATCAGTTACTTTTTACTTTGAATGCCTTTTTAAGTCCGTTTTTATTTTTATTTTTTTAAGTTTTTAATTTTTAGTTAGCTCATAAAAATATTTGTTTATATTTCCTCACTAACTTTAAATGTAACATTGACGATTAAAAGGTGCTTGTAAAAGTATATTTAAATAAAGAATATTTTTATTTGATTGAGGTGACGACGAGCCGCGCAGGAACCACATGCAAAAATTAGCTATCATATAATTTTGTATTATTTATTTCTCTACAACTATGAAATTACTCCATAGTCTTCGGCGAGTGGTTTCGAATCACCTATCTAACTTTGTTATATCCCATTTTGCCATAGTATGAAAGTATTATTTGAGATTAACACTTTTCTAATTTAATATTGGCTAATAGTTTCAAATTTAATATCTATTCTATAGATAATTAAGGATGTTTTTAATTGCCTATTTATTAGTTTTCTAGAATCTGTACATATATAACATGCAAAGATAACAAATAAAAATGTTAATTAAGTACAATAAATAATGATTATAAAATAAAGACAAATGAAACTTTTAATTAATTTTTATTACAAATACACTTACAAATAAAAAGAGATGGAATCTTACATTTGTTCTAGAACAACGTAACCTGGGTAATTGATTCTGGGCCGACCGAAAAGAGATGGTAATTTGAAAGGCCAACCAATATTTGACAAATTTGGAATTGAGGTTGGGAAAGACGGCAAAGATGAAATTATATTGTTAAGGAAAGGAGGCAATGGAATCTTCCACTCAAAAATAGTTGGTCTTGAATTTACCACAGGTTTTACATTAGAATCTTCAACTTTAATTTCTACTTCGTTTTCATTTTTGGCCTCCTCTTCTGTAGGCTTAGAGTCTTCAGCTTCACTTACAATTGTTTCAGCCTCCTTCGGTACATCTTCATCTTCTTTAGGTTCTGAGTTTTCAGCTTCACTTACAATTGTTTCAGACTCCTTCGGTACATCTTCATCTTCTTTAGGTTCTGAGTTTTCAGCTTCACTTATAATTTTTTCAGCTTCGTTAAGTACGTTCTCATGATTTTTTTCGTTTTCAAATATTATCTCTATTGGTGGTAATTCTGGAGGACTTGGTATAGCTTCTAAAATATTCACTTCGTCTTCTTTCTGTTCTTTGTCTTCTTTATTTTCGTCTTTTTGATCCTCTTTTCCTTTCACATCAATACCTTCTGCTATTTGTGCCGAATTTGTATGTAGTTTATATTCTTCAGCTTTCAATACATATTCCGGTAAAGTTGGAGGGTCGGGAAGCACCGGTAAGGCAACAGCTGCCGCTACCAAACATAGGGCTCCAATAATATACATCTGAAAATTAAAACTTTAGTTTTATCTTATATTTTATAAATAAACTAGAGGCTCACCTTCGCTTCGCTGGGGTTTGCCTCTAGACAAACAAAAAAAAAATCTATCCCACGGAACCGTACATTTTTTGGGGATAAAAAGTAGCTTATTTGTTATTCTGATGTATGAACTATATAATTGTAAAGTTTCATTAAAATCCAATCAATAGTTTTAGTGTACTAAGCTGTATAAATTACTATAGTTTTTTAACTATTCCACGAAAATCCTTTAATTTTCCGAAATGGAAAGTATGTAAAATGTTGACCGTGGATATAAGGTACCACCATGCAAAATTTCATTTAAATCAGTCCAACAATTTTGAAGATTAGCCCGTACAAACAGACAAACAGACAGAGAAATAAAAAAATTGAAAAAAAGTGTTTTTTTTCTATTACTCTTCTTACATCCCCCTGACTCGCTTTTTAGCATTTTTTACCATGTACAGACATTCGACCTCTACAGTTTTTAACCGACTTCCAAAAATTTTTGGAATTTTTTTTATGTATGTTCACCGATTACTCGAACCGATTTGGATTTTTTTTTGTTTCAAACATACTTCCCAGGTCGTCCCATATAAATTTTATCGAAATCGGTCGAGCGGTTTTTTGAAAAATCAACAATAAATTATTTTTTTAAATAGTCTAATCGAATATGTTATTAAAAATCTTTCTTCTAACAAAGTACCTGTTTATTACGTCTACACTAAAAATGGAAAAATAAAAACATAAAAATACCGACTTCCGGGCGCTAGAATGTAAAAAATAACTAAACGGGAATTTTCATTTAGAATAGATACCTTATCAGATATTTTCGAAGTCGTTGCCAGCCTACAATATTTTAAGATATTAAAATCTAATAGACAAATATATAATTTACGTATCGAAATATATTAGATTTGCTTTGCATCGGCTGGCACCGACTTCGAAAATATCTGATTAGGTATCTATTCTAAATGAAAACCCCCGTTTAGTTATTTTTTATGATTTACTGCCTGAAAGTCGGTTTTTATTATTTTTTAAAGTTTTTTATTATAATCAGTTAAATTATTTAATACTGAGCACTCACCTTAAATTTCAATTAATGCAACTGACGTACTTTACAAAATGCCATCTTTTATATGTTATTGTTAACTTAATTGATTAACCAATTAGACGAAACTAGTTGACGTTATCTATACTTATAATAAATCTGTAGAGAGGTCAATTCTGTACATGAAATATATTTCCAAAATAACTATCAGGGGGTGATTAGGGATCGATACTAATGCCAAAAATGCAATCAGTAAAAATTTTGTCTGTCGTCTGTCTGTCTGTCTGTCTGTCTGTATAACCGTTATAGAAAAAAAACTACTTAACGGATTTTAACGAAACTTGGTACAATTATTTTTCATACTTCTGAGCTGGTTAAGGTATACTTTTAATCACGCTACAATCAATAGGAGCAGAGCAGTGGAGGGAAATGTTGGGAAAACGGGAGAAGTTACTCCATTTTTTAAGCTTCCGTCGCGTGTGCAACCTTAATGGTTATAGCTACACAGAAATCATGTATGACGGAAATGTTCTCCTTAAAATTATATAAAAAATATCCTACGTCTGCATATGTCTATCTTTTATGGTTGACTCACAATAACACGTGTAACTCCCGATAGCTTAGCAGTTCGAAGCTTTCTGATTTATATTTGTCTACTCTTACGTTTATAACACTCTCAGTCATCCCTAATTAAAAAAGTTAACATTATAAACTATTCCATAAAAAAGAATCATAGAAATCGGTATAGAAACACCAAAGTTATACATGAAATACGCTAATAATAAGCCATCACGCGTGAATACTGATTCATGTGGATTATTTTTATTGTATAAATCGGTCGCCGCGCTCTATTACATAATATGAAAATATAATGTATTAAAAAAACACATTTTTTGTATGTAACAAAAAATGAGGTTTTTTTTAATAGATAGAGTGATTCAAGGCTTTAAATATATAATTTGTTAAGTATTTGTATACATTGGTTAAAAAATAACGTTATTTGTTGGAGGTGTCGGAAAAAATAAGACGTCTGGGAACTTTCAACGAAAACGCTGCCTAAACCCTTTGAGATAATATAACAAAATAATGTATGGTGGAATTGTGTATTATTAGGTCTACAGAAAAGTCCGCGATGGCATATGTCTCTCTTAAGGATAACATACTGTGTATATCCATTTTAAGTTAAAACGTACCTAGGGACGAACCCGAGCGAAGCGAGGGTGAGTCGCTAGTTATTAATAAAGCAGTTCAATTTTTAATCGTTTACTAATTATTGTTGAATATTTCGGATTTTAAAGAAAGTAATGAATATAATACAAAGAAAACAAAGCAAAGTTATAAAATGATCTTATCATTTGGAGGTTTTCTGCCAAATAAGATTTAAAGAAAAATTCTCCAAATTATATAACTACTAGCAACTTACTCTTGCTTCCCTCGGGTGAGACCCTAGATACCAAATAATAACTAATAAAATAACTGCCATTTTTTTCGACTTAAATTAACAGTTATTATGAATACTGACAGTAATCACATTTATGTCGGAAAAAAATAGCCTATAGCACTCGGCGGTAATACAGTTTCCTATCTGTGATACAATTTTAGAATCAGATCAATAGTTTCAGAGATTACCCTCTTTATAAGACCTTCATTACCCTACTTACAAACTTTACCTCTTTATAATATTAGTATATGTAGATTATACCCATCTCTTTTGTCACGTCGATTTGCCGTGGACAATAATAACAAAAGCAGTGAGCTTATTTTTGAACTGAGGAGCCCCTATGTTCTCTTATTATTTCGCGACGAAATTTGGTATTCCTTGCTATTTTAAATACTATTAAAATCCGAAATATTCAACAGTAATTAATAAACCATTATAAAATTTGCTGCTTTATTAATGATAACGTCAACTAATCTCGTCTAATCGGTTAATCAATTAAGTTAACTATAAAATAGCATATAAAAGGTGGCATTTTGTAAAGCACGTCACTCAGTTCGTTAATTGAAATTTAAGGTAAGTGAAATTTAAGCTAAATAATTTCCGAGGCACATTTATTTATAAGATATAAGATAAAACTAAAGTTTTAATTTTCAGATGTATATTATTGGAGCCCTATGTTTGGTAGCGGCAGCTGTTGCCTTACCAGTGCTTCCTGACCCTCCAACTTTACCGGAATATATAGTGAAAGTTGAAGAGTATAAACTACATACAAATTTGCCAAAATCAGAAGGTGTTGATGTGAAAGGAAAAGAGGATCAAAAAGATGAAAATAAAGAAGACAAAGAACAGAAAGAAGACAAAGTAAATATTTTAGAAGCTATACCAAGTCCTCCAGAATTACCACCAATGGAGTTAATATTTGAAAACATAAAAAATCATGAGAACGTACTAAAGGAGATTGAAGATGTACCGAAGGCGGCTGAAAAAATTGTAAGTGAAGCTGAAGACTCTAAGCATAAAAAAGAGGAAACCAAGAAAGAAAACGAAGTAGAAATTAAAGTTGAAGATTCTAATGAAAAACCTGTGGTAAATTCAAGACCAACTATTGTTAAGTGGAACCTTCCAACGCCTCCTTTTATTAGCAATATAATTTCAACTGTGCCGTCTTTCCCAACCTCAATTCCAAATTTGTCAAATATTGGTTGGCCTTTCAAATTACCATCTATTTTCGGTCGGCCCAGAATCAATTACCCAGGTTACGTTGTTCTAGAACAAATGTAAGATTCCATATCTTTTTATTTTTTAGTGTATTTGTAATAAAAATTAATTAAAAGTTTTATTTGTCTTTATTTTATAATCATTATTTATTGTATTTAATTAACTTTTTATATGTAATCTTTACATGGGTGATTTGTACAGATTCTAGTTAAATAATAAGCAATTAAAAAACCTTAATGAACGATGTCACTGAGTCTTTAAAATGACTTGAAACTTTATGACAGTGTGGCCTAAATATTTAGAAATACACCTATTTTTGTTTCATTTAAATCAAGCAAGTAGTATTGAAATTACGACAATTTTAGTTTGCGTCCTATTCAAATATTTCGCGCGAGCGCGCCATGCTCGCGTGACGTCATTGTACAACGTAACGTTCTCACCATTCACTCATTCATTGCTTTGTTATCGGTTGTTTCCTATGTTCCACCACAATAACGTTTTTAACTAAGTTTGTATGTGAATCACTGCTACAATAGTGTTATAAATATAACATTCATACTAATATTATAAATGTGAAAGTGTGTTTGTTTGTTTTTTTTTTTTTCACGTCGAAACAGAGTGACGGATTGGCGTGATTTTGTGTGGAGATAGTTGGAGGGCTGAAGAGTGACAAAGGCTACTTTTTACCGCGAGAGATCATCTAATTCCCATATTTTATATAGTTATAGTTATAATACAATCCAGAAAAATATTTATGATCAGTATTACTTGAAACTTGGTATTAATGCTCTTTAATAAAATTAAATCAATACGTGTTTAAGCATTTTTCGAAATTCATCCTATAAGAGGGTGAAATAGGGGATGAAAGTTTGTATGAAACTACCTTTTTAAAGATTTTTCGTAGTTTTAGCGCGGGCGAAGCCACGGGTTCTCGTTGTTAGATATAAATCTATAGATATAATAAAATTGTAACTGATTGCTGTGTGTACATGGAAGATATTTGAGAAAAACTATTATTGGGGTCTTCATTTACGCAATAGAACACAAAACAATGATTTTAAAATTTTTGTCGGTTTGTCTACGCGTATGGTGCGCGTTAATGACAGAAACAGCTTAATCGTATTAGGTGCAATTTTCACTAATATATTGTGATAAACTTCACCTAACATTTAGTACTTGTTTTATTTCAATCGATTCATAAATAAAAAGTTGTGTCTATTTAAAAAAAAATACCTAGGGACGAATCCGAGTAAAGCGAGGGTGAATGGCTAGGCTAGTAAATAAATAAATATGTTGGGACATTAACGCACAACACCATCTATATATACTGTGTTATACATGCCAGATTTTTGATACACTACACATATGTATGTATATAACTTTAAATACATACATAATATTATAAATATAAACACACATAACTGGAGTACATTTGTACTCATGACACAAAAGAATGCCCCCTGCTGGACTCGATCGAGCCCACGACCGCTGGCACAGTAAGTGTCGTCTATGACGATATGGATGACGGTTTTGAAAAAGGACAATCTGATAACTTGACCTTGACCCTGAAATAGATGGTTTTATGATTGCCCACTATTTTTCAAATAGCTCCGATTTCTTGGCCGCCGAGAGGCGAGAAGTAAAGATGCAATTATATATAAATATATTGTTTTCAAAAGTAGGTTGTTATTACGAAGCACGCGACTACACCTGTTAAATATTATTAAGCTAAGATGTAAAGTCTCTCATATTAATTTCCTCCTTAATGTGATCGTGGATAAGTGCATTTTGATGTACTTATTTAATTTTTTCTGGATTCGATTTATCAATTTCAGACGCGAACTTCGTACACACAAGACGGGAGTAGAGCACGCACTGACCCACCGTTGTAAAATGACGTCACAGCGGTCGATGACTTCACGTGGTCGCACGCCTAGATAAACAATTAAATATCTCGGAAACTATATGACATAAAAAACTATTATATTTATTCATTTTTAATAGAGCGTATTATATAGAATAGAACTTGGCAACCCAATAATATATTAAAATAGCACTTTAAGTTAAATACCCAATTATTACATTCGTTTATTAATGAATTTAAACAATTTAAAAATAAATGCATAAAGAAGGATACCTCGTTATAACAAGTACAACCCATTCCACATTTACAAATCCAAATCAAACTTGGGCCTTTATTCTCCTATAAATAGAATATTAAAACAATATAATATCTTACACAGAAACTCGGATATCGACGTATTTTCTAATAAAATTGAAAACTTTAATTCTCTGATATTAAACTGCTTAAGAGTTACTTATGGTGATAGTTTTGAACTTGTATCTAATGTATTGCTAATTTGTTTATTTTTTTCTCATGATAGATATTGCTTTTTTTTCTTTCTTCTTTTGTTGCTTTAAGTAACAAATTATAATTGTGTCTTTAATTTTTTTGTCTAATAAATAATTATTATTAACCACTTTATTATTGCCTCTTTAATTCATTTATTTTAATCCATTATAATAAATACACATCTTTTAAATTAAAAGATGTAAAAATTATGATGACAATGCTAACAAATATATAATTAGAAAAGTGTTATTCTCAAATAATACTTTAATACTATGATCAAATGGATTTATCAAAGTTATTTAATATGAGATAATACGAAACCACTCACCAAAGAAGTAATTTTATTCTATAATTTCATCTATTGCTTTTAGTAAAATACTCCTTTCCCTATTATAGATAAATAAATCATACAAAATTAATATCATTGTTAATTTGTGCCTGCGGTTCCTTCGTGGTTCGTTGAAACCTCAATCAAATAAAAATATTCTTCATTTAAATAGACACGCAAGCACTTTTACGTATTTTTTTATTGCAACGATACATTTAATTGATTTGTAATCGGTTGACAGCGACACCTAAAAAAATCATGTTATATTAACAGTGAATAAAAAAATATATATAAATAAAAAACCCGACTGCATGAAACGTGCATGGTTCCGACTGCATAATACTATATTCCTTCGTCAACTTATTTTCATCTTTTTAGTTGCGTTTATGCAGTCGGGCTTTTTATTTTTACAATATATATTTTTATTTACAGCTTTTTAGTTTTTGCCAATTACGAATTATTATTATTTGAATTAACATTATATATTATTAAAAATACATGAATTTTATATAGATAGCTGGGTAAATAGGTATATTATTACTTTTATTCCTACGTATAATCTATGGACATTTTTCATTATTATTATTTAATATTGGTTACTCAAAGAATATGTAAGTAATGCAACATTAATTACTAATTAGAAATCATTACCATTACGGATATTTACTTCCTACTACTAACAAATGCTAATTATTTTGTTACGAAATAATTTGCAACCATGATCAAGCATTGAATCATATCAACCCTTAACATCAATATAACTATTCAGCTAATATAAAAATCATAATTTGCAATATTTGTCTTAATTTGTTTAATCATCTTTTTACCCGACTGCGGCGAAGCCCAAAGAAGGGTTATTTAGCATTTGGTTTTTATCATTTGTTTTAAATTGTAATATCTTGCTGAATAATGGATTAAGTTTTATAACTTAAAATATTTGTGTGTTTCGCTAGTAATATTTGTTGGATTGTTGGCTCAAGCGACGGCCGCTCCGACCAACATAGTACAATTTGTAAGGAATAATCAATTACAAATATTGCGACTTATCTTATTCATATTAATCAAATAGAGATGAACGCTGGTATGGTTCAAGTCAATTCAACTAACCCGTCCCAAGCTCATTTTTTTTTCCCAACTTTCCCCCTCTGCCGCCATGTGGGACGCCACGGCATCGCTCAGCTTCAAAGCATGCCAGCAGTACACAGATTGCTGACAGATGCTGATATGATTGTATTAATTCTACTCGGTGATGTGATTACACTTATATGCCAAATTATGTAACAAAACAATTAACATAGAAGTTTAATAGTAATTAACCCTAATTAGTAATTAATAGTGCATGACCTATGTTATAAGAAATGACAATAATGTGACGAAATAGCTGGTTTTTAATGTTCTTATAGGTAAACGATTAGTATAAATCAAAGGTACTATATAAATTTTATATCAATTAGTAACAACTGATCGAGAAAGCAAGATGGTAAGATTTTGTTATTTCAAACACTATATCTATTATTTCATAATCTTAAAATATTTAATTTAACGAATGTACCTTTTCTATTTAATTATATATTATTCTTTTTTATTATGTCTGTTTCCAGAAGGGACTACGGGTATTCATGTTTATAGTAGCAACCACTATATTACCATGCAAGTCCACACCAGACGACATCGATGACTTTAATAGGATATCTTCAAGTCTCCCACAGCCAAAACATGGCGGGCTGGGTGTCAGATTTAAAGATGAGAAACATACTAGAGAACTTGAGATGCAAGCATCACCACAAAGTTCCTCCCCATTTTTATCACAATTTGTGCATGAAGGAAACAATCTTTTTTTTAAGCCACAAGTCTTATTCGGCTCAATTGTTAAGAACAATCCTTATATTTCACATCCACCGATAGTAAATGACGAAAAAGAATTAGTTGTTTCAGAAAATCCTATGCCTCCATCAATTGAAACAATATCCAAAGAAGATGAGAATGCATCAGCATTAGAAGAAGAAATAACTAAGAAGAAATTACCAGAAATCCCTGAAGCACCGATATTACCTCCATTTGAAATGCCCGTACTCCCACAAGTAGTTGGTGAAGAACCCGAAGTAAGAATCGAAGATTCTGCTGAAAAGATAATCATCGACGAAAAACATATTATAATTCCGGAACCACCAACATTTTCTCCTTCAAATCTACCAGAACTACCTATGCAAATATTTAGTAATAAGCTAGTACCTGGCATACTTCTATGTACACGTATAGATAATGACGGCAATAAAATAGCTGTCCCTTGTCCAAACCTAGCTCAACCTCCCTACTCAGATGTTACTAACTTCATGAATATAGTAGAAAACAAAGCTTTCATACGTCCATTGTCGACGAGAATACCTCTTAGTATCCCATTTCAAAGGCCGATCGAAACAGTCATGCCTTTTCGAGAGGATCTAACAAGTACTCGGTTTTTACCATGTGTTACAGTTTCAAAATTCCCTCTCAATGAGTCAAATCGTAAATTTTTAATAAATCCTCATCATGGTGGTCTTTCAAAATGTTAATAGAAAGACTAAGTATAGAACAAGAAAAGAGTGCGGAGTGCGCACATGATATTTTACTGGAACGTGTATGGCCAAATATCGGAATAAACAGGGAAACCGTTGATGGTTTACCTCTTTCTACACTGGAATTCCAGTAAGACCAGTTTTGTTATATAGGTGTTAAAATAAATATGTGTAATAAATAAATCAAGTTGTAAAAATATGTTTTTATTTACGATATTTGTTCTAAATAACAATTTATATAATAATATTTAGATTTATGTAAATCTTGATGTGAACGATAATGATATCGGCTTATCAGGCTTATTTATCAGAAGAGTTTTTACTCCAAGCTCACCGCCAATCCAGTCTAATTTAAACTGTCTAATTAGCTGAAACAGAAATGAAAATAGGACATGATATTTTCTCTTTAAATATTTTTTAAATATGTTTTTTATTCTACTTTTATTCAACAATATGCATGGTTGCCACACTCCTGAGGGACGCATGATCATAGAACGTTCAAAAATTAATGTTAAAATCTGAGTAGTAGTTCCCGAGATTAGCGTGTTCGAACAAACAAAAAACAATCTCTTCACTTATATACCAGACTAGTCGCGCCTTAAACTTCATACACGTTAAAATAAGACAGAAAAAAAGATGACCTTCTAGTCATGTCTAAGAAAGTCTACTTAATGAAGAAATTCTTTATGCTTAAACTAGCATAAACAAAAAGAAATCTATCCCACGGGAATCTTGCATTTTTCCGGCATAAAAGTAGTATGTGCTATTCCAGACTATAATCTATCTGTGTACTAAATTCCAGATCCGTTCAGTCGTTCTCGCGTGATTGAGTAACAAACATCCAAACATCCATCTAAACTTTTACATTTATAATTTTAGTAAGATAATATTAGAATTTCTTTAGAGGATCCCCTCCTTTTCATTCCTTTCACTTTCCATTTCAAAAAGCTTCATCCTCATTAGTTTAAACAGATAATATTTTAAGATAATTTAATATTAATTATTATTTATATGTTTAATATTAGTAACGATTACATATGAACACTAATAACACGTGTCTGATTCACGCAGTCGTGGATTCGATTCATGCAATACGAGCGATGGAAGATGTGATCTTACATATTGTTTGTCATGATTTGGCGACGACAAAGAAACACTGGCCAACACACAGCTTGTGCTTAGAAAAATATGCGACTCTGACAAAGTAATAAACCTAAATCTCTAACAATAGCTGTAAAACAACCAGTCCGTCTAACTGTAGATTTTATGTAAATTTTCATTGGCGGAAAAACGGTATAACCAATTTTAACGAAACTTTCACTAACCTATATAAGACCTGAATAAGAGTTCCAAAGACTATTTATCATCGTAAAACGTCTGTGGAACTACAAAATTTAATAAGAAACAATTATACCCGCATTATCGTGATGCACATATTTTGCTCTGCCAGTCTTCTGGCTATGCACGAGCGAGGGCCAAATCCAAAGGGTAAGCTTAAAAATGGATGAATATTTTCATAGTGTTCAGAATCACGAATCCATCTCTCTGGTTTGAATTGTAAAGGATCTTTAACATATTGCGGTAAGCGTGAAGCTACCATATTCTGTGTAACTACCACTGTCTGTAACATTTAAATTAAATATAATCAATTATTAGCATTGAAGTCATCTGGGAGATAATAACACCATTCGTTCATATAAGTAAATTCACAATATTAAAGATTACTTAATTACTTATATGCTTAAAAGTGTAAATATAATATTTTTTACATGGAAAAAGTTTGTAATTTGTATGCTATCGATTTTGCTGTAATTTACCAGATTGCAAATCTAAAAACTAATAAATAATAAAAATTTATGCAAAAATTAAAAATCTGGACTACGTAAAAGGTGAACTAGATAAGATAGGTACAAGTTGACGTAACAAGACTCGCAGCAAGGATAGAACACGGATGTATGTATGTTTTAAAATGTTTTGTAAAACCGACTGCATAATACAATGTTCTCCTATCAACATTTCTCCCATCTATTTAGTTCGCTCATTTTCATATAACCAGACTGAGCCACAATGAGTCCCAACTCCCAACATATTTATTTACTTATTTATTATTTACTAGCATTGCCCGCAGCTCCACCCACGTTCAGATGACCAAAAACCAAATTCTTAGGTTTTACATATTAGCACAGATCATATAATATATTAGTATACTCTTACATTGCAGTTTTTGTATTTTTTTCTCAGAAATGAGATATTTTCCCGCGATAAAAAGTATCCTATAAGTTGACCATCATACCAAATTTCATCAAAATTCCTCCAGTGGTTTTTCCGTGAAGCGGTAACAGACAGACAGATATTCTAAAAACTATAGATTTGGGCTCGATAATAATGTCTATTTCAATAAGATTTTCCAAAAAATATTTAATGTACAGATTCGACTTAATTACAATTTTATTATATGTATAGATGTATAGATTAACTTACGTCTTTAGGAATCAGATATCCTTTTAATACGATATCATTTTGTAAAACTCGACCCACTCCAATAGAAACAGGGTTTAAACGTAGAGTTTCCTTAAGACAGCTTCTGACATACACTGCTTTAGACAATATTTCAGCAGTAATTTCAGAGTTTTTGTTTGGTAAAAGCGACGATACTTCCTCAAATATCTTGTTTTGACAATTTTGATTACGAGCCAAGTGGTACAAAGCGAAACTTGTTGTATATGACGTCTAAAATGAGGTAATATATTAAAACCTTAAAATAATATGTAAAATAAACGTTGTGTTGTGTTTCATACCGTGTCTACTGAAGCCATTAACATATCTACCATCATTCCCAGTATATCTTTTATATCAACATCAGGCAATTGTAGAAATGAGCCTAATAATGATTTGTCGCCTACAGATTGTTCCTCTTCATAAAAACTAATTTTATTCAACAGTATATCCATACATATTCTGGAAGTAGCAATTTAATATATAAAAATATATATTAAAATATATCATAATACATTAAAAAAAATTATAAGTTATAGTAAATATTTACTTTTCTAAGTATTCTTGAGAATCAGCTAGCTTCTTGTAAAGTGGTGTTTTAAAGTATCTCCACAGTATTCCTTTGTCTAACTTAAAAATACCGCTGTTTGATTCAAAAGCTGCTTTTATCACTTTACTACTTCGAGCTTGAGAGCTTTGTTCGTGCGTCGAAAAACTGTCGAAATGCTCATCAAAAGCAATTACTCCTATTACTGAAATTAAATATTATTTTTATTTAATACTTTCTTAGATTTACGCGAATACTTGACATTTTAAATAAAACTATCTTTTCGGATTTTTTCGCGAATTTATTCAAGACATGTAACACCTCAGTCTCTCCCGTGACCATGGATGCTGTAAAGCATTCGAAACGTCGGGAACCAAAAATCAAAATAAATTCGCGAAAAAATCCGAAAAGATAGTTTTATTTAAAAATTATTTTTATTGTTTTAAACTTAACATTTCTCACTTTTTACGCTTAAATTGAATACAAAAATAAAAATATACCAACTGTACTTAAAATATGTATCTATATGAAAATCGACGTATGTAGGTATATATGGATAGATTTTTCTTTATATCTTGGTTGTTACTGTTTCAAACAACTACTACTGAATGGATTTTTTATGAAATTTTACGGTTAGAAAGGTTTCCTTAACACAGCTACACTTAGCTTATACATTAGATAATACATAAAGTATAATAGGGTAACTGCCTCGGTAGTGTAGTGGCTAGCATGTACGGCTGCACACCCGGAGGTCCTGGGTTCGAGTCCCGGATCGGGCCAAGTTTAGTTATTGAGTCTTCCTGTATAGTAAGTCTCAGTAACAGCCCGGAGTTGGGAAGTTGGCGGTGTATCACCCCCGTGCCTCGGAGAGCACGTAAAGCCTTCGGTCATGCGCCTTAACTCTCACTGGTCGTGTCTCGCATCGTCCCACGGGAGTATGAGAGTGACAGGGACAGAGAGTGCACGTTGTGTCTGCGCTCTCCCTCACACGCGCTGCACTATAATATCTCCTGCGCAGTTAGCTAGTCTCAATGAGATTGGCCGCCGTGGTAGGATTCGGTCAGGAGAACATCATCAATATAATTTATAAAGATACAGTAATATATAAATGAACTTTGTACGTGTTCAGAGCGGGAAAACACTATTTACACATAAGTACAAAAGGCATAATTCTCGCGCTAGTGTGAATTATATATTTAGCTAATCCCTTTCTTATATTTTTTTAAGATTAAAAAAATAAAATAATAAAACATGCCTACCTTCTAAATATAAGCGATTTAAATAAGTTAAAAAATTTTCATGATGACTTGTTTGTCGTTCTATAATCCATTGCACGAACTTCCTTGTAACGGTATCAGCTTCTTCTACATATTGTTTTGCGTTTAATGGGTTTGAAATTTTTTTCTGAAAGGTGCTCCTAAGACGCCACCAATCAGGGCCATTTCTAAATGTATAGTTAAACAATAAATTTAAAATTTCAAAATTTTCTATGCTCTAATTCTAAATTTTATTGAAATTATATATCTTACGAAACAAAACATCTATTTACAGTTTCCCTTTATTGGGAGGTAGATAGTACAATTAATGTCTGTATAATTATCGCCATCCCATCTCACAGTCTACTAATCAATACAGTCGTCGTCTGGCCAAAGGCGCTTAGACAGTGCACACGAGACGATTGTAACTAGGTACTTTTATATGACGATTAGGAAACAGCTTGAATGTGTTGATGAGTATAACTGTAACTTGCCACAAGGTGACACCATGCAAAACTTTTGCTATGAAACTTGATATTTTAAACCTTTTCATTTGACAGCATTTCAATTAAAGTCGTCAATTAATCCGTTTGAGCGCCTACAGTGTGAATTATATACTGCGAGCGTATTATTTATTGCTATCACATCTGTAATAAAGATATAACAAACTTTTCCCTCGTGCGAGAATAGAAGCTGAAATTTCTGGGGAAATAGTAATGTAAGTGTAGTTTAGAATCAAATGTATGTCTGGCAATACCATAAGAGTACATCAAGACGTACTAATAAATAAAACTAAAGTAAATATTTATAACATAAAAATATCTATCACATATTCCAACTGATAGATTTTTGCACCATACCAGAAATTTTGACCAACATTAAAATACTTTTCGTCTGTGTTTTAGTTTGTTATTTATTTTTAAATTAAATATCAAAAAGAGTTGATATGCTCTTCAAAAATCTCCACAAGGTTCCTTGAACCGTGATAGGGAGGTAAAAGAAAAAACAAATATTTTTTGATGAGTTTACATGGCACAGAGCGTAGTTTGGATAAGCATGGTTCAGCTATACTAAACTAATATTGAATTACAAATCTTACGTCGATAAAAGTCCGCCGGTATTATAAACTTGTTTCTTGCTCAGGCGATAATGCAACATTGCAATGTGACTTCTTCTTGCAGGATATCGTTCCTTTTGTCGTAATATTGCTTCTATTAACTCGGGTTCGTAGATATGAATCAATTTGACCACGGGCACTTCTTTTACAAATCCGCCATACTTATGCCAATTAAGCCATGCAGCCTTATCTAATGCGTCTGAATGGTATTCACCTGTTCGCATATAATTTATTTCCTATTAACCATAGTAAATAACATTTACAATTTAAACACGTTTACATCTTTGTATAAACTTCTGCAGTATATAAACATATATCCACAAAAGTTGATCAATGCTATTTTTCTAGTTTTACCAGCTAGTGATGTAATTAAAAGTTAAAGAATAATAAAAACCCTCAGACCAATAGTGTGAGATAAAACCTAAAAATCCCGTATAAGAATAACAGCGCACTATGCTTCCATTGTTTTAAAATGTAAAGTTACTTAGTACTTAAGAGGTCCAATTAAAAGAAGCTCTTACCAATAAACGGCCAATACTTATATAATGTGCCAATGCCTGGATATACTTTAGGTCCGGGAATGTCGTCAAAACTCATTATACCAGAAGAATTTTTAGCTTCATCTTGCGAGAAATTTTGACTGCTCGTTTGTTTTCTCTTAGTCCATTGTACATTGACCTTTGATAAGGTTCTTAAATGAAGAGTTTTTAGCATTTCTCTATTACGTTTCACAAAACACAAAACAAGCACGCTACGCTTGGCCTGTCTCGCCTCACTGAGCTTCAGTTCAAATTACAAAATATCGTCGTAGAAAAATGAGATGCACATATAAAGCAAAAAGTTATAAAAACAGCTGAAGATGTAGACTCGCCAGGTATAAATTACATATTTATATAAGGACTAGCGTCTGACCCTCACTCCGCTCGGGTTCTTCCCTAGTGAAAATTTAGATTTGTATGTATTTTTTAATGCGGAATCATAAAAAAAATATTATTTTTGTCCAAAATATAAAAATAAATGTTTTGGGGTGGACCACTCTTATCACTTAGGATTATGAAAAATAGTTTACGACCTATTCTCAGACCTACTTAACATACACACAAAACTTCATAAGAATCGGTCAAGCCGTTTCGGAGGAGTTTTGTTACAAACACTGACACGAGAATTTTATATACCTACTAGCGGACCCGACACACGTTGTCCTGTCTACACGTCTTTAATTTGAAAATTTCAAACTTTTTTTAATATATTATTTTCTATTAAAAAAATTGTGAATCTAAACCATTCCCAGATCCCCTTGAACACACACAAAAAATTTCATCAAAATCGGTCCAGTCGTTTGAGAGAAGTTCAGTGACATACACACTCACAGAAGAATTATATATATAAAGATTAAAAATTAGATTTAGCTACTAAATAGTAAATTTTATTTTTCACTTATCATTGTCTTGTTTTTGAAATTGTAATGTAAGAATGTTTTCCACCTTTCGGTGATGTCTTATGAACATATATACATACATATATATGTTTATGGTTAGGTATATTTAATATTCCAATGTTTTTAGGGTTCAATACTACAGATGAAAAAATGTCATTATTATTGCCGTATTACAGCCTAATAAACCGCAGAGTTCTTATGATGAAAAGCATATTTTTTTAGGTAAATTTAATTACCTGACTGCGCCAGAAAGAGAGTTGGATGTATATTTGTTTGGCACGCTCTGTCTGTAGCCTAAACGGCTCTACGGATTTTAACTTAAGAGGTGTCGATAAAGATTCGTCTTATTTGTCAGAGTGGCACTGGGTACTATATCAAAAATTATTATAAAAATTAAAATGGCCGATATTTGACGGCATATTATATCTACAAAAAAATGTTTCCTCAAAACCTATCAAGTGGGGTATCAAAATAAAGGGTTACTTAACTTATATGTTCAAATCTAATTTGGAATTAGAAATTATTTACAAATATAAAATATAAAATTTATTTACAAATATAAAAAATCCGCCTGCGTAAAAACTAAATAGCAAACTAAAAAGATAAAAACAATTTGACTAAGGAATATAGTATAATGCAGGGATGGCCAACCGGTCGATCGCGATCGACCGGTCGATCGCGGCTATTAGTCCAGTCGATCGCGGCAAGGCAAAAAATATAAATATTAAATACATATAACAGACTGCTCAACGTATTCACCAAATGCAGCGCGTACCAACTGGTGTGATTTTTAAATGCCGACCCATCACGTTATTTATTCTTTCTTCCACACAGCAGCTTTTGTTTTTAAAATGTTAAGAAATATTTGTATAAATATTGTATAGTAGATCGCACTGAGATTCGTAAGTAAAAAGTCGATCTTGGGTCTAATCAAGTTGGCCACCCCTGGTATAATGTATGCTGTCGGTGACATATTCACACGCAGCTATTATAAAATACGTTCATGTGTTGATTTTTTATTCTGTTACAAAATTGTTTGCTATTTAAAAATAGAACTTCTTAAATTTGAACAGTCGAATTATTTATATAGCATAAAGAAGATATACTTATCTAAGTGATTAGCCGATTATAATATAACTTGCTTGTATGTATGTGTATAGCTTTAAATTATTGAATCAAACATAAAAAAAATAATATCAAATTATTCAATTTCCACTAGTACTTGGCTTAGTACTAGCGGAAGACTTAGACTTAGATCATACTTTGGTTCGCAACATTTGAACACTGGGCTGGAATGTCACGATGCTTTCGGATACCTTCCCGCAGTCAATATTGTATCAACCACAGAAATCTTAATAATAAGCTAATAGAAGTGGCATAGACGCGTGACCTTGTCGCCGCGCATGTGACTCGTAGGTCACAAGCGCGTGTAAAGCGTTTGTTGCGGTAACTAGTGTTATTTGAGACACGGAGAGGTAAACATGGTGTTTTGCAGCATATCCAACTGCGGAAATTCTTCCACAATTTGTAACTTTACAAATAAAGGGATAACATTTCATATATAAGTACTTAATTTTTGAAATAATGTCGTTTTTAAGAAATATAGCCAAATCAAATGTTTTCACCACCACTACTACGATTATCGCAGGAAAACGTTTTTTTTTCAATTCAATAACCATTACCACTTAAGCTTGTTCATGTCTACTATTACAACTGCTAAAAGCAGCAATGAAATAATAGTCATGCGTAGAGAACAATATCGTCGCGTACGTAAATTCCAAGGACACGCCGCATAAGTTGACCGCGAATTAGTGACGTGCCACCACTATTTTTTATCGAAAATTTATTACGTTTGGCTTAATATTTTTCGTTAAATATTTAATTGTTACATCTCATTATGTATGTTTTCTTTCTGTCTGAATAATTTAAAAAAGTCATTTATCAACGATTATCTGTAAATTCGTACTTTTAAACTACTTTTTCATTCAGAAAATTATTAGGAGGTAGGCTTATTATTGTTATGTATATGGGTAAGTCAAAAACAGTATGCGTTGAATATCCTTGTATCGTTGACATGTTCCGCATTTACCTTTTTTTTTTTTGATTTGATTTGATTGAGTAAATAATTCTAAGGGCGAGTTGTTTGATAAACATAACATAGAAATTCTATAAAAAAATTTAAGTCATTGTTAAAAATGTATAGGATTTTAACAAATAGTTTGCATAACTTTTGTATAATAATAATAATATTTATTGCAAAGGTATACACCCAATTTAGAATATAATAACATATATGTAGTTATACAAGTCAATTTTTATATCACTTATGCATATATATGCAAGTGAATAAAAACATTATAAAAACAAAATTCAGTCACACTCTTCATTAAATTAAACTAGAATTAAAAACAATATATCGCTGTTGAGTATATAGTAGCGTTGAGTGTATAACTATATAATAATAAAAAAAATTACTTACTTTTAACGTTTTATTGTATTCCCTTTATGAAAATAAATAAATCGTCTAAAATCGCGTCGAGGAATGAAACATAAAACACTTTCAATAAATTAGTTACCTATTGTTGCACGACTCAACGGAAAATTATCGATATGAGCATTATGCGCTTTGTGCTGCACTAGAAGTGACCGCGCGATATCATTCTGTGCTTTTCGCACACGTTTATTATTGGTCACAGGGATCACGGGTTCTGAGATTATGCGTTTTTAGAAAATATTGCGTAAAGTTTAATTTTTGTTGCAACAATGCAAAATGCATGTGTGAGCGATAGTGTGTATTTATTGTTTGTCAAGGTGTTGGTAGCTGCAAGCCGGCGACACGCGTCCCAGTACTAAAAGACCGCAATGGCATTTCTATTACCTTATTATTAAGATTTCTGTGGTATCAACAGTATCTGCGTTCAATGAGTTTCGATGAGCTGCTTTAATGTTTTTCTAAATTACTATTATGATAATGTTGCCAGCTAAACTATAAATACCCGCTTTTACCCCGCTAAACGCAAATACCCGATAAAATTACCCACAATCAAAAAATCGCCTAAAATAACCCGCTTTTCGGGTAAATACCCGTCACGGGCCACCTAAAAATGATCTATCAAAAGATAAGAGTTATTTCCTAGGACGATGTATTGTGATACATCGTCCTAGGTTATTCCATATGACCCCAAAACGCGAAGCTAAGAAACGCACAGGGAGGTTGCCCACTTCGGTGGGCGGTGGGAGGTCGGGTGCTTCGGCAGACCTGCCGTCGGGGCGTCGTAGTTGAATGCGTAAGCGATCCTGCGACGCCCCATTAAGACGGGGGAAGGTTTTGTTGGGTTTTAGTGGGTAGTACTGGCGTTGCCGGTGAGTCCTACACGTCGTGCGTAAATGCATTTCCCAACGTTAAAAAAAAAAACTTTCAGAGTCTGTTGAACTGTTCCTTAGGATCCTTAAGAAAATAATTTACGCTTATTTTTATATGCTCCCGTTTCCGCTCCGAATTTAGAATTTCAAGTAATGTCATTTTTATGCTTTATCAATTTTAGCTGTAAAAAATTTACTATTTATTCTATACGTTTGAGACGGCATTATAAACGGGAAAGCTAATATTAGTTTTAAAACATCAATTATTATCAATTGTTGATGATGTTCCCCTGACCGATTCCGGCCACGGCGGTCAATCTCATTAAGACGAGCCAACTGCGCAGGAGATATTATAGTGCGTAGTTACAAGTGTACGCGTAGACACAGGTGCACTCTCTATTCCTGTCACTCTCATACTCCGGTGGGACGACTACTCGACACGACCGGTGAGAGTTAAGGCGCAGGACCGACGGCTTTACGTGCTCTCCAAGGCACGCGGGCGATACACCGCCAACTTCCCAACTCCGGGCTGTTACTGAGGCTTACTATACAGAAAGACTCAATAACTAAACTTGGCCCGACCCGGGACTCGAACCCAGGACCTCCGGATGTGCAGCCCTACATGCTAGCCACTACACCACCGAGGCAGTTAAAAATTATTCAGCGTCCGAAAATTTTGATATAGTCAATATTGTAAAGCTAAGATTTAAAAAAGAATTGATGTTTTAATACTAAAAGTTTGTAGTTATATTTTTTTCAATCATTTAATACCTGCATGGATAATTTTTACTCTCAGTGTACTCATAACTCTAATGAATAAAATAAGCGTAAATTATGTTCTTAGGGATTGTAAGGAACAAACTCTCAAAGTTAGAGCAAAATCTAAAATTACTCAACTTTGCCAACCAGACATTTTCCAATGGAATGACTCAAATGTAAAAGTACTCATGTCAAACAAAATATATCCTAAGAATATTAATACGTTATTACAAAATTATAAAACTTACAACAAATAAATCATGAAATATTTTTTTGTTAGGTTTAAAATAAAAATAAAGTATTTTTATAATGTCATCTTTAATTTTACTATTTTTATTGGTATTCGTGCTTCAATAACTTTGTCAACAAGGTTTTCACCTATAGGACTAATAGCTCTTATATCTAAACTACTCAAGTCTGTAACTATATCTATGTTTCTCCTCCATTTTTCTAGACCATTCCAAGCAATCATTATTCCATTATCTGTACATAACTTTGGCTTAGGCCTTAAAATTTGGTAATTAAATTCATTACATAGCATTGTTAAGGTATTAAAAATATAGTTGTTACATGCTACTCCGCCAGAAACTACTAACTGTTTTTTATCAGCAGGTATCAAATTGTTTCTTTCACAAAACTCTATAGCTCTTTGAGTTCTATGGACCAAATGTCGAGAAACAGACATTAATATAGCTGCACATAAATCATTGACTTCTGGAATTAATTTGTCCGCTGCTATATTGTGATCTCTTTCTTTCTTAAAAATATGATAAAGTGCCGATGTTTTTATTCCATTAAAACTAAAATTACAATCTTTATATTGTGTTAATGGGAGAGGTAGTATAAACATATGTGGATTTTTTGCTTTCGATGCTGCCACCTCAACAGCCTGGCCTCCACACATTTGTGAATATTCTGGTATATTACGTAGCTTCATTCTTCTAGCTACTTTGTCAAAAACTTCTCCTGGTGCACAGTCCATACTTTCACCTAATAACTGAAATTTATTAACATCTTGAACTACAACAAGTAAACAATGTCCTCCAGATATAAGTAAGGTTAAATATGGGAATGTAATATCATGTTGCATCCTTGCAACTAAAGCATGTGCTTGCATATGATGAATAGGTATAATGGGCTTATTAAAGTTCCTTGCTAAGTGCTTTGCATATTTCATACCTATTGCAAGACTTAATGGAAGTCCTGGCTCTAATGTAACAGCGATTGCAGTTATATCAGATATGGTTAAGTCAGCTGCCTTCAATGTTGTATGCACTATAGGCTCAATATATTTTCTATGAAGATCTTGAGCAACATCAGGTATGATTCCACCATTACGCAAATGTACCAAATTTTGCGAATGTAATGACTCTGCTAATAAATGTCCACTATCATTAATAATAGCACATCCTGTGTCGTCGCACGACGTTTCTATTCCCAGAATACATGAGTATTTACGCATAGACCTCTGCAAATTATTATTAACAAAAATGTCGGAATATTTCTTAAAGGTAGCGTAAATAGTTTTTGATTTCATCATTTTTATTTATTAGATTATACAGAATTATTACACGCAAAAAAAAACTTGAGAATATTATTAAATATGTATAAAGACATAATAAGAATAAGAATTATGGTATATAAATTAATAAATAACTACTTAATTAAGATTTACATTTCTTTTACATAAATTATTAGGTTATTTATTTTTTATCTTGTCATATTTGAAACTTGACACTTGACAGTTGTCACTTGACAGTGTTTAAATAGGCGATACGTGTGGCGTCCTCCTTTCGAAAAATTGTCCGGGCATTAGGTACATTGATATCTAAATTGGGCATCCCTATCTTTTGTCACCTGCGATTGTCACTTGTGACACCTGACTAGTTAACAGTTTTTATTCTTGTGTTGTTCCTAGTCTGTGGTTTTGATCTTTATAATTTGTCAATTGTCATCCATGATTTTGATTGATCATTGAAGTTGAACTATTGCTAGCGATATATATAAACTATATTGGTTATTGTGAAATTATAGTTTAAATAACGTCATATTCATTATCACTTGCCAAATAATGCTTAGCTACGTAACATTACTGCACTGGTTTCAAGTTTAATTAATTTTGAGCTCTGAAAAACAAGACAAGATGGATATTTTGGAGAAAATTTACCACAACATAAAACAACAATTTACTTTCGTGCCGGCAACAGTTTCTAAGACAGTGGACACAGTCAATAAATCTATTAGTCAAGTAAGAATACCGCCGCTCACGAAAGAAAATGTTTTGTTTTACTATTTACCAATGCAAGGTCTCGTTAGTTACACAACTCTGTCTGTAGGTGTGATGAACCCACATTTAATGGTGAGGTATGTAGATTCTTGCTTGTATATGGATTATCAATACAAAATTAATATTTAGACTACTAGGAATCTCTTGTTCTCCAATCTTTTATCCATCCTTGTTTCACTCAAGTCCTAACTGAAGATCTGGCTGTGTTTACAGACTGACCCTAATAACAAATTATATCCATGTTGTACAAGATAAAGTACTTATTTGCATATCATTTTCTTAATAGTAATTTTTCTATTTATGAAAATCCCATTAGAATCAGACTGAATTAATAAATAAACTTATTCAACCATACAAGCTGAATTCGTATAATAATAATTACTTCTCATTGAAAAGCTCGTTTTAGTACATTATATATAATAAAATTAATAATAGTCTTAGTATAAATAGCACTTAAGATTTTATATTAATAATTGAATTTCAAAATATTAATGACAAACATTATTTTCAGGTTATTTCCCCGGCGAGATATAACTGATGTATTATTTCTTTCCGCTGGGGGAGGTGCTGGACTATGGCTATGGGCCCGTCCTCACATTGCAGCAGCAGCACCAGCAAGACGATTCTCTTGGGCTTTTCTAGGTGGTTGTTTATGGCCTCTTGGGTCCATTTTCTTATGGGCAATATTAAGAAGTTCTATAGGACAAAAACCTATCCTTGGGACAGTCCTTGGTGTTACAACTGGAGCCATGCTCACAAATATTGCTATAGATTATTTTAATTATGTAGAGCTCATGTTTTGTGGTGAGGTTCGCTTGCCTGATGATACATATAGTCCTAATAGTGATGATGAAAATATGCCCTTCTAAAACACATTGTTATTTAGTTTTTCCATGAATTGTTTTGATACAACATATGATAAACAAAACCTTTTTCTGCTTACTGTCTATGTGTGTATAGAAATTATTGACATAACTTAAACTAAATTATTTTGATATAAATATGGATGTATGTTGGATGTTGTGAATTCGTGTTTTTAAGTGCTTAATTAAATTATTCCTCTAAACAAGTTTTTTTATTTCTTGTTTTTTAGTGTTCTGTTTATATATATGTAGTTTGTGGGTTTCTAAAACTACAGACATAGCTGTTTTGCTTTTATAGGTCCAACATTTTTCCATTCATCATTCATTCAACATTTTTCCATTCATCATTCATTCAACATTTTTCCATTCATCATTCCAACATTGGTCCATTCACAAACATCAAAACGATTTTTTGGCCCGTGACTTTCTGCTATATAACTAGCTAACTTGTTTCCCCATAACAAACTTTCATCCCCATTTTCACCCCCTTAAACTCTTCCGGAATAAAACGTATCCTATGTCCTTCCCAGGGTTTCAAACTATCTGCTTACCAAATTTCATCTAAATCGGTTCAGTAGATCCAGAGATTACCCCCTACAACATCACAAACTTTACCTCTTTATAATATTAGTATAGATTAGTTTTCTCATTTTCAATATCCCATGATGATAATTGCTCAAAATATGTTAGTGTTTTAAAAAGAACCCGATTAATATTATCAAAAAATTCTTATAATAGTATAAAATTAATAAAGTTTATAGGCTATATTATCAAAAAATTCTTATAATAGTATAAAATTAATAAAGTTTATAGGCTATATACATCAGCTTTGAGAAGCAGAGGATATACTATACACTTAACAAACAAAGCTGATAAGATGACAAAGCTCATCACCCCCATATACACAATATGCTTAAAAACCATGCAGTATGACTATTTCAATAAGATTTTCCAAAAAAATATTTAATATACAGATTCCACTCAGAATTTTATTATATGTATAGATTTAGAATGTTAAAATTATTATTTTCTTCATGATTATTCAGATAAAACACAAATTACTTGGATTATTCAGTTTTATTCAAAAATCTGTAGTGACAATTTTTTGTTTTGTGATAACAATACATTAGTTATTTTGGGGTGGTTTGGACCATTCTACATTTAAAATTAAATGATCATAGCCATAGCCATTCAAGGTTTGAATAGCTTTAGCAGCATCAGCTCGAAACTTGAAATGAACATAAGCAAATCCTTTGCATTGACCGGTGCTCTGAAATGAAAAATTACATTATATATCTGTCTATAAGTTAAGTATAGCTTAATTTACATACTAATAAAAAAGTAAAATTACAACATATTTGCCTACATTTACTTGATACAATAATAACATATAGCCTATGTAACTACTCTTAATCATAAGTAAATAAACTTATTATTTTTTCTATATTTTATAATTTTATTTATTATATTCTATCTCCAAATACAAATAATTAATAAAAGATACTTAAATATTACAAACTAATGAAATTCATAATATGCAATTAAGATACACATTTGCTTAAATGTCATTAAATAATTAAATACTATACCTTTTCCTTTGCCAGATAAAGCTTATGTACAGGTCCAAAGCCTCTAACCAAGTCGTCAAGATCAGCTTCCACAGCAAAGTTACTAAGGTTTGAAATACGAATGGCAGCCAAATCATCTCTTCTTGCACCTGGGGGTTCATGGCCGGGTCTGCGAACTGCTCCTTCTCGCAAATTAGGTGCAACATATTTGTTTGAAGTTGCAGCTTTTGCTTCTGTAATATTGAATATTTCCATTAAAATACCACCCTATCCTATTATTCCTTTTTTAAATTCTTCCTTGACAAACTTGTTTACTAATTTTGTTATTTTGTTTACCGAACAATGCAATTAGAAAAAAAAGAGAATGATGTATTATTAAAGTAACAAATAATATTTTAACAATTGTGGCAATAATATACCTGCAGCTTTAGCAGCTTCACTAGCCTTTGCTTGAGCAAGCTCAGTGTGTTGGAATGGACAGCTTGTGGTCCAATGCTCTCCATGGCAAGTACGACACTTGAAGAGAACCTTAGTTGGTCTGGCCTAAAAGAAATTGTATGGTTTTATATAGATAAAAAATTTCATGCAAATATCCTTCTTCATTTATAACTTCATGGTGTACATTTTCATAAACACATCAGATCAGCAATCAATTTTAATTATTAATTTTTTTATGTTAAAACTTGTTTTGACATTTTAAAGTAGTATTATAAAAAGTATAATTTTGAAAAGTACCTTAAGTGCCTCTAAATCACCCTCATCTGGACGTTGCGCTTCCTCCTTACTGGTAATAAATTGCATATAGACATCTTCAGACACATTAGTAGTAGCAGGATTTGGTCCAGGTTTATCATTGGCAGAATCACCGAACTTATTCCAAGTTTTACGTTTAGCAATGCTCTAAAACATACAATATCCTATTAGTAAATAATATTAACAATTTGAAAAACAGAAAATAATTCATAAAATATTTAACAAAATGTCTAGGACTATTATTTTACCTTTGATACAACTCTTTTTTCTATCTTATACGTGCGAACAATCTTAACTTTTTTATTATCATTATCATACTTATATTCTGTTACTATTTTAAGTCCATTTTCAACTACTTCAGAAGGTGGGGGCAGAGCTCCTTGATCGATTTCAACTTCGTCTGCCCATGAGGACTGAATTTCATCAGCAACTGGCATCTAAATTTGTCAATAATAAGTAAAGATTATTAGTAAAAGCTTTACCACGAAAAATAAACGTAAATTGATTACATTGTAAAGTCGCCATCACTTAAAACAAGTTGTCGACTTGTCACATTATAACCTTACTTTCCTGTTTGATATACAATACGAAGCAATATTACAGATACTTACGTTTTCTCGACTGAGAATTTGCTTTTCAGCTTTTATATTTACTACAGCGTTATACGAAAGTTATTAATTTTTGAAGAAGTATTTCTGAATGAGATGAGGCACAATTTTTCAGAGAGAAAGACCTGTCAGGCTGTCACCTGTACATTTTACTCTATGAAAAAAAAACTATAAAAACTACAGGATATCTAATAAAATATAAGTTACAGATAATATAAATTATATTTGCATGAAAATGGGGAAGATTTCTCTAAAGGAGGTCGCTACATATATGGCCTATTTACATTCAGTCTGAGGAAGCAATCTAATGTGATATCTCTAATCTCTATAATGCCTAGTTTTGTGCTTCTATTGTGTTTGCATCTTAATTCTTACCTGTGCAATGTATTGTACCTGTAAGTTAGACCAGCTGCAGGAAGAATTGAGAAGGAGAGGTGCATCCTAACACTGCACAATTTTTCATTTTTAATCAAATTTCAAATAAATTGAAAAAAAATCCATCCTCACTATAGAGCTTAACAATATACTGAGGATTACAGTGATTGAGACATTATGGTGGGAGAAAGAGGGAAAATTCTACCCCATTAAGTACCTACCTCCGCCCTTTTTAGTATCATATTATAATATTATAAATGTGAACGTTTAGATGTTCGTATGATTGTTACTCATTCACGCCAGAACGGCTGAATGGATCTGGATGAGATTTAGCATAGAGATACATTATAGTCTTAAATAGGACATAGAATATTTTTTATCTCGGAAAAATGTATCATTCCCGTGAAATATCCATGTATTTTATTGTATCTTTTGAAAACTTGCTAGGTTCTCTCAGACATGCAGGTTTCCTCACGATGTTTTCCTTCACCATTAAGGCAAGTGGTAATCATGTTGGAAATGATTCGCACATGAAAATATCAGAGGTGCGAGACCCGGATTTGGACTCGCTTCACTCGGTTTCCCAAGCGAGCGCGTTACCAGTTACCACTGGGCTACCACTGCCTTTTTTGAAATATCCATACTAACCGTTAAAACATACCTAGGGACGAACCCGAACGAAGCGAGGGTGAGTTTGGCACCAGCCAATACGACTTCGAAAATATCTGATTAGGTATCTATTTTAAATGAAAACCCCCGTTTAGTTATTTTTTACTTTTCAGTGCCTGGAACTTGGAAGTAGGTTTTTTTATAGACACTAGATTTTAAAATAAACTTGCGAATAGATGCATGTTTAATATTACATCTTACTTCAAAGTAATATTACTTCAATTTAATTTTTTGTTGATAAAACTAAGATTATATCAAATACAATATCAGATTATTAATAGATTAACATAAAAAACTAACAAGATTTTAATGCAACTTGCAAGATGTGGTTGCAAAGTAGAACGTGACATATCTCGCAACGAAGTCATCAGATTCTCAGAATGAGAGGAAAAAAGACAACAGTTATGCTGTTATACTTCAGTCTTCAAGTATTCATAGACCAATGACTATAGATTAGAGTTGATTTTTTTATATGTAGCAATATACTCTATGGTTCATTTGATAATTGTTTGGCCAAGTGACCACTGTGACCAGTGTCGATTCGCAAAAGTTGCAGCTGCAATTTGTATTTTGTTTTAGTGTTTTCGTTTAATTTTATGAGATAGTATTGTTTTGTGTTATAACTATTACATGAACGTATTATAAAATATTCGAAATAGTAATTCAAGTAAGAATTTATTAATTTACTGCATATTATGCCTGCAAAATAGTGGTGCTTAATGTGAACTTAACTTTTTGTATCGTGATATTCTACACACAGTAATCGAATGTTCTTGGAAGCTTGAAACTACGCATGGAATTTTAAGTCATTTACCATTGTGGTATGTAGTCGTAATATATTTTATTTTGTTTTTTTTTTAACATTATTTACATTTTTCACAAAAAACAAAGACGTTTATCTATATATTTATGTTTACCGTTTAAAAATCCTCCGCCCTATTTTGATGTATGTGTAAAATCAAAGTTCACACTTCATTAAAATATTAATTCATAGTTACACTTATCATAATATTATAATACAGCAGTTTTTATTTCTATTTATTATCAATGTTATGTACTATTTTAAATACAGTTCAACTCTTCGTAATTTGGCTTAAAAATAATTTTATATTTTTGAAAGTTTGCAAGCTTAGAAATATATTCCTAACTCGCACACTTTTAACTTAATAAAGACCAAAGCTTTGCATCTGTAAAGGGATTTTATTTTTCCAAGCTAGGTTTATTACCTTAGTAGACTTTTAAAGACCACATTTTTAAAGTCTTTCCTTTTGCTTCAAGTAAGTACCTATCTATATCACTTCAAGGGGGCAGTGGCATAGCCAAGGGGAGTGGAGTGGGCAATCAGCCTCAGGATAAATCCAATTGGGAGAAACATCAGTTTGGTTGTGATATTCAGACTAAAAAAAGGAAAGCCTCTATTCCTTTACAGTATACTAGAGACTCACTCTCGCTTCGCTCTGGTTCATCCCTAGATTGATTCCCTATACAAACTTTCAGCCCCATTTTCACCCCCTTAAGGGATGATTTCCAAGATAAAAAGTATCCTGTGTCCTTCCCAGGGTCTCAAACTATCTTCTTACCAAGTTTTCTCTAAATCGGTTCAGTAAATCCAGAGATTAACCCCTTCAATATCACAAACTCACAAACTACCTCTTTATAATATTAGTATAGATGTTTATGATGTATTTTTTTAAGATCACTATTAAGGACCACATTATATATATATATTTATTAATTTATTTCTTTCGTGTCTCTTACAAATATTTTTTTACATGTCCAAGTAGAGTAACTTGACCTTTTCGAGTGACTTACCATTTATATTTTTATTCATTTATATTTATATATTATGGTAAAAGTCATATATATATATATATATATATATATATATATATATATATATATATATATATATAATAAACCTTATAAAAATATAATTAATCATTATGACTAATTTTGTTAAGTTATATAAAAACCATCATAAAACAAAGCATTGGGAAATCATAATTATGAATGGTACAACACATGTTGAAATATAATACTTCGGCAATCAATACTAATGATTAATTATTGTAATTTAAGAATATATGTTTCATTTTTATGATTTATCTCTCTTCGGTTCTGCTCATTTAGTAGGTAGGTTGATAAAAAGAAGCATTTTTGTTAATCTAGGACTTTTTTTTTGTAATCTAAGTAAAAACATAAAAGATTCAGTAAGTCAATTTTGAAGTTTTGTATTTTAAATATCAATGTGTCATTTACTTAAATCTATGAACATATAATGTCTTATCTAATTTCCAAAATAGTTTGTAATAATGTAATGAGTCATAGTTTCATTGTAAGTAAATTTTTTTTGAAGTGGACAGTGTGTTTGACCATATTGTGTCTTAAATTTTTTATATACAAAGTAAAAGTGCAACACAATTCTATGGATTAAACTCACATTACTAAAAAAGTAAATAGGTAGCTTCTCTATAGTATAATTATTGTTTTTAATAATAACTTATTTGTTATACAGGTTTGACAAGTATCAACAATGTTACGATTTTTAAGTAGACGGGGCAGATCTTCAAGCCAGACGCGAAATAAACAAAATCAGAAAGCTTCCACAAACAAAAATTTGATACAATGTAAGGTAATGTTACTCGATGAGACTGATTTATCCATAAATTTATCGAAAAAAGCTAGTGCTGGCGATCTTTATGAGCAAGTGTTTTATTCATTAGATTTAATAGAAAAGGATTACTTTGGCTTGCAATTCACTGATACAAATAATGTGAAACATTGGTTGGATCCCACAAAAACGATTAAAAAACAAGTTAAAATTGGTCCACCTTATACCTTAAGACTTAAGGTAAAATTTTATTCATCTGAACCAAACAACTTAAGAGAAGAATTGACTAGGTATCAGTTCTTTTTACAATTGAAAAGAGATATATTAGAGAGTAAGCTAGAATGCCCACATTCAACAGCTGTGGAGTTAGCAGCGCTAGCTTTACAATCGGAATTGGGTGATTTTGACGAGTCAATACACACACCAGCAACCGTGTCGGAGTTCCGATTTGTACCAAATCAAACAGAAGAAATGGAAATAGAAATACTTGAAGAATATAAAAAATATAAAGGTCTCACTCCTGCTCAAGCTGAAGTAAATTATTTAAACAAAGCAAAGTGGCTGGAAATGTATGGTGTTGATATGCACATTGTATTAGGCAAAGATGGGTGTGAATATCATTTAGGGTTAACGCCCACAGGAATACTTGTATTTGAAGGACCACAGAAAATTGGCTTATTTTTCTGGCCTAAAATAAGCAAATTAGATTTTAAAAAGAAAAAACTGACTTTAGTTGTCGTCGAAGATGACGATCAAGGTCGTGAACAAGAACATACTTTCGTATTTCGCTTACACAATGAAAAAGCCTGTAAACATCTTTGGAAATGTGCTGTAGAACATCACACTTTCTTCCGCTTACGAGCCCCAGTCAAAGGTCCATCTGCAAGGCAAAACTTCTTTAGGATGGGATCTAGATTTCAATATTCCGGAAAAACAGAATATCAAACAACGCAACAAAATCGCGCACGACGCACAGTTCAGTTCGAACGACGACCGAGTCAACGTTTTGCCCGAAGGCAGAGTCACGTGCTTAGAGAAAGAGAAAAACAAAGTACAGTAGTAGCAAAACCCGAAACTCCACAACCTGAACCCAGTACGTCAGCGGAGGCTACCGCATCGGCCGTTGAAACTGGTCTTGACACTTTGTCTAGGAAGAGTAGCGCGAAATCTCAAAAGTCTACTTTGATGGAACCTGATAAGACAATCGAAGTAAGCGAATCTTCATCTAAAAAACTTGTCAATGATGAGACTCTAGAAGAGGCCACGATATCGAAGGAAGACGCGATCAGCAATAAATTTCTTTTTAAAGCAGACAAAGCTGAAGACAAGAAAAATAATTTGACTCAGCTTGTGATTAACAAGCCACCTTGCAACTGTTCACCTGTAGCAGAGTTTAATCCACTGAACGATCTTTTGATGAGTTTAGTCAAAGAAAAATTGAACAATGATGATTCTAAAAATGAAGTGAAAAAAGACCAATTGGATACCGTTGACAACGAATTGCCAAACAATCAGACTAAATGCTATTTACTTTCGAATAAAAATTTGCCTCCAGGACAGCTTAAATGTAATAACATCCTTAAAGCGAGAGAAAACGAAGTCAAAATTATTAACGAATCATCGAATATAAACTTGTCTATACCATCTACTCCTTCACCTAAAATAATAAACGAAACAAATTCTAATAATTCTCAGTATGTTTCTATTGTTGTTGTTGAACCGCCGCGTTCCCAGACAAAATTGGCTTCACCGAAACCAGTCGAGAGGAAGGAAGAAATAATACCTAAACCTCAACCGATTTCATCTCTCTCACCGTGGTTGGTCAGTTCTGAGCCAAGTTCTCCTTCTGGAATAGGAGAAAAAGAAATAACGATAATCCATCGTAAATCTGTAATCACAACTCAACTATAGGATTTTTCCTACTAAAATAAAAAAAATATTACGAGTTAAATTATAATAGCCATGACAGTTCAAACAAGTTATTCAAAAAGTGAATTATTGCTGTAATGATACATTAATTAGGCGGTTATTTTACGCAAATATCTAAATAATCTGCATCAATACAAGTTATTAAAGTGATATTAAGCACATTTAAACTGATGAATATATTTCCTAAAAAAATAACGTGAGGTGCTCCGAAATTACTAAGTAATTTCAGGTGTCAGCAATCGGAACGTGACATAGTGCCTTATAAATAATTAAATTTAATTGTTTTAGAATTATTCCAATACATTTATATATTTTATTTTCATTTCACTTTTAAGTTTCGGAGGAAACCAAAAGCGAGATGCTTCATTTCCCATTAAAAATTACGCCTACATGTATGTCTTCATAGCGATTTCTAATCGCACGTGCCTTTATGTAGAGACAAACTTAACAGATTAACAAAAACATGTCTCCATAATAACGCCTACAATAATAAAATATTTTTACAATATAGTTTAAGAAATTAGTACATATTTACAGTAAAATGTTTTGATTCATACCATAAGATGAATTCAAGATATTTGTTCATAAATAAAATATTTTGCTTAACATAAAAGAACTTAAGCATTAATTAAAATTAATGGTTATTATGAAAACATGAAATTATATAGCCTATATGAAATATTGATCTTCTTTTTGTTCTAGTATAAGTATTAAATATAAAATATGCAATACAGCCTTCTCATAGACCGAGTAATGTCTTTAAATTGGCTTATGTTAAGGTGATTTGTTTTTTTTAATTGAGTTTGCATATATAATATTATATTGGTGCTGATATATTGCATGTCTATATAAGAAAGATATATCATCGAATTACAGTACTTAGCATGTTACTTAATAAAAGATCTCGTCATTCCAATCGCTTTACTCGAATTTGAAGTTGGTTAACTTTATCCATAATAAAATTGTTAGATTTAATGAATTGATATAAGACAACGTCCAAATCGTCTACTATATTTTAATGAAAACAAACATTTCCAAGTTTACATTCAAGTATTACTATAAGGTATACTTACGTGTATATTTGAATCCCCAAATATATTTAAAATACGCTAAAATCACACAGTACAAGAGTTTATTATAACCAGTATTATTAGAATTCATAGAACGCAGGTGCCATAGATTCAAATTAAAAATTGAATTATAAAAAACTGAACAGTATACTTTTATTAAAAAATTAATGTGATATTTTTTAATAAAGTATCAATAGAAATTTCGATCGATGCGTCTTGTGATGGTAGGATTGAAGACCTACACGATCTGTCTACTTTATTCTGAGACTGACAATGAAATTCATTTGAAATTTAATAACATATACACTAGTGCATTCTATGTCTATATAAAATATTATAAAATTTTCAGTATTGTGAACAGTATGTTTTTTGTTTATTCAATTTCCCTTGAATATAGTGTAATTATTGTAATAAAATTATGTAATGGAATTGTAGAATTTTAAACTTTGTACACAATGCTTTGTGCCTATTTAAGTATTCATACTTGTTCAGCCATAAAATGTGATGGTGCTCGGTATATAGAAATGTAAGTTATTGGCTTATGCTATACATATCGTATTACAACCGTCCTGTTCGTATTTTAAGGATTAATATTCTATACAAGCTATTTACTTTATTATTGTACTTAATCTAAGCTTGGTTTATTCTGCGATGTTTATTGATTACAAGCAAAATTGCCTTAATGATACGTAATTAATATATTTTTTTTTTAACGTAACACTAATTTAAATATCTTGCTATAGCCGGTAAGTGATTTTTGTAGCTATGCCAAGCTATAATATTAACAATTTTGTCAAATGATAAATTTTTAAGTCTTTAAAAAACTATACTATATATCTGATTAACAAACTGACTTTTCAATCAATTATTATAATTATTAATCAAGTAATTTATACAGTTATTAATAAACGCTGTTTTAAGACATTGTTATTACAATTTACCTTTTGTTGTACTCATTTCTATTTTCTTAAGTTTTAAGAATATTATATAAAGTATAAATATATAATAATAAATCAAATAACATTTGTTTTATTTCTTTACTTAAAAAATTTGACATAGGTAACTATTATTCAACTTTATTAAAAATCTCATGCATTTTATCCATGTTACCTTACCTCCATGGTATACATATGTGGCATGCGTACTGTCTGTTTCAATAGGACAATAAAAAAAATATCTTGCTATCAAATGCGACTTAGCTTTGTTGTTTTTTAGTCATATAAATTGATCCGACTTATTAAAATGTCTTCGGAAAGGTCGTCGTCTAACTATGATTTCCAGTTCTCTTCTAAACGTTACTTTATTAATAATTTGGATTCATATAACGGCAAATGCATTTTGAAAGAAATGTCTAAAGTGTTGGAGCAGAATGCGACAGAATCTAATAAACAGTCGTCACAAACGATGCTTGGAGAGAGCGATGTAATGCCACCTTCACTACCAGTCCAATCATACGAAATAATAGGTAAAGCTGTAATTTTAATAACATGTTATATCTTCTTGGTTGTAATGGCACATTATTTAAAATCTAATAATCCTGTTGATTTGATTACTAAGTAACTAAGGATTTGTTTAAAATTTCTTTTATTTCTTGAATGTTAATGTATTGTCTTGAATGATGTTGTTTGACCAGTTTAGCATATCTAAGTATGATACTAATGTATACAAATTTGCATAAAACCGGCTTGCTCTTAGGTACCGTTACGGACCCCAAGGTTAAGACTTTGGACAACGTAGCCCGGATAGTTTCAAAAGACGATTGTCTGCCCCAAATGCTCGCCTGTGGAACGGTTATATTCGATATAAGTTATGATAGAAGAGAATTAAAAATTGCAATGGACTACGTGAAATGTAAGGGGTCTGAAGCTAGTCACGTCAAAACGTGATAAATATTTTTTCGTAAAATGCTTACTAAAAGATAAAGTATATGTCATTTCATACGTTAAACACACGTTGACGACACGTTTGGCTCAGTGTGTAGTAACCCTACTTGCTATGCCAACGGTTGCGGGTTCGAATCCCGCTGGGGGCATTCATTTGTATGATGAGCACGAATGTTTGTACTCCAGTCATGGCTGTTTATATTTATAATATGTATGTATTTAAAGTTATATATGTGTAGTGTATTAACTATCTGGTATCCATAACACAAGCTTCGTAGCTTACCATGGAACTAGATGCTGCTGTGTGTTAATGTCCCAACATATTTATTTAAATGTCATTTCTAATATGTGAATAGAAGTGAGCGTGCGAAAGGTGAAGGATATATGTATATAATACATATGTATAAACTGAGTGTGTTTTAGAATTTAAATAATATTAATATCGATCGAATAAACTATGTGGCTTCGTTACATTCCTATATTATCACTTATAGCACGAATAGCACAACTCGGCCAGGAATGGCGCGTATCCGTTGTTTATCGCACAAAATATGTAAAAACAGAGATCAGCCGCAAGACTGATGGCTTTGCGTGCTCTTCGAGGCACGGGGGTGAATCACTGCCAACTTCCCAACTCCGCTGTTACTGACTAGAATTTCTGAACAAATGCCTCGAATGTCTAACTACGAAACTAAATTTAAACTCACTAAACTTGACCCGCCCTGGAACTCGAGTCTAGGACCTACGTCTCTGCAGCCATTCGTGCTAGCCACTAGACCACCGATGTAGTTATAGGCTTATAGCTATTGTGTGGTGGTATCTATAATGCCCGATACCCACACGGGTTTAATATTGCCTTATTTTTATTCTAACAAGCAATTTAGGTATGTAAATTATATTTTTGCAGTATTAAAAGATTTGTTAGATAAACAAGTTTCTCTCGGATTTCATGGTGATGACGAAGATTTAGACGAAGCTAAAATGCGTTACCTGATTTTAATATCTACCGTAATGACTTGGGCCGTTACCAAACCATTAGACCCGGTAAATGTTTTTACTTAACGATTACGCTTGATAAACAAAACATTTTTTATTATCTATGTAAAAAGTTAAACGTTATACAATAATTAAAAAAAAATGAGTCATAGCTCATCTGTTGTACCTATTTTTAATTGGTTAATTAATAATTTAAAAGGTATTAAAATAATGAACTTTTATATAATAGTAAACTAATTTCGAGAAATTATAAATAACATTTCGTATGAACTTCCAATTAGTGAAAGTATTGTTATTTATTTAAAAATTTTAAGGATACTCCTGAAATGCCTTTCATAGAGACAGATTTTAGGAAAAGAAGGCCACATCCTAACTACAAAATGCATTACGACGTCGAAAACGAGGTTATTGGTATTGCTAGAAAATATAAATCGCAAATTCGGTAAGTATAATGGAGTTTCCACGATTTGTCATGTTTTATTCAAGTCTTACTCATGAGGAACGAAGCTGACCTTAATACGTTACTTTGTCCTTATAAGCCTATTTATTACAACTGAAACATAAAATATTTAATACTTACGTATTGCATTCTATTATATTGTTTTTTCTACAATTAAAATTTTATTTTAAAAGGTTAATATTGTATATTATGGTAATTACGTTATTGCATAGTGGTAAGTTGTAGTGGTTACAGTGAAGTTTGTGGGTTGTCTGGTTGTCTATGCTACTCCCTATATATTATTATATTAAACTTCTTTGAGTTTATTTCATTCGATTATTATTTGCCATAATTTTACGTCAAACTGGACGGTAAAAGTTTCATTATAATTTGCCATATAATTATTTGTAGAGTTGAGGTTAGGTAGTCTGAGGAAGCGCGTACCCTGTTTGCGGAGAGCACCAGTAGGCCCCTGAGCCTGATCTCACCGCTCGTAACGAGTTTTAAAGTTTGGTAGCATCCTCCCACCAACGTCTGAGCGTGAAAGGAATAGTTAGAGAGTGCATTTGTGTCTGCACACACACGCCTGCATTATAACATCTCCAATCTCAGTAAAATTAGTTGTGGTCGAAATTATTGAAGAGGACATTTTTATCGTTTTTTTTAGTATTAAAAGTACTATTTTCTTTTTAATGGCAGAGCTATAGTAGTAACGGCTGGAGTAACTTATGGGGGACGCGAAGATGTGTTATTTTATTGGTTCCAAAAGGCTTGGGAATGCGAGCGTCTGTTGCCGATTTTCGGTCGCGGCGGAAATGTCATTCCTCTTATTAATATTCAAGATTTAGCACAGTTAGTTTATCACTATGTTATTTTGTATACATGAATTTGTAATATTACGAGTATATATCTACAGTCAGCGCCACCTCTTGGAAATTTTTATTACTAACAGTAAGTATCCTGTGTTAATCCGGATCATACTCTATTCGCAATACTAAATTTTATCCAAGTACGACCAGCTGTTTCATCGTGAGGTGTAGCAAACCTACACACACATACAAATTTTCGCATTTATCAAGGTAATAGTAGTACCCGCGGCTTCGCTCGCGATAAAACTACATAAAAATCTAATATGGTAGATTTCGCACAAACTTTCATCCCCTATTATACGCTATTACGGAATGAAATTCGAAAAATGCTAAAATATGTATTTATTTAATTGTATTGAAGAACATTGGTACAAAGTTTCAAGTAATTCTGATCATAAATATTTTTTTGGGTTGTATTATAACGTGTTTTCTCGTGAGAATAACAATCTCTCGCGGTAAAAAATAGCTTAAGTCAATCTTCAGCCCTCCATTTATCTCCACACAAAAAATCACGTCAATCCGTCATTATGTTTCGACGTGAAAGAAGGACAAACAAACAAAGAAAAACACTTTTACATTTATAATATTAGTATGTATTCCGATGCACAGTTTGATAAGATAATCCAGTTTATTTAGAAATTATACCTATAGGTAAGTTATAGATGGGTAGTTTTGGTATTTATTTATATTTACTCTACCTCGTATTAGATTTGAATAACTGACTCTATTAAGCTATACACCTGTGTTCTCACGGAGAAATTGCTAGCGAGATCTTTATGAAAGCAGAAAGGCTGGGAATTTCTGGGGAAGAACATAGAGTATAATATTAATGGATGAAAGAATTTGTATAAAAATTGTGTTACAAAAACAGGTTAAATGCATTTTGATGCAGTTTAGTTTCTTCTTGATAGAAAATTACAACAACTGTAAAAGCGTCTTACGAATAAAATTAAATTTAATATAAAATATTAATATTTAGAATTATATTTATGTATTATCGACGTGAAATAATAATTTATAAACATACATACAAAAACAAACCTTCGTATTTTTAATATGAGTGAGATTTATGTATTATAAGTAACTTATATAAAAGCAGATAAAACAAATTGCATGGCAAATTAAATAGAATTTAAATATCTTGATTTCCTTACAGGATAATTTATAATTTGGTCTCGGACTTTCCTAAGAAACTCTACATTCTTGCAGTTGAACAGAATATTACTAAGCAGAGAGAGGTTATTTCCTTAGCAATATTGATATTATAAAAGTTTTTAAGTTTAACTTTTGAGATTATTTCGATACAAAATATATATCTTTAAGATTAGAGTTTGGGCACGGATAAGGGCTTTTAGCTTTTTTAATCATAGATAACGAAAACATGCTTCTGGATACAATTTTTTTACACACATTTAGATATATGTACATACATTGTCATGGTTAGGCTACATAATATTTACATATTATGTATGTACCACCCAATACATTGTTTACCAATTTGTGCCATATAGCTGTCATTATATCCTCTGTCTGTTTTTAATTTCATGCGCACTAATAAGCTACTTAAGTTTTATTACTTCATAGACACTCGCAACTGTGTGTTACTCCAGGTCATAGGTCTGTCTAGTATTATTCATTCAAGTCCGTCCAGCCGTGTGTGTGGACCTGAAGAAATAAAAAATATACCCATATAATTTCGCAATCATAATACTACTCAGATTAAATGTAGGTACGTAAAATCATTATATTTTTTGTAGATTATAAAACCTCTGGGCCGACTAATTGGTTCAGGTATGTTCAAATGTATTCCTGAAGAGGATGCTTTTCTTATACCAGAAATCGATGTACGTATAACTTTTTATTCGCCATATATAAACAACAGTCAATAAAAATAATAGGCAGGCATTAAAAGTTAATGACTGTATTGTAATAACTTTATTATAGCAAAGAATATTCGACTTGATGACATTAAATCTTATCATGGAACCGACATTTATAGTTGAATCAATGGGATTACAGTGGACGTCTGAATTGTCATTTACAGAGAATGTTCCGATTCTGATGAAACAATTTAAAAAAGAAAGAGCGTTGAAAGCTTTTAAGGTAGTTAAAGAGTTTATTTCGATGTCATATTTATTAGAAGCCTTATTATTTTAACATCTAGAAGCCACGAAATAAAATAGTTGAAGTGAAATAAATTTTTTAACAGTATAAATAAATACAAAAAGTATCTTTGTTATCTCTTGCCGCCTCAATTTGCCGGTGAAATTGTGTAAATTTTATCTCTAAGTTTCCTTTTATCTCTTCTATCTAATTGTCAAATCTTATATCTAATTTTTCCGATCCTTAAAGCGGACTCTATGAAAAATTTTTTTTTTTTAAATCTAACTGGTAGTTCCAGAGATAACAAGCTATCAACAAACAAACAAAACTCACTTCAGTTTTATAATATTGACTGAATGATATATTATAAAAATAAAAAGTAATATAGTAATATATACATTATAAAGCTTTAAATATTAAGCGATCGTCATACTTAAAATAATATAAGACTATATAAAACTAATCAGTTGGTGATCTGATTATAAAAATTTAAGATAATTGTTTATGGATCTCCACTCGTGGGAAAAACGACGTTATGCAAACTTATCTGCGAAGCGTACGGACTTGTTTATATCTCACCGGATAAAGTAGCAGAAGATCTGCTAGAAGATTTGGTTAGTTACGACCTTTATAACTTTGAATTAAATAATCCAATCAATGAAGCTATAAAAGTATCCAAATTGTCTAAGTGAAAATCTATACATATAATAAAATTCTGAGTCGAATCTTTACATTAAATATTTTTTGAAAAATATTATTGAAATAGTAATTATTATTGATACAGATGTCGAATCTATAGTTTTTAGAATTTTTGTTTGTCCGTCTGTCTGGGAACGCATCACGAGAATACCACTGGCCCGATTTTAATGAAATTTGGTATAATGATAGATGGTTATCCGGGTGAACATATATGCTACTTTTTACTGCGGGAAAATATAACTCTGAGAAACCTATATTAAACGTTAAAATATAAGGAGGAGGAAACCCAAGCGGAAGTATAATGACGTAAAATTCCTGCCAATACTTACACAAATCTTAGACATCTTATAAACCAGCTGAACATTGCAATGAATTAAGCGTTCTTTCATAAAAAGCAGTATTTTTGTACCTATTTCGGTTAAAATATTGAAAGTTCAATCTATTCCTAGTACAAATTACGGTACATTAATTGTTAAACAAGTGAAATAATACTATATTATATAATTCAACATTCTTGTTAATGGCTGTTGCCAGTTGAGCTCGCGAATCTCACAAACTGGTGAAGACATAAGGGAGCTTCGATAATCGATTATAATAGATGGTAAAATAAGACTACGAATCGTACTATATTATTTTATTATGTTAATTATAATATATAAAAAGAGAGTAAATTCTAGAGTTATATCAAAAGACAGCACAATGTTAACGTTCGACGACACGTTTGGCTCAGTTGGTAGTGAACCTACTTGCTGTTCCAGCGGTCGCGTTTTGTACTTCAGTCATGGGTGTTTATATTTATAATGTTATTTAAAGTTATAGTATATGTGTAGTGTATCAACTATCTGGTATCCATAACACAAGCCTCGTAGCTTACCATGGAACTAGATGGCGCTGTGTGTTAATGTCCCAACATTTATTATTATTATTTATACATTAAAAAAAGACATATTATTAGACTTGGCGTATAAATCATTGGGAAGTGGGTGAAACCGCGTTAATATCGCCAGTCGGGGAGGAAAATGAGGTCGATTCAGAAGTAGATGATACTGGTGAAGAAGAACAAGAGCTGGCCAAACAAACCTTTGCATTGTTGAAGTCTGGAAGGCCTTTGAGCGACGAGGAGAATTTATCGTATGTACTTACCTACACAACAAGACGTATATGTATCTAATTAAATAATCTGTTTTGTTCAAAACAACTCATGCAAATACACTACTGTATATTTTACTTTATAATTAAAGAAATTAAGCCTTTCTATATATTAGTGAAGATCACTCGATCATAAAGTCACTAAAATGTATCCCTATAGATTAAAATTTAAAGTTTAAACTTTAAACCCATACATTACCCAATTCTTATCCACCGTATCATGTCCTTAAGATTACTAACGCATTACAGTAAATAAAATTATATTAATAATATATTTCTTACATCAGATATCTCAGACAAAAGCTTTTAAGTCGCGAAGCCTTGAATAGAGGATGGGTGCTCGACGGATTCCCTACAAATCTTGCGCAGTGTTCGATATGTAAATTATTTTATAAATATTTCTTTATATTTTATTATATGTACCTACTTCTATATATGTACTTATAAAAATCCATGTTTAGTATTTGAAAAGGGAGAAGAACAAGATTCTGATGTAGATGAAGAAAACGAAGAAGAAGAATTTGATGAGGACGTGGATTTATATAGCAATGTGCTTCGTAAATTGTTACCAGGTGATTTTCTTTTTTAAGACACGACATAACAGTTAACCTATGTACAATGTTACATACAATATGAAATACGTATTTTTAAGGAGTTCAAGGCGGTTGAAATTTCTAATTATGCCCTCGTTTTGCCATTGGCTATAGTGCCACGGTCGTGTAGTGGCTAGTATGTACGGCTGCACATCCGGAGATGCTGGGTTCGAGCCCCTGGTCGGGCCAAGTTTTAGTTATTGAGTCTTTCTGTATAGTAAGTCTCAGTAACAGCCCGGAGTTGGGAAGTTGGCGGTGTTTCACCCCCGTGCCTCGGAGAGCACGTAAAGCCGTCGGTCCTGCGCCTTAACTCTCACCGCGAGTGTCGAGTGTTCGTCCCACCGGAGTATGAAAGTGACAGGAATAGTAGTAAATTAATTGTAATCTATACACGGATATGTTCACAGACATTGTAGTTTCATTAGAAGCTACTGATGATTTTATATGTGAGAAAGCAATGCGTCAGCCTGAGGATGATTCTCGAATGGATGAGGAAGTTGTTCTAAAACTTCTCAGAGAATTTAGAGCGCGTGATGCACGCGATATTACACCTCTTAATTTCTTTGATGAACTTGACATACATCCATTAGTTGTGAACGTAAAAGAACATGAAGATTACGGAATGAAAACCGCCTACTCAGCAGTTGCTTTGCGAATGGGTAGACCATGTCGATATGGAAAACTTATGGGTACGTTTCTTTTATAAGGAAATACATAAATTTAATGAGATAGATAGTTATGAATAACTAACACTGCCCGCGGCTCCGCCCGCGTTCAGATGATCAAAAAGCGAATTCTTTGGTTTTACATATTAGTATACTCTTACATTGCAGTTTTTGTATTTTTCTCAGAAATGAGATATTTTCCCGCGGCAAAAAGTATCCTATATGATATATATATATATAACATATATATATATATATATATAACATATAGGATACTTACGGATCCGGGTATATACCCGGATAACCAGCTATCACCATCCCAAATTTCATCAGAATCCCTCCAGTGGTTTTTCTGTGATGCGGTAATAGACAGACCGACAGACAAAAAATCTAAAAACCATAGATTCGGCCTCTGTATCGATAATAATGTTTATTTCAATTAGATTTTCTAAAAACTACTTATCTAATGTACAGATTCGGCTTAGTTACGATTTTATTATAAGTATGTATAGATTATTATCATGTGATCGGATTATAAAAATTTAAGATAATTGTAATAATGTATCAACTGGGTGCAGCTAAAATTGAAGCAGCCGAAAAAGAAGAAAAACAGGAAAGAGAAACTCTTAGAGCAAGAGAAGAGAAAGCGAAAAGAGATTTAGAAAAGAAAATGAAGGAAGAACGTGAAGAAAAAATGGAATATTGGGTAAGAACTAAGAATACACAGATACTTTATTTAGCTTTTTTATTTCTCGTGTGACATTTTTTTTGTTAATTATCTTCCTTTAAACATTTGTTTCAGTCCGAACTGTACTCTTTAATACGAGAAGAAGAAGAGGCCGCTTTAGCAGCGTCCGGTGAACCGATAAGAAATTATCTCGTAAATAATATTTTTCCGACTCTTACAAATGCACTGCTCGAAGTTGCTAAATTACGACCGGAAGATCCTATCGATTTCCTTGTGAGTAATATAATTCCCTTGACCTTAGATGAAGCCCTACGAAGTACTGTTAGATTATGTCATTTTATTAATTACAAGCATTAATCGCGGCTCCGCCTGATGACCAAAAACCAAATTCATAGGTTTTACATATTAGTATACTCTTACATTGCAGTTTTTGTATTATTTCTCAGAAATGAGACATTTTCCCGCGGTAAAAAGTGTTCTATATGTTGACCCGGATAACTAGCTATTACTATACCAAATTTCATCAAAGTCCCTCCAGTGGTTTTTCTGTGATGCGGTAACAGACAGACAGACAGACAAAAATTCTAAAAACTGTAGATTCTGCCTCTGTATCGATAATAATGTCTATTTCAATAAGATTTTCCAAAAAAATATTTAATGTACAGATTCGGCTTAGTTACAATTTTATTATATGTATAGATTATTTTTCATTATTATCGATTAGAAAGACTCAATGACACATCTTAAGCTCAATATTTTACGTGCTCCTATATTACTCGTAAATAACCGTTGGATTGTATTGTTTCTGCGGTCTAAAGAGACATACATATGTTATACTGGTACATGAGTGGGTAAAGCTTTACTGGATAAAACAAAATCAATATGACACCCAATAATATTACTATAGGTACCTGGCTATGTGTACACTAGGGGTGCGAAAATATAAATCTAAAGTAGGTACAACACACATATCAAGAAAATTGCCAATATAGGTCACAAGTAAGTTTCGTAATCAATGTGTCAAGGAGACATTCAATTATTGCCTACTTTATGAAATATTACCTGTTTGTTTGCTTTTATTTTTACGAATACATCTTTTACAGGCAGAATATCTATTTAAGTTGAACCCTAGCGGAAAAATGCTCGAGCCAGGTTATAATCTACAGGCGGAAAAATTATTAGGAAAAATAAAAATACTCGATGATGCTCTTCAAGATTTGGATATCAAAATAGAACCTTTAATGCCAGCAAATGTCAGTTTTGGAGAGCCCAATAGCCCCAAGAAAAATATTGATAGTATGAGCGCTTTGTGATTTAATAAATTGTTCTTAATAATATAACTTGTTTCAATTTTTTTAATATTTTCTATATTGATTCATGAAACAAAAATTTGTAAATTTTAAGCGTGTACTTTTAAGGTTAGTGGAAATATAAACGCTTCCAATTCCTGGTGTTTTAAGATGTGTTAATAAAACTATTTCTTACTTGTTTAATATGTATTAATAAACTATAGTTACATGTTCTTAGTATTATTAACTCTAAATCTAATTTCACAGCTTCCTTCAGTCGTCTCTTTTTATAACTAACTTCCATAGATATTTAACAGATAATATTATGTCCACTCCCACAGATAATCAATAATAACATAACTGTTCTCTCAACATCTTTCCCTTTTTAATTTACATTAAGAAAAATATATAATATATAATCATAATCATAAAATTGCAATTGAAGTCAATACTCATATATATTATATATGAGTATTGATTGAGATAACAAAATTTAATTAACAGGATTTGAATATGTGTAATTATAGCATTCTTAAACAATTTAACACTCATAATCATCTAAATATCTAGGTCGTCTAACAAGTCTTTCAGATCTTCTTTGAACTTGCTCTCCATTATTATTTATAGATTCATCCTCCGCCGAGCTTGCTATATCTGTATTGATCAATATCTCATTTTGATCTGAAACACCCGATGACTGACCTTCAGTATTATTATAACCCCCACTACAAACATCATCAAAATGTAAAAAACTTGAATCCCCATACGATGGATTACAATCAATTGCTTTATTCAGATGCCATCTATTTCGTCTATATTTCCCTTTACTGGTACTTACAATAAAAGACCTAGGTTCATCACATTTTTTTATAATAGTTCCATAACACTTTAAATCGGAAACCCACACTTTATCATTTAACTTTAATTCTGATAATTTTGAGACCCTATGCCTTTTATTGTAATAAAAAGCACTTTTGTACTTGCTTTCCTTCTGTTTGTTTTTAAATTGTTTATGTATTATTACAGGTTGATTTAACTTATTTGGGACTATAGGCAAAACATCTCTGAGCTTACGATTAAACATAAGTTCTGCCGGGCTATAACCCAATTCCAAAGGTGTATTTCTATATACTAGCAATGCCAAATATATATCTGTATTCTTTGATAATAGTGTTTTTGCAATCTTAACTCCTGACTCTGCTAAACCATTACTTTGGGGATAATATGGACTACTTGTAATTAACTTAAACCCATATTCTTTAGAAAATACATTAAACTTGGATCTAAATTGTGTTCCACAATCCGTTCTCACAATCTCTGGAATGCCATATCTTGAAAATGCTTCCTTACATTTAATTATTACTGTTTCTTCTGTCATATCAGTCAGTTTGGCAATTTCTAGAAATCTCGAATAATAATCAATCATTACTATATACCAATTATCGTTAAATTTAAATAAATCCATTCCTATTTTCTGCCAAGGTCTATCTGGTAATGAGTCTATTATCATTTCTTCTTTAGGATTTTTTAAATGTTCTAAGCATTTTGTACATGATTTTACTTTGTTTTCTATTTCTTTAGACAACCCTAACCACCACACTGACTGTTTTGCTCGCTCTCTACATTTGGAAATTCCTAAATGACCCTCATGAATTTTGTTCAGTATATCTTGTTGCATTTGTTTAGGTATAACAATCCTTGAATTAAAAAGAAGTAGCTCTGATTCAATGGAAAAATTTTCTCTATATTGATAATAATCCTTAAAAATTCCTAATTTATTTTTGCTTGGCCACCCTTGAATTATAAATTGTTTTAATTTACAGCATATTTCACAATTATTTTGTTCTACCCTAACCTTGTTTAATGTATCATATGACAATGTTTCACTAACAAAAAAATTTAACTCTAATTCTGAATCTATAAACTCTTTAGTGTTTTCACTAGGTAGAGGTTGTCGTGATAAAGCATCTGCTACTGCCAAGTCTTTACCAGGAGTATATTTTATTTCATAGTTAAATTTACTTAACTTTAGTCTTAGTCTCAATAACCGTGGACTCAAGTCATTTAATTGTTTTGTTTGTAATATTTGTAAGAGTGGTTTATGGTCTGTTTCTAAAATAACCTGAATCCCTATAATATAATCTTTAAATTTTTCTGTAGCCCATGCCAAAGCTAGGCATTCCTTTTCTATTTGTGCATAGTGTTTTTCTGCTTCTGTAAGAGTTCTACTAGAATACATTACTACAGACCTTTGGCCCTGCCTATTCTCTTGCATAAGTGCAGCACCTAACCCGAAGGAACTACTGTCAGCTGATACAATGATCTTTAAACTCGGATCATAATGTGATAAAGTTGGTGCTGATTTAAGTTTTTCTTTTACTTGATTAAAAACTTGATCTTGAGTTTTTTCCCATATGAACATATTACTGTCTTTTAATAACATATGCAATGGTTCTAATAAATGAGATTTATTTGGTATAAATCTACCTACAAAATTAACCATACCGAGAAATCTAAGAAGCTCTTTTTTATTTTCTGGTACTTTAAATGCATTTATTGCTTTGAATCTTTCTGGATCAATTTTAATGCCCTTTTCATTTATTAAATGACCTAAATATGTCACCTCTTTTACTCTAAATGCACACTTTTTTCTGTTAATTGTTAATCCTTCATTTTGTAACCTATTTAGTACTTCCCTTAGTATTCTATCATGTTTTTCTTTAGTTTCTTCAAATACTAAAATATCATCCATATGTATAGCTACTTTTAAATCTTTGAATAAGTTAGAAAATTTCATACTAAAATACTCTGGTGCACAATTTAGACCAAAAGGTAAACGATTATAAACATACCTACCAAAAGGTGTTATAATAGTAGTAATTTTCTTTGACTCTTCGTCTAGCTTGATTTGATGGAACCCTGAGGTAGCATCTATTTTAGAAAAATATTTAGCCCCCTTCAGCTTTGCTAATGTATTTTCCACCTTTGGTATTGGGTAAACCGGTCTTAAAATACTTTTATTAACTTCAGTATAATCTCCACAAATCCTAACTTTATCATTTTTAAATACTACTACAATTGGTGAGACAAAATCAGTAGGTTCTTCTATCGGACTAATTATTCCAAGTCTTTGTAATCTATCTAGTTCTGCTTTAACTTTTGGTAATAATGGAATTGATACATTTCTAGGTGTAGCATGTACATAATGTTTTGGATTTGCAACTAATTTGATATGGAATTCGTCTTTAAATACTCCTAACTCATTAAATATATTGGGATATTCTTTTTCAATTACTTCACTTATATTATCATCAGAGTTGAAACAATGAGAGATAGCACTTATAGTAAGTATATTCATATTTTCAATAGAAGGTCTCCCTAAAATAGCTCTACTTAAATTTTTTATAATATAAACTTTACCTTCATATACATTTTCTTTATACCTAAGCTTTAAATTAGTAGTTCCCAAAACCACTAATTTTGTCCCATCTGGTCCTTTGATCACATCATCACTTTTCACTATAGAGAGTCCACATCCTTTTATAATATTGTCTGGTATAGCACTTATGTCTGCTCCTGTATCAATAAGAAATTTTACTTTACTTATAAACTGATCCTCTTGAAAAACATCTACGTCTATTAAATACTTTTGTTTTGACTCACAGAAACTAACCTCATATGTAGTTCCTATTTCTTCCTTCTCAATATTTTTTACTATCTTGGCTCTGCACAACCTAGCAAAATGCCCCGTTTTTCGACACTTGAAGCATGTTATATTTGATGCTGGACATTTGTACCTAGGATGTCTTTTTGTCCACAAAACCAACAATTTCCTTTTAATTGTAGTTCTTCGTTGTTTCTTTGTGCTGTTGTTGTTCCTACTTTCACCCTATTTATTTCACTTTCTTCCTTATTTTCTCTTATAATCATACTCTCTTTTTTTTGTATTTCCGCTTGCTTTCCCATTTGAATAGCCTCCTCAAGCTTTAAGTCATTTTTTAAGAGCATCCTGTCACTTATATTTCTATCCCTTATGCCAATCACTACTCTATCTCGTATAAGTTCTTCTTTTAACAAGTTATACTCGCATCCCTCTGCTAACTTATGCAAATCCGTGACAAATTGATCAAAATCTTCCCCTTCCTTTTGTACCCTTGAGTTAAATTTGAATCTTTCGTAAATTACATTCTTCTTGGGAAAGAAAAATTTGTCAAAACTCTGAAGTAACTCTGTATAAGTTAAATTTTTATCAAATTGAATAATTATGTCTTCTGCCTTATCTCCCATCGAGTATAACAGAAAATCTATTTTACTTTTATCACTTAATTCTTCATTTCCCGATACGCTCATATACCTTTTGAATCTAGTTATATACTTCGGCCACTCTGCTGGCACGAAACTAAATGTTCCCGGAGGCGCCATTTTGAGTTGTTGGTTCCTTTCAGAATCGGGCTGTCGGACTGAGGAAGTTTGTGCTTCGTCTGCCACCATGTTTTAAGATGTGTTAATAAAACTATTTCTTACTTGTTTAATATGTATTAATAAACTATAGTTACATGTTCTTAGTATTATTAACTCTAAATCTAATTTCACAGCTTCCTTCAGTCGTCTCTTTTTATAACTAACTTCCATAGATATTTAACAGATAATATTATGTCCACTCCCACAGATAATCAATAATAACATAACTGTTCTCTCAACACCTGGAAAAAGGCCACTAATAATAATATTATTTAATCGACTTCCAAAAAGGTGGAGGTTCTATATGTTCAGTTTCAGCGATTTTGCTACTTTAAACTGTATTCGATTCAGGTATGTAGGTTCCCAAGTGGTCCTATAAAACTGTGACAAAGAAACGTGATAAAGAGTATACCGTTTTTGAGAAAATCAGAAAAAACATGAAATTTGAAGTATGATCTAATTAGTATTTTTTACCTACTTTCAATTGTCATATCGACTTAAAATTTCAACTATCGACTTCGAATTAATTTATAGTTTTAATTCCACGTTAAAGTTACTAAATTTCAAAATTACCGCTCAATCTCATTCGTGTCTTCCTCACAAAACGTGACACTGGCAGAATGGATTGCGTCTGTTAACGCAACTATAAGCCAATAAAGAAAAAAAAAATTTGATTAGGAAAATGAAACCTAAAATTAGATAAATCACAACCCCCGTTCAGTTATTTATTTACTTTACCTACTGTCTAGATGTCGGTTTTTAATTTATTATAAAAAAGTATTTTTATTTACGACTAAGTACCTAACTAGCATAGCATTTTGTATCAAAATCGATAATGATATTGTACGTCCGTACATGGAAAGAAATTTTATAAAAATATTTTCTTGGTTCCCTTGCAAATGTCCTTTAATGTCCAAGATTAGGGAAATATTACAATAAATAATAACTGGTCTACTAAATAATTGTCATACCAGTTTAGTTTTCGTAAAATTCAAGAATTAGCACGAAAATAAAAAAAGTCATGTGGTGGTGTAGTTTACTTACATATAACTGCTTACTTCCCCATATAAATTTTCATCTCGATTTGCACCCCCATAAAGGATAATTTCCGGGATAAAAACTATTTCACTCACTCAGACCTCAGTGTTCATATCATGAGATTTAAAAAAAACTTATTTTAGTAAAAAAAAAACTTTTATTTTCTTCTATACAAAGCTTGTCCTGACAATGACAAACACAAAAAAATGAATTCGGAAGTTATGCGCGTACATATGTACATGTTGGTGATTCATTTATATTTATATGGATAGATGAAGGTTATTTGTAGGTATATGGTTTTTGAAAAGATATTGAATGTAAGTACTTACAAGTAGGTCGTACCAATCCATTTATAATTTTATTAGATGTAAAGATATTTAACAATTAATTATTATTTGCCTTGTACCTATTATGCTAGAAAAAATTGAATCCAGCAAGCCAGCAGTTCAGCCAGCAAATACATTATTTGTCATAAATAAAACATTAAGTCAGTCATTAAGTGTAATGTACCTAATATACTCGTAGGTCGATAATGTAGATACAATCTAAGTTTTCGTGATTCACCATAACAGTGCTCTATCGATCAGTCGTTTGTTCCACATTCAAAATATGAATGGGTAGGAAAAGTATGATGAAAGTACATCCAAAAATTCCTCCGAATTATGGTAAACGAAAACATAAAAAAAGTAATAAATGGTTTGAGAAAACGAGTCTTAAGCCTAAAACGGACGATGTCGGGCCCTTATCATTGTTGGCAGCCAGCTTGCGACATCAGACTACTGAGTTCTTCAACAAATCCACGTTACACGGTGTTCGTTATATTACAGAGAAAGAACGACCGTTTTGTGAGAAGTGAGTGTTTATTACAATACTCTTGGAGTTGAGTTAGGTGATAATACGCTTCATTGTGTAATGTTCTTGTCGTAGGTTTATGTGGTTCAGTTTCACAGCCATAGGAGCCGTCGCTACTTGTATTATTATTGTAAGTCTATGGGAAAAATTTCAAACTAATCCAACAATTACAGGTAAATGTTATAAATTGTAGACATCATATAATTTATAATTTACACGTATATATTTCTTAATGATTTTTTTCTATAGGCTTAGATACTGATTTTCATAACTGGGACGTTCCTTTTCCGGCCGTCACAATGTGCGATCAAAATCCTGTAGACGAAGAACTCCTTCAAGAATATATTGAAAAGTACGTTCAAGAATATGGCTGTTAATATATTTTATTAAAATCACAACTTTATAAACCTATTTACATTGTGTGTTGTGTAGTATTTGGGGTTCTGAGCCTCCTGCAAAAGCTGAAGATATGCTACGATGGTTGGCAACTCTCAGCTATCAATCCATAGCAGCGAGGTCGTCTGAATTTACTACGAAGCCCGACCTCGTAGGTCGAAGTCAGAATGATGGCCCTGAACCAGCATTGAAACCTAAAGATGCAGTTCTTAGCGTGAGATTTTTTTTACTTCATTTGAACAGTATGAATAATTCAAATTTTCATAATATTTAATATATTTACTAAGCATTTGGATTAATTATTGGCCTAATCAATTTGAGAAGTAAGCCCTATGATTTTTAGATTGTATCGCATTCTGAGAATGTATTGTATGATTGCGAATGGAAAGGCGATTCTGAAGAGTGTTCTGATTTACTATCACCAGTATTTACGGAAATGGGGTTCTGTTATGCCTTTAATTCACGACATGCTGAAAAATCTTGGCCTTGGTAAGTGACAATATAATATGAATATTATTGCTGAACAGCAATATGCACCTATATACCACTTACTACGTATAAGTATTTCATAAAGTTTCAAATCTATACATATAATAAAATTGTAACTAAGCCGAATCTGTACATTAAATAGTTTTTGGAAAAACTTATTGAAATAAACATTATTATCGATGCAGAGGCCGAATCTATAGTTTTTAGAATTTTTATCTGCCTGTCTGTCTGTTACCGCATCACAGAAAAACCAACCAGGAGGGATTTTGATAAAAAATTTGGTATGGTGATAGCTTGTTATTCGGGTCAACATATAGGATACTTTTTTCCGCGGGAAAATATCTCATTATTGAGAAAAAATATAAAAACTGTAATGTAAGAGTATACTAATATGTAAAACCTAAGAATTTAGTTTTTGGTCATCTGAACGCGGGCGGAGTCGCGGGCAATGCTAGTCGTGATATATAAATTATATCACAAAACACAAAATCGTTAACAATGAATAGTTTTGAAGAGTTTAAGAGTTTTTAGTACATATTGTTATTTGGTGTTCGTTTCTTTTTGTTTAGGCAGGGTCAACCTGAGCCTTTCGCAGTGGCTTTTATTCACGAAACCGACGATAAGTGGTCCTTCTTGTTTAATTCCCTTCGCAACGACACTACCATAGATGTACGTATTTACCTGTTTTGACTTAAAGTACTTTTACGTCATGTTTTCGAAAACGATTTACGTATAGATAAATTGCAGATTTATATACATTCTTCAGAAGAAATAGCTGGTTTAGAACAAAGCCCTCAGCATTCTTGGGATCGACGCGTCGAAAAAGTTTCTTTTTCAGTTAAACATACATACACCACAGAGGATGCCCGCCAGCTTTCGATACGCCAACGGCGATGCGTTTTCCATGATGAGCAGATTCTAGAAACGTCAAATATTTACACGTATTCGGCTTGTATGCGACAATGTCGAATGCAGCGATGTCGGTCATTTTGCAAATGTGTACCGCACTTTTATCCAGCTATCAGTATGTGCTCTTTATTGTTTAGAATTGGATTATTTTAGTCTAACTTTTCTACGTATTTTTCTATCATTCAAGTCTTAGATTGCATGTTGATTTATATAATTAAGAAAAACATATACCTATACATAGCCCATAGTTATTATACATCTTCAATTTTTTTTCATTTGTTAGCTCATAAGCTCTAATAAGTGTAAGTATAAGTACTAATACATACCTAGATATATACCTATATGTATTTTAACGAGTTGAATCCGAATCTGACGTCCATTTGACTCATATCTTCAAAATTTATAGTAAATTGCAAAAAAACCTGAAAAAATTGCAAAATATTGCAGTTATGAAAATAGAGTTACGAAAATTTACAAAAAGTATTGAACAAATAAAGTATTCGGATCAGACGGGAACAGTTTTTGATCCAGGTACTCACAATGTTATACTAACACCATTGATTGATCCTCCTAAATATTTGCTAAAGAAGGAATTTTCGATGGACTACAAATTTGGAGTTTATTTGAGGACTAAATATAATATATATCATTGAAAAATGAACGACAGTGAGAAAGCAACTTGGCTAAGTTTAAAAAATGTTTCATTAAACTTTTTGGGAAACAAGAAGAGTAAGAATTACAGGACTTTAGTTGAAGAGTTGCTGGAAAGTATCAAAGATTTGGGTTGCTTGATGAATCTTACATAGCACTTTTATTCCGAGAGCTCGCGACGAATTTTGGGAAGGTCCTTTTGGCAAGTTGAAATTGTGAAAAAATATAATTTCGTGAATTGGCGAGTCCAGTCCCGCGAGTCTGGTATAGCTTTAGCGGTTATTTCGCTACTGCGCAGTATACAACATTTGTAAAAAAAATATCCAAAAAACATATTTTTGGCAACTTGATTTTTGTTTAATCCTTTAATTTAGCTTTCATATAATTAAAAAAAAAGAACCCGACGTTTTTGTCGGTTATAAAGTATTGCCAGAACTCTCCAAAGACTCATTTTTTTTATTCCAAAAAACATACTTTTGGCAATCTGAAATTTTAATCACGTATTTACTGAGTAATTTTCAATAATATTTGCAAATCGCCAGACGAATTTAGCGGTTTTAAACCCTTCCCAGACGTAAATAAAGTTTACAAATTAGTACTACAAAAAAGTCTTTTTAGGTGTAAGAAAGATAGCTTATCGAGGTATGCCAGCAGCTGATGGGGCCCAAGGTCCTCGCGCTGTGATTGGTTATCGAGAAACCGCACGTTTCGAACTCATGGTTCGGGCTCTGCGTTTACAATTGAGTATTTTAGAGTAGTTTATTAGGGTTCCGTACCCAAAGGATTCGCGCATGAAAGGTTTCGTACCATTATCTATAAAAATAGTATAAAAATCACGTTTGTCGTATGGGAGCCCCCTTAAAGATTTATTTTATTCTATTGTTTTGTAGTTGTTGTTATAGCGGCAACAGAAATACATCATCTGTGAAAATTTCAACTGTTTAACTATCACGGTTCATGAGATACAGCCTGGTCACAGACGGATAGACAGGCGGTCAGACAGCGGAGTCTTAGTAATAGGGTCCCATTTTACCCTTTCGGTACGGGACTGGACTCGCCAATTCACGAAATTATATTTTTTCACAATTTCAACTTGCCAAAAGGACCTTCCCAAAATTCGTCGCGAGCTCTCGGGCTATTTGTTCATTCTCACCTCGACTACTGTCTACTTTCCTGAAAATCTTAGAAGCCATAGTGAAGAACAACGAGAACGATTCTATCAAGACATAAGTGAAATGGAGAATCGGTATCAAGGAAATTGGAATATTAATATGATGGCAGATTTTTGCTAAAAAGAGAAATAACCAGAAAAAATTGATAACAAAAAAGCAACCCGCTGCGTAGTTCATTAAAAGACAAAAAAAATCCATACAAACGAAGAACAGTTTGAAATCGATGAACGTCGTTCGTTTCCTATCTTTTCTCTAAATGTTTTTTTTTTTACGATTTTTGATAAATGTATCAATGATCAAGATTATTAGATTCTAAACTTGGATGTAGTGCATCAAAATGTATAAGAGACATATATAATTATGTTCATTATATATTTTTTTCTTTTTCATAACTGCAATTTTTGTCGGTTCTTCGCAATTTACTCGAAATTTTTTGGGTATATGAGCCAAACGGACCTCAGATTCGGATTCAGCTCGGATGTAGGTAGGTAGGTGGGTTTGCTCAAATGCACAGACTACAGAATACATTTTTTTTCGTGTAAGTACTGATAACTCCGGCTAATAATAAAGAATTATTGATTTTTTTCTTTAGAATTAGCCAACCTCGCGCTATTAGTTAGATCACATTTAATTATATCACTGCATTTATTATGCTTCCATTCTTAGTGCACTCAGTAGTTATTGTTAATGTAATAAGCTTTAATTGTATTGTTTTTTAAGTGTTTAGTGTAAGTTATAGTGTGTAATATCTTTTTGGATCTAGTAATTTTTTTACAGAAGGCTATAGATATTGCACAGTGAAGGAGTTAGAATGCATCGCTAAGCATGTGACCGCGATCACTGATATCACTCATTGTTTGTGTGAATTAGGATGCTCCCACACTGTTTATGAAGTTGAAAAACTTACAGATATTGAGTAAGTACCTACTTACTAAGCTTAAGTAACTACTTTTATTCATATTCATAACGTTTTGTACCGACTACTTCGTCGATTTTTTTTCTGCCGTCTAGTACTAGCAAAGGCTCGACAGCGACAAATTCCTTAGAAACTGAGTTTGTGTCTTGGCCGATGGTGCGATATAAGCGAGAGGTGCTTTTTGGATGGGTGGATCTTTTAGGTAAGAAACTTCAAACTGTAATCATATTATATACGTCGCTATGTTGTATTGTAAAATTTGTTAGTAGGTATATGTACTAACGACGGCTGTTTGTAAATGTTTGCAGGCACATTGTTTTTTTAAACCCAGAAATCCTTATGGACTTCAGTATGCCGCACCTTTTTCTTAATGATTATTATTTATTGATTAATACAAAACTGAAACTTCACGAGTAGCTTGGTTTTGACGAGACGCGCAACCTTTCTCCCTACAATTTGTTTGATAGTCTATACTAATATTATAAAGAGGTAAAGTTTGTGACGTTGTAGGGGGTAATCTCTGGATCTACTGAACCGATCTAGTTGAAATTTGGTAAGAAGATATTTTAAGACCCTGGGAAGGAAATAGGATACTTTTTATCCCGGAAATCATTCGTTAAGGGGGTGAAAATGCAGATGAAAGTTCGTATTGAGAAGCATGCTAAGGACGAATCCGAGCGAAGCGAGGGCGAGTCGCTAGTGCTAAATAAAATTGTGGGTTGATAAAAAACATGTCGAAACGGTGATTGTCTAAATTTTATTAGGTTACTGTATAACAGTTTTTGCAATTTAATCTTGGGCATTGGAATCATCCAACATGAAACAAGAAAAGTAAGTTGTAAAAAGCAAAAATAACGTCATAAAATTTATTAATAACCGACTGATGTTCATATTATTTATTATAAAAAATATGTATAATTGAATGGCCACATTGACATAAAAATGGTAGGATTTCACGGTCCTATACTGCCTATTGAACTGTGATATGTGACACTATGTATATATACAAAAAAGAGGCGGTGTACTGTGAACTATTACCTACATTTCGCCTTCGTCATTTTACATACATACAGACAAATTATTCGATATGCCTGCGAACAAAACAAAATAGGAAAGACCTTATGCTCAATGCTGTGTTGTATATTTTTTACAGTATTTCTTTAAAAAAATATTTCCCTGAGTGTTAGAAAATCTACACTAATATTAAATTATAAAGAGGAAAAATTTGTATTTTTGTATGTTTGTAACGAATAAACTCAAAAACTTCTGGTAAGAAGATAGTTTGAGACCCTGGGAAGGACATAGGATTTTTTATTTCGGAAATCATTCCATAAGGGGGTGAACATGGGGATGAAATTTTTTATGGGGAATCCACCTAGAGGCGAACCCGAGCGAAGCGAGAGTGAGTCGCTAGTATGTTTTAATATAGATCTCGAAGTCCAACGAAAACACGCTATTTATATAATTTTTATTTATGAATTAAAGAGTACATACATATGTACGTAAGATACATATAATTAGTATCTAATTACTATAATGTATTTGTTTATTAGTGTCGTTTGGCGGTATAGCTGGATTGTTCCTTGGTTTTTCCCTTCTATCGGGAGTGGAACTTATTTACTACTTCACACTACGCGCGTGTTGCTCCGCCGTGCGCGACAAGGAAATGCTGATACAAGAGCGCACTGAGCGACTCTCTAAGCCGAAACCACCGCACAATCTAAGCTTAGTGCCTTGGTAAATAGTTTTTAGTTAATATAACCTTTTGAAAATATTTCTTTGAAAACAAAAAGTTTCAAAATTCATATAATTCTTTTCTCGCTATATTCCCTCCACGACCGCGGACACGCCCGGCGTTACAGTTAACAATAGAAATTTCTAAGAAATTTACCTGGAGGTGTAAGTCTATGCAATGAAATGTGCATACGGTTCAGAATCAGCACACCATACGGTTCAGAATATTAACAATTAATTGACGATTTTAGTGGTCGATTGTCTAGGTCTTTAATGTATGGCTTGTATTGATCATACAATTTTTCGCTTTTAAATTTAGCCCAGGACTACTTAGATATTGGGTGTTAAGTATAAAAAGAAATATAGCTAACATATACTTTTATATTTAAACTAGGTGGAAAGAACCCCCGATGAGCCCAGCCGAGATGCCGATAAAACTGAAGGTCAATGACATTCAACCGCCTCAGTACTCCCCACCGCCGGGCTACTCAGAGTACCTGCCGTAGCCATTTAAAGATTATTAAAATATATTCTTGCTAAACTTGATTAATATTTTGTAAACACATTTTTTCTCAAAATTATTTTTGTGGTGTGATTATTCAAATTAAATGCTTTAAAATATATTATAAAATACTTATATATAAAATATATTATATTTATACTTTGTTTAGAACTAAATAAAAAGCTATTTTGAAATTTAAAAGTGTTTATTTCTTACGTTTGGTCACATCCATCTAAAAGTGTCTAAATATTAGGTAAACATTGAATCGAACTACATTACAATGACAATAAAGTCAACAAGTTCCAAAATATTCGAGAAATATAAACATACACAACAAGAGTCGAAAATGTTCAAAATAATGCAGTTCAATCATTAACAAGTTTTAGAAATATTTTTGCCATACAATTTCTTGTAGATTGATCGATTTACCAAATAACTAAGAGAAAACAACTAATTACCTACTACACATTTAGGAATGAAGCATAGCCATTAAATACTAAATTGTTAAACAAACCTTCGCATACATATTGCATGGAATATAAAATTAAATTAACAAATCACTCACACTTGCAAAAAACTCACGAAGAAGGTGTTTTTAAAAAGTTAAGTACTGACTTAAGAAAAGTTTGAGCCAACATTGGTGTCAACGCTGTTATTTTTTTAAGTATCTCTACAAATAAGTACTTTAATGTCACCGATCGTGTTTATTTTCAATCACTACAAAATATAACATATTGCCAAACATCTACCGTTTAGTGATTTCTCATTATTAAAATCTACTTCCTAAATACTTGGATGTATAAAGACGTTCCTTTCTACATCATTATAATCAAACTGGTTATAGTAAAAAAAAAAAAACTAAACAAAATCTTTACATTGAATAATGACTTCCCAAACTATTTTCGTTTGACAAATATTCTACAACACACGATACCATTATTTCAAAAGCACAATACGTTAAATAAAAATTAGATAATAAAAACAAAATCAAAAATTGACATGGATTATAATTTTTTAGTATGTTAATATCAAAAAGATTGTGCTCTTTATTACAATAAATTTAATTACGATTAATATACAATTTAATTACATTAACATATTCTTGTAATTAAATTACATAGTAGATAGACCCCATTTATAATTTTGCTACTTAATACTTATTAAGTAGTAAAAGTAATCACAATGAATTCAGATATTAATTTATATTTAAAACATTATAATAAGTACTATGACGAGCACAGTTCAAGCGCGGGCGAAAGTAATAATATGTACAAAGAAATAAATATTTAACAAAAATAAAAAGAATAATTTTATATATAAAAATAACAAATTATATTTGCTAATAAATTATAAATGTATACATTTTAATTGAATACTATGAAAGGTAACATTTTCAGTTTCTTTTTTATAAAACTTATAAAAAATTTATGTTGATATGACATACATTTAAAAAAGAGGACATGATCATTTTAGGGTATTTTCATATTACGTAACTAGACAAACAGAAACAAATGCATCCCACGGGAACCGTACGTTTTTCCGCGATAAAAAGTAGCCTATTTATTATTCTGATGTATGAACTATATTATTGTGAAGTTTCATTAAAATCCTATCAGTAGTTTTTGTGTACTAAGCTGTATAAGTTACTATAGTTTTTGAACTATCCCCGGGACTTTAATTTTCCGGGATGAAAGTATCTAAAATGTTGACCGGGGACATAAGGTACCACCACGGAAAATTTCACTTAAATCGGTCAAACAGTTTCGGAGATTAGTCCGTCCAAACAGACAAACAAAGAAACAAAAAATATGAAAAAATCTGGATTTGTTATATTTCTCTTCTTTCTTCCCCCTGACTCAGTTTTTAGCATTTTTTTCCATGTAAAGACATTCGACCTCTACAGTTTAATTATATGTATAGATTTGTAGGGCAGAGTTATTTTACAGAAATAAATTCTATGCGATATAAAGGCAGTGGTAACGTGCTCGCTTGAGAATCCGCATGAAACGGGTTCAAATCCCGAGTCTGTCAACTCTGATATTTTCATGGGCGAATCATTTCCGACATGATTACTACTTGTTTTACTTTGAAAGAAAACATCGTGAGGAAACCTGTATGACTGAGAGACCCTAACAAGTTTTCGAAAGACATGCGAAGTCCGCCAACCCGCACTCGGCCGGCGTGGTGGACTATGGCCTGAACCCCCTCGTATTGAAGGGAGGCCCGTGCTCAGTATTGCAGTGGGACGTTAAAGAGAGCTAAATATTATGTATAAATTCTATGCCCAATAAATATTGTTTAACATATTCAATGGGAATTATCAGTTGCAATATATGACATTTTAACTAATAAAAGAAAATCGCATATAATACTTAACAATAGAATTGTTGGATTTTTTATTGCTTAAATTAAAACAAAAGTGATTTTTTTTATATGAAAGCTTGACAAAATGAAGTGAGAAGCTCATATCTCTAAGATAAGTAAGAAGGATTTTGATACACCCTTATTCCAATAGCCATTGGATTTTTAAGTATCAATATAGGAATAATTTATTAAGATGACGAGTGAGAAGAAAAACAACACAGCCTTAGGGACCTCTCACTCCCGTTGCATGGTAATATTTCATGTATACATATATTTACTGACTATAATAACTAAACAGGACAGAACGTTCACACAGACAAAAATTGTCTGTATATATTTGGCATTTAAAAATAATTGTTTTTAATGAAAATAATATATTGAAGGTATACAACCTTTATTCGCTAATTCCGATTAAATAAGATAATAAGAGCTTTTTAATTAATATTATTTAAACACATTTAAGTATTTAGATTAATTATAATTGGAGGCTTATTTTCTATATATATAATTCTAAATATATAATTATTATTCTAAGTATACACTTCGAAAAGTTTTCTGACATTTGATAAATACAAAAGCATTAAGTGTATTCAAACCAAAACTGCTGTGTTAAATTGTTTTTGCAGTAAAAATTTGTTTTGGATAAAAATGAAGTTTTTATCATCCTGTGATCATCCCTACGAGTTACGATCCTATACATCAAGACATATTTAGAAACATATTTTCTATGAAAACCTGTTCTTAGGAGAAACTAAAATGGCTGTACAAATAATATTCGATCTCATTTGATTGTTAAAACCTTCTTAGATTTACGCGAATATATTTTAACGTTTTAAATAAAACTATCTTTTCGGATTTGTTCGCAGATTTATTTTGATTTTGTGTTGTCGAATTTCGAATGCTTTACAGCAATCACTATCACGGGGTTTTGACGTCTCAAAGGTCATATACTTGTGACAAACTGCCTACAAAATGATTTAAAAATAAAAAAATATAAAATGGCACCAAAGTACCTCACAATATTTGTTCTAAACATTTTAATTTTTTGAATAAATATTATAATTAAAAAAAACTTTATTAATTACTAATATTATTTAATGTTGGTATTATTATATGTATGTATGTATGTCCATAAAGAAAATAAAAAAATATTAATCATTTATTTAAGCAATACTATTGTTTTATATGTAATTTCAAAAGTTAAAATATTAATTTAGTTTGCTATTAAAGTATTTAAAAAGACCGCGACATATCCCAAAAGATAGTTTTATTTAAAATGTTAAAACCTTCGAAATTTTCTAAAAAACTGATCACTAACTGTGTATTGGTAAATTCTTTTACACTATAAAATGTATTGATACATACCTTTAGGTCTGATCTCTTCACATTAAATAGTTGTTTCACTTCACACAGTATAAATTATTACATATGGAATATAGAATTAGTCTATTCCACACATAGAACCCACAAAATTCTTAATGAGTAATTATGAAACTAACACAAGTCTTCGACTATTATATAATAGTGTAAGTTTATAGTGTAAAGGTATAAACTTTTTTAAACAAATAAAAACTAAACCAATGGGTATATAAAAGTATTAACTAAGTACAGAATTTAAGATTTTTATGTTAATAAAATAACATAATTATAATTTCATCTAATGCCTGAACTAAAGCCGGTGCTGCCGCTTAAAAAATAATAAATAAATAAAATATAAGAACCTTTACACTCTAAGCTAATTTAATCGGCATCATATCGTCCAATGTACACTGACACTGTCACTTCAGTCACTACCGAACCAATACGAAGGCTATGTGTATATAAACTCGAGTGCGCCGCTGCGGGCGTCAGCACGCGGGCGCGGGCGCGGGCGCGGGCGCCGGCCACAGCGGGCTCGCCGCGTCGCCCGCCGCTTCCTCTTTATCCGAGCATCTCCTGCGCAGGAACCGGAACAGACTCGCGAAACGCTCTTGGTCGGATAATGTCGCCTGAAATTTAAATTAAATTAGTGATTTCGCATTATTATAAAATACATTTGTATGCACAAGTTCATAGAATATTTCATCTGAAATATTTTATTGTCATGGTGTCACATTGTCCACTTATTTTATTATAACAACGGTCTAACAACCGACTCTCCCAATCTCTTAATTTTAGATGAGACTCTCAATATACACATATATTTCATATCTTTGAGCCACATTTCATCCAGATTCGTTCTGGCGTGAAAGAGTAACAAACATCCATACATATTACATACTCACAAACTTTCACATTTATACACATATGTGCAATGTACATACATAGGTATAGAAAAGTAGGCAAGTATTATAAAAAATAAACTAATATATATCCCTTACTTGAAAAATGATCGATTCGGTACTTTTTGCTGAAACGCGCACGCACAAACAGACTAGATTTTTAATAACTATTGTTTTGGGGTCTATATTGTGTACATAATATGTTACTGTCATTAATTTTAAAAAATATTTCATGTACAGATTTCGCTAAGTTACTACTTTATATATATAGATTATTAACACGTTTAATAATTTATCACTTAAAATAAAAATATTTACAGTGACCCTCTAAACCGCATGCAGTCGAAAAAAAATATGTCTTTTTTGATAACAGCAAAGTTGCAGTACGGTGGAGAGGTAAGAGATGGCTAAGTGACAAGTGGTATGTTGTGCGTGTTTCACGCCCCGATGTTCTATTTATAGTATGTACAATGCACATAATATTCAAAAAGCTAGATTAAATAACAAATACTTTAATTTTTTATATTGCTAGCTATCCCTTTCCACACTATTTCAATTTTAATTTAGTTCAATGTATGTATTTTTGTAGTACATTAATAATTAAATATGTAAAAAAAAAAACATTGCTACACAATAAATAGATATTGACACACGCACATACCTCAATAGCTATAGCCAGCATTAAATGCAGCACAGGAATGAGCAGCAAATACACTCTAAATATATTCTGTTCACTTTCTTCCACCTTCATAACTTCAACTTCCATGAAATCGGCCAGCCATTTCCATGGGCAGAGCAAAAGCACCGTCACAAATACAGCCTGAGTCACTAATGTCACCACCATGTAATCTAAAATGATAAAAATTGTATCAATCATTAATATTTACATAAATAACGTTATAATTGTTATGGTGTTATGTTTCGAAGAATGTTTCATTAAAAGTTTTCATCAGTATTTTTTCAATCTGTCTAATTAATAGCACAATATTCTAAATTTTGATATGATCGGGCCAATTTTAATTTTTCACATTTTCCGATGTTTTTATAGGATTTTTATAAAATAAAATATAAAATTATAATATGGCGGCAAATTAATTTGTATTTATGGCTTATAAAATAAAGCGGATTGAAAGTAATATGTAATACATTAATATCAATTGTCATTATTTTTATACTTATTAAAAAGTAGTGTCAACAACATACTCACAGTTAGCGAAAAACGGTTGGCGGAAGGGCCATCCTTTGGCATAAACACATGCCATAATTAAATACTGGAATGAAGTAATTATAAATATAACTGTATTCTCCCAACACATGACTTGCTCCACATTTGGTCCACCTTCTACTGGTTTAAACCTAGAAAAAAAGAAGACTATAATCTCATGCTATGGCAAGATATTAAGATAGATTTTGTATTGCATGTAGGTAGTCAAATTCGTTCGCCGTTACAGGGTGAAAAAACAATAAACTTTTAATACTAGCATTGCCCGCGGCTCCGCCCGCGTTCAGATGACCAAATACCAAATTCTTAGGTTTTACATATTAGTATACTTTTACAATGCAGTTTATGTATTTTTTCTTAGAAATGAGATAATTTCCCGCGGTAAAAAGTGGCCCGGATAACCAGCTATCATCATAGTAAATTTCATCAAAATCTATCCAGTAGTTTTCTTGTGATGCGTTAACAGACAGACAGACAAAAATTCTAAAAACTATAGATTCGGACTCTGTATTGATAATAATGTCTATTTCAATTAGAATTCCCAAAAAATATTTAATGTACAGATTCGGCTTAGTTACAATTTTATTATATGTATGTGCACTTTATTACATTTTTATTATTTGATTATGATTTTATCACTTTATTGAACTTATTTATTATGATTTTTATTTTTTTGGCCTCGATACGACTCATTTATATTAATTTAATTACACATTTTACGAACTAATGACGTTTTGTTTTTAATTTAATGCATGACAGGTTATCAGACCTGTAAAAAAGTACATTTATGTTTAATCTGTAAATGTAACCACGAATGTATTAATGTAACTTTTGTCGGTTATCCTAATAATATAAATAAAATATCAATAAGCACGGACCATTCCTGAGTCTGCAGCAGGTGTATGGAGGCGAGCTGCATGGCCAGCACCAGCAGCACCTGCATGAGCAGCGGCAGGATGGAGGCGGGCGCCACCAGCGACACGGGCGGCGACGCGCGCGTCAGCACCGGCCCGGGGGAGGCGCGGCCCAGCGACAGCGCCAGCAGCGTCGTCAGCACCAGGTCGATGTACAGGAACTGGTTGTTGCCCAGGATAGAGTAGAACTGGAATTGCATTGGAGGTTATTGTTAGGGATGCATCGATACGCACTTCTGCCGATACCGATATTTATAAAAAAGTATCGCCGACACCGATACCGATGCGGACACTGCAGCCTTCGAAATGTGTAAAAAGTACAAAAATGTAGGTTTAGGATAGAAAACACAGCGACAAACAGCATTACTTACATGAGTAATATTTATTTAGAATTTAACAAAATATCAATTATGTTTTGAAAATTGTAATCAAACAGAACATTCGTTATTTTTTGAAAATAGCAATTAAGGGTCAGACTAGACGTTAATATATAAAATTCACTTTTATAAGATTTTTAAGCAGAAAACACAACCTATCTAATCTTAAATTATTGAAAATGTATCGGTATACATATATATAACTAATATCGCTGATATCGATATATCGGAAAAAAGACGATATCACCGATATATCGGTATCGATATCGGATGCATCTCTAGTAATTTAACATGTTTACTTTTTTGATTTTAAATTTTTGAACCAACCAACCATGCAACAATCGGGAAGGTGGCATCCCTACACCAATAAAGCCAGCATCCCAAACAAAAAAGACCTGAGAGCGCATCACCATCTTGCTTTTAAAGCTCCAGACACTAGCCACAAGGGCTCATCTAGCCTGAATTCTATAATTTCATAAAACTGCTTAATTCCAAAAATCAAACACGAGATTATGAGGCTTAAAAATGAGAGATTAATTCTTAAAAAATCACAAAAAAATAAAACTAAGGCTCATAAAAAGACACGAACAAAAGTCTGTGGTATTCATATACTAACCTATAAAAAACCAAGCAAAATTTTTTTACAGAAAACAGTTTAATCCGTAAATACTTACATTGTATAGTATAAGAATAGAGAAGAACTGGATAAGGGAGTACAGAGCCATGTATTTGAAGATAGCGAAGGACGTACTGAGGGCGCAGCGCCCCTCCAGCGCTAGCAGCTTCACACAGCGTATATTTTGTTCCTGCGACGTGAATGGCGCAGCCACTGGAAATAAAAGTATTATAAATAACAAGATTTTTCAGAAATTGATTTATTTAGACACAATATTTTTTTCTTATTGGAAGCTAATTTTAACTGATTTTTAAATAAAACTATCTTTTCGGATTTTGTCGCGGATTTATTTGTATTTTTGTTTCCCGACGTTTCGAATGCTTTACAGCATCCATGGTCACGGGAGAGACTGAGGTGTTACATGTCTTAAAGATATAGTGGTTACAGACAGCCTACCCACAATTAACAAAATGAAAATTGCACCAATTACATTACAATATTTTAAGTTTAAATATTTTTATAATTTTAATTATAATTGAATATGGAAAATTATTTATTTAATTTTTGCTATTATTTTTATAATTATTACAATTTTAAAAATATTAATTAGCAATCTATATTTAGTGTTGCCATTATTATATTTATAACCATAAGAAAAATATAAAATTAGATAGTATTAATTATTTAAGCCACAATTGATCTATGTGTAATTTGAAAAAGTTAAGATTAATTAAAAAATAATAATTTTAATTTTAATTTGCTATTATTTAAAAAACAAATTATTAAGCAACACATTACTACATACATTTACAAATGAAAAAGTGAAAAAATTATTAATCAGAAATGCTATCATTTTGATCTATACTGTAATAATTATAAAAATAATAGCAAAAATTAAATAAATAATTTTCCATATTCAATTATAATTAAAATTATAAAAATATTTAAAGTTAAAATATTGTAATGTAATTGGTGCAATTTTCATTTTGTTAATTGTGGGTAGGCTGTCTGTAACAACTATATCTTTAAGACATGTAACACCTCAGTCTCTCCCGTGACCATGGATGCTGTAAAGCATTCGAAACGTCGGGAAACAAAAATACAAATAAATCCGCGACAAAATCCGAAAAGATAGTTTTATTTAAAATGTCAAATATTCGCGTAAATCTAAGAAAGTATTATTTAACTGATTTCAAAAAGTTAAAAGTATTCTCAATTCTGGTGTGTTTTTTTAGCTGTGTTTTAGAATTATTCATCAATGGTGGCATTTGTCAACTACCCATTTATATTATGCGCGAGTTATATAAGCGTGGACTATGGTCAATCCCTCTAGAATTGAAGGGAGGCTATTGAAGGGCCGTGTCCAGCAGTGGGACGCTAAAAAGGGCTGAATAAAAATTTTTTTTTATTCAGCCCAATAATGTCCTCCTGACCGATTCCGGCCACGGCGGCCAATCTCACTGATACTAGCCAACTGCGCAGGAGATATTATATGGAAGCACGTGTATCGGTGTGTGCGCAGACACTACGTGCACTCTATTCCTGTCACTCTCAAATGTCGATTGGACAATACGACACGACCGGTGAGAGTGAAGGCGTAGGACCGACAGCTTTACATGTTCTCCGAAGCACGGGGGTGAAACACCGTCAACTTCCTAACTTCGGGCTGTAAATGAAACTTTCTTAACAGAAGGAAGGACACAATAACTAAATTTGGCCCGACTCGGGACTCGAACCCAAGGACCTCCAGATCTGCAGCCGGATATGCTAGCCACTAGACTAACAAGGTGTTTAACGGTAACAATATAAACAAGAAGTAACCAGAAGCGTCGGCCTCGGAGAGCGAGATGCCGACGTGCGCGGCCTTGAGCGCGCCGCAGTCGTTGGCGCCGTCGCCGCACATGCCCACCACCAGGCCGGCGCCCTGCAGCGCCGTCACCAGCTGCGTCTTCTGCTCCGGCCCGAAGCGACCGAAGATCATCCCTGCCGACACATTCATACCTTATGTTCTCAGATTAAATTGACGAATTTGACGACACGTTCGGCTCGGTTTGTGGTGACCCTACTCGCTGTGCCGGCGGTCGCGGGTTTAGTTCCGCTGCGGGCATTCATTTGTGTGATGAGCACGAATGTTGGTTACTCCAGTCATGGGTGTTTATATTTAATAATATATGTATTTAAAGTTATATATGGGTAGTGTCGATATTCCTAACGTCAACTATCTGTGTCCCAACATATTTATATTTATTTATTTAAATAAAATTGAAGTGTCTGTTTGTAATGTGAAAATAACAGCATTTTACTAAATGCATATGAAATTATGTACGGTATTTATAAGAAAAACACAATTTTTAATTTTTTTGCCTGTCTGTCTGTTTGTTCCGGCTAATCTCCGAAACGGCTGGGCCGATTTTGACGGGACTTTCACTGGCAGGTAGTTGATGTTATAAGGAGAAACTTGGGCTACTTTTATTTCAGTAAAAGAATTAGGGTTCCGCTCAAAAAAATTCAAATGTACCACCGACGAATGATGACGAAACATGACGAACCCGCGACGCGAGGGTGAGTCGCTAATTTTACATATACTTATATTTTATTCAGATTATAATATATGGGGATACATTAAATTGTAATTTTACAACTAATTTTAAGTCAATCATGCCTGGTGTTACATTGTATTGTAAAATCAATTGTATTGATTGGTTTTTACGTTTATTAATAACTAATGTCGAGTTACTAGATGCCCTTCGTATTTATAATAAAAGAATTTTGAAGATTTTTTAAGATTTCACAAAATATAACATTGTAACTTATTTTCTCAATATGTTCATAAATTATAGCATATAACTTTCCTAGATTATCCCTGCAGCAGTTAATGAAAAAAAAAACGATATGCTTTGCTTTGTCTTAACCAGACTGGATTTAAATATCAAACACAAACATTTCTGCTTGTAAACATTCATTTACGGTTTTCTACTAAGTTGACATGTAAGACCTAATGCCGCCGTTTTGATGGTAGACAAAGAAATAGGTATTTCTAAATAAACTTTCTTATACACTTTAACATACCTTTGTTGATAACAGTTGGAAGGAGCTCAGGATAATGTGTGCGCATGGCGGCCCAAGTTTTGCCCTCCATAGCCAGTACATATGCATCTATTGGTAGCTTTGGGGGACCACCTTCACCAACCACCTGATAGAGATTCAATAATAATAATTATTTTAATGAAATTGTCCCTCCTTTATATGTGTGTAATAAAAAATCTATATAAATAAGTTTTAAGACTTTGTGGTAGCTATCATTATGATGTGAAATATCTACCATAATGTTTACTATTAACTTAATTGCTCAAACTAAGAGGTAATCTATATATTAGCTTTCAAAAACTTGTATTAAATAATAAAATAAAACAGTAATATTATGTACAAATCTACCTCCATATTAAGAGTAGGTCGCTGATCCCCGGTCTGTTGGTTGGCTGTGATGAGGACCACCTTCTGGTGCGGCTGCACCATGCAACACCCGCGCGCCACCGACATCGCTGTCATTATATTATCCCCTAAGGAAATAAAAAAATATAATCTATGCTTACCACGAGGTTATTTAAATTTGTTTAGACATATACAACATTCTGAATTTTTAATAACTTTTAAAATTGTCAAAAGGTATTTGATAAATAATAAAACTAGTATTTCTTTTTGACTTATCTTTGTTACACTCATAATAATTATATTGTCCTAGTCATATAAGTGTAAGTTCTAATCAAAGTAGCGATGGATATTCCGATAGTTAATCAGGATTTTTAAATCTACACTTAATTTTTAAACTCAAATAGAAAATTTAATTGGACTATTATTATAAATATCTAAAATCAATTAAAATAAAAAACAAAATCATAATCACCAGTAACCATAATCTGCCTCATGTTAGCCGCGTGCAATTCCTTAATAACTTGTGCAGTTTCGGGTTTCAGGCTATTTTGCATGACTAGAAAGCCTAGAAACGTCATATCACATTCAATAGTATCTCTCTTCAGCCTCTGAGCGTCCACCCACTTCATCTTCCTCTCCAGTCTCTTGTACGCGAGGCCGATGACTCGGAAGCCGTTCGAAGTGTATTCATTAAGTACTGAGCTGAAGTTGTCCGGTAATGTGGCCGGGTTACACATTCCTGCAACCTTAGATATTTACTTTTTATATGTATTATGTTTATATAATGTTATATAATTTACGGGTAATATTTAAATGAGTTAAAAAAATGAGGTAATTGATTGGTTTGTTTCTAATGCTTTGGATATTTTACGCGAGAGATTTTACCTTGGCACATTGAGAACAGATTTTTTTAGGTTACGTCAATAGGTTATATCACAGGGGTTCCCGCTTAAATTTAGAAATAAACAAACCTTGAGGATGGAGAAATTTGTAATAATGTGATTATCTGCTTTCTAAAGTTTTTAACCTTTTTAGTTAATATATGACATGACATTTCTTTTTTAGAAATATAGTAAGTCGATAGCATCAAACCGTATAAAAATCGATTAAACATATAATTTTTCTTGTAATTACCTTCTCCGGCGCTCCCTTCACATAGTACACCATCTGCGGCTGTCCGAGCACGCGCGCGATCACGCCCATCGACTGCTGGGACGACGAGAAGTGGAACCTACGCAGCAAACCGATCTGCAATTATATACATATACATGTATGTAAATAAATATGTTGGAACATTAACACACAACGCCATTTAGTTCCATCGTAAGCTACGAGGACCTGTGATATGGATACAACGTAGTTGAGACACTACACATATATAACTTTAAATATATAGATATTATAAATATAAACACCCATGACTGGAGTACAAACATTCGTGCTCATCACACAAATGAATGCTCCCAGCGGGATTTGAACCCGCGACCGCTGGTACAGAAAGTAGAGTCACTACAAACTGAGCCAAACGTGTCATCTAATATATTACTAGTTTTTCTGATATTCTCTTGCAATAAGTACGCATATTAGTATATTTTATTCCAATACATTGTGAATTTCGCTCACGGCCCTAATCGTTTAAAAGAGGAAAAACATTAAGAAAATATAAACACAAAATATCGAATTAATATTAGTGCAATGTAAGTAAAATTAGAGTATTTATAACTTTGTGGATAAAGAAATATCTCTCCTTAAATCATTTTATTACATTTGGACAAATATGTGACATACCAAATAAAACACTGTTGTCCATACATTTAATTAGATACCACTGAACTATAAGTGTTAAGAGATCATAATCATACAATAATTTGATATTTTTGTGCTCACCTCATAAGGCATTTCCATAGTGAAAGGATCGTAATCATCTAAATTTTGCAAGTCTACGTTATGAATAGTTGCCGGTTTCACAATGGCCGGAGTTAAGTTATCGTATCTTGTGCTCTCTGGACCTGGCTCTTCTAATTTCTGTATACAAATGAGATATTAATATTTTATTATTTAGTAAAAAAAAAATATTGTACATTATTATTATTATTGGCCTGTAGTATGCAGTATCCCACTGCAGGACAAAGGCCTCCCTAGTCTCCCTCCACTGCTCACTATGTTCCGCCATAATAAACTACTCTCACTAAAAGGAGCCCAACTCATCTCGCCATTTCCGTATACACTGTCGTATGCTGTGTTGTACATCATCTTTATTAAAAAGAATACTGACAAGTGCTAGTCGGACTCGCCCACCGAGGGTTCCGTACAAAGTAGGAAATTTGTTTAATTTTCAACTTTGTTTTTTTTTAATTTTTCCTTTGTTTATGTTGTAAGACCTCGTTTTTTGCCTAATTTCGTGATTCTAGGTCAACGGGAACTACCATATGGGTTTTCGACCCAAAACCTATAGGGTACTTCCGGTTGATATAGAATTATCAATTGTGGTCAAAAGCGAGGTGTTACAACACAAGTAAAGGGAAAATTCTGAAAAATAAAAACGTTTGAAAATTCCGTAAAATACAAGTTTGCCCATATTTTGCCCATACGCAAAAATCTAAATTTGCCCATATCTTTTATCGTATTCACTCATTTTTATACACCTAATAGGGACTATAGACCTCAGTAATTGGTATAAATTTCAACTTGCTAGGTCCACCCGTTCCTGAGAAAATTGGTGGTGACACACGGACAGACAGACGGAAAAGAGAGTGATCTTATAAGGGTTCCTTTTTTTACCTTTTGAGATTCGGAACCCTAAAAAGTATTCATATTCGTCTCTTCCTTAACCGATTTCGATGATGATGAGAAATGAGCTTTTTTATGGGATCACTTGGATTGGGCGCTATTGTTGAGATTCAGAACTTAGTAATGTAGATATATATAAATAGTGTTTGATAGAAAATGCGGATTGCTCCTGAAACTTCTCTGAGTGCGGAACCGATTCTACATCGCCCCATTAAGACGGTAGCCCCGACCCGATCATGGGCGACCCGAAAGCGGCACGTAAGTTTACGAACACAGCCCGAACGTTAATAAAAAAAATCCAAATTAACACCGAAATTTGTCAAAAACAAATTTATTTAGTTTCATCTAATATTAATAGATATACAATGAACAAAACAAATTGATCAATATAATCATGTAATGTCGCGTCTACTTTGAAAGTCCCACTTTAGCAATTAGTGGTCAATAAAAGTAATATAATAATACGTACCCATTGAGTGAATTCAAACATTTTCAAGTCCAAAGGATCGCCTTTCAATTGACCTTGAATGCTTGTTAGCGAATGGCAGGAGGCCAGCGCTTGTACGAGTGGACTCTTTATTGGCAGGGAAGCGATGTTGTCCACACAACGACCGAACTTCTCACCGGACTCATGAGGTATGACTGCGTATAAATCTAATCCATCTTCAGTTAGTGTTCCCGTCTGTCGATAAAAAAATAAACTGCTATTATTTTCTATGATAAATAGCCTACACTAATATCATAAAGAGGTAATTTTTTTTAGTTTGGGTGTTCGCTGAAACTAACAATCCGATTCTGAATGTTCTTTGATTAATTAGTAGATATATTACTGGCCAGTTATATAGGGTAGTTTTTATACCAATAAAAATGCGGTTTCGACAGTAGTCAAATCATAATAACTTTAATCAATGTGGAAACTAACTGTTGAGGACGAAGCGAGATAATTCGCTAGTCGTATATGAAAGCATTTGACATATAGACCAGGGTAGAAGCCTTTAAAAATAATAAAAAGTGAAAAAAAATATAGTAGGATGCAACCCATTAGAAAAGAAGGGGAATATTATAAAAATGAAAGGAAAAATAATTTACGGGCGATCTGAGGTCGGGAAGGGGATGGGGGGTGAGTTTTTAAAGGTAAAAAATGGTTTTTCTCGATTTCCGGCAAAACTAAAAGTCCTATCGAAAAAAGTTAAATGGCAAAGTTGTAGGTAATAAAAAGATCTAAAACTTTTGTATTTACACTTTTTTCACATAACCTCAAAATTTATGTGAAAAATTCAAAAAACCAAGTTTTTGGTTTTTTATTTTTATCTTTTACAAAAAAAATAAAAAAATTTAACGAAATTTGGTGAAAACTACCTTTTTATGTCCCAAATACGCTGTAATTTTTTTGGTTAAAAATATTTATTTTTTCACCTTATTTTGAATTAATATCGAAAAAGCACCCTAATTTTCAATCGAAAATTCACCCGTCAAAATATCAGCTTTTTTCAAAAAGTTGGTATGTTTTCTGTTCGTTGAAATCTCTACTTTCCGATGGTGAATATATATATATATATATATATATATATATATATATATATATATATATATATATATATATATGTTACTATAGTAAATCTTCTGAGAAAATACAAAAAACAATAAACCTTTTTATTTCATACACTTACTTATCATCTGCCTTATTGCAGATGATACAAACAGATTCATCCATACTGATAATTTGAAAAGACAAAATCGAATTAATAATGCCTTCACTATTTTATCGTGAGTATACCCCCATGAAAAAAAATATATTAAAGAAATAAATGTCAAAATGTATAAAAAATATATTATAAATATATTAAAAATCTATAATAAATGTATAAATATATAAAAAATATGTATAGTAAATATATTTTTAATAACTAACTTTTGGCCGATTTTCATGTATATTTCATATATTTTATTATAGATTATTAATTCGATGTTGTCTTTTCAGATTATCAGTATGGATGAATCTGTTTGTATCATCTGCAATAAGGCAGATGATAAGTAAGTGTATGAAATAAAAAGGTTTTTTGTTTTTTGCATTTTCTCAGAAGATTTACTATAGTAACATATATATATATTTTTTCACCATCGGAAAGTAGAGATTTCAACGAACAGAAAACATACCAACTTTTTGAAAAAAGCTGATATTTTGACGGGTGAATTTTCGATTGAAAATTAGGGTGCTTTTTCGATATTAATTCAAAATAAGGTGAAAAAATAAATATTTTTAATCAAATAAATTACAGCGTATTTGGGACATAAAAAGGTAAGTTTTCACCAAATTTCGTTAATTTTTTTTTTTTGTAAAAGTTAAAATTAAAAAAAAAAATGTTTTTTTTTTTGAATTTTTCACATAAATTTTGAGGTTATGTGAAAAAAGTGTAAATACAAAAGTTTTAGATCTTTTTATTACCTACAACTTTGCCATTTAACTTTTTTCGATAGGACTTTTAGTTTTGCCGGAAATCGAGAAAAACCATTTTTTACCTTTAAAAACTCACCCCCATCCCCTTCCCGACCTCAGATCGCCCGTAAATTATTTTTCCTTTCATTTTTATAATATTCCCCTCCTTTTCTAATGGGTTTCATCCTACTATTTTTTTTTTAGTTTTAAAAATTATCGACCCTGGTCTAATATGTTAAATTATTGCTGAAAATGTAATATGTAGCATATAAAGAAAATATTGGGTATTTAATTTCTAGTTAAAAAATGGGCTAAACCATGGATATACTCGTCGTCCAAAATTCATATTATATATGTAGTCGAAAGCGAGTAAATTAACTCGGTTTACTGACTACCTATTTTATTATCAATTCCTCTAAACTTTCTACTAAACAATAGTGACATACCCTCCATACGCTAGGGTTCTACACGCACACCAATAGCACTCCAAACAGTAGGGTTACAATACCGGGCGCACCTTGTCGAAGCACATGACCTGCAGCTTGCCGCACACGACGATGCGCGGCGGCGACACGCAGAAGATGCGGCGGCGCCGCAGCCGGCGCTGGCTGTACACCACGCCCGCCGTCATGGCGGCCGGCAGCGCCGGCGGCACCACGATCGTGATGATGTCCAGCGTGCGCAGCGCGACCGTGCCCACCAGGCTCTGCAATGTGCTCTCTTTGTTACTATCTACCGTTACGTATCTCTCGGACGTCGTTCTCTTCGCTGAATAAGGAATATAAAAAAAAATTACAAATATTTAGAAATGTTACTACGCTTACATGAAATGATAAAATTGAAGCTTAAAATATTCAGAAAGCTATTGCTATTTAATAATTGTGAGTAAAATATTCAATAAGTGATAAATTTGATCATAATTTAGTTCCGATTTAATACTGTATTAAGCTTTTTATTTTTTTATTAAATGAACAGACAAGTGATTTTCTTTCAATGAGTGAGCATCTATTTTGTGTCAATCTAACTTATTTGTGTGATTCTATTTTTAATCAGTTAACTTTTAATAGACTAACGTCGTAATTCTTAGGCTGTTCCAAGTAATTTCTCCTATTGTAACGATAATATTTTTGGTTCTAATGCAAATATACTACGCTATTGGTATATGGTATGTATATATTAAAAACTACTTACACCTCTGTTCAAGTAGAGCCAAATCGAGTATCCCATTCCAATAGTGGCAATGCAGAACATGAATATGACAAATTTGACGGCATCCTTGTAGAATTGAAAATCGAATTGTTTCGGGAACAAAATACTTTTAATCAACTCTCCCTTAGCAGTGTAGAAGCCGGTGCGGACTACTTTAGCCAACACCTGAAAGTAAGGTCACTTATAAAGGACTACATAAACTAACTATTCCGCTCGATCGTATAACCCGCGTCAATATTTAATCGAATTCAATATTATATTTAAATAACCTTATGACAGGGCATTGCAATATATGATAATATAATAATATGTAGGGACATTAACACACAACACCATCTAGTTTCATGGTAAGCTACGAAGCTACACATATATAACGCCCCCAGCGGGACTTGAACCCGCGACTAGGGTCACACACAGGGTCACAAACTAAGCCAAACGTGTCGTCAAATATATTCTTGCAATAATGATAATAATATATTTTTGATAACATATAAAATATTAGGAACTCGAATCGTCGCATCAGCTTTGCTCTACAAACCTCGCGCGGCGACGACGAGACAAGGCCAGGCGCAAGTGCAAGCGCAGCAGCCACCTACATTTCATCAATGCCAATGTCACAACTTCCTACAATAGTGTAGTATAAAATGCATTACTTGGCTGCATCTTCACTGATTTCATTTAACATCGATCGACAGTCATTTTAGTAGTAAGAACTTCTAGTTAATAAATTAATTTTTAGTTAAATTGCATTTCTTCGCATCCCCTGGCTGCCTTCAAAACATAATTAATTACAAAATCTACAAAGTACCTAATATTATGTTGAAAATAAAAACATTTTATTAAGAATGGCATGTGTGATCAAAATCAGTACTACAGCAGCACTTGTGATTCTATTAAAATTGATTGACGCGGGTTATTAATAGTACATATTATTTTGTAGTTTATTAAGTACCTGATTGTTTCCATAGAACCTAGTTTGAATCACGTGTGTTCCTGCGAAGAGAGTGTGCCTCTTATGCGAATCTGTTGAGTAAGCTTCTGGGGAGATGCAAGGTGGGCCTTTCATGACGGGTACACTTTCGCCTGAAACATGCGTATTTATATGGTAGCTGTATGGCGACCGTCTGGTTATAAAAGGTTCAAGTCTTGGTTGGGGACGTATTTTTTACTTTAATAATCTAAATCACGCTAGAACGACTATGGCATGGAGTAACACATTGGCTACTGTTAGGCACCCGGGTAGAAGATATATATACAGCATTAATTTTTTAGCTTAATATTAGTCATAATTTATCGTAACCATATATCTGGGTTCGGGGTTACTTAATATCTAATCTACTATCTGATATTGAATCATAAAGATAAAAAGCAGCAATTTCAATGACAGATCAATATAGTGTGTATAATAGAAAGAAAACTAATTATTGGTAATGTTATATACTACCATCATAACTTTCTTTAAGGTTTAGTCATATTATTATTTATAGTTTAGATTCTCCCTTAAATTTCAGTCAAAATAACATACGATTAACATAATATAACTCATTAGGTTCTAATGTTAGGTAAATATAGATCGAGAGAGACAATTCTTCTAAAGAAAAAAATATTTACAACAGATTAGAATCTAATTTAATTTTGACCTTACAAATATTAATACGAAATTATACTATGTAAATTGTTATAAAATTTACATTTTACAAGGGGAAGTGTGGGTGTCATTTCGTTATCACTACAACTTTTTTTCCAAGATAAGTCCATAGGCTTGCTTATTCATAATATCTTCGTCGTCACTGAGTGGACTAAAGCCAACCATGAATGTGTGAGTTAGAATGTGTATACTCTGTTAAATAAAAAGAAAGGCGGTGTTTCGCTGCGTCTTGACTACCCCGGAAGGATTATAATGTAAAACCAAAGCTTACGTCTTAAGTAAAAGAAAAATGTTGGTAATAAATAATAAAAAAATAACTTTAAACGCATTAAGTAACAATCCAATGAAGGCAATGTTTATTCAATGGGTGAACTTGCCACCTTTGTAAACTCGGATTTATAACTATACTCCGTAATTTTTTATAACACCGCTCTACCCGAGGCTTTTTCCTATCAAAAACTTAAATTGTCACTGCTAATATTCTAGGCGTAGCGAAATATTAACTAGGAACTGAGCAGATAAGCCCAGTCCTATATTTAAAAAAAAAATAAAAAAAAACCCGACTGCGTAAAAAGAGGGCTAAAAAGATAGATAAGTTGACGAAATAAAAAAGTATTACGCAGTCGGAGACATACATACACATAGCTAGAGTTACAGCAAGTAAAAATAAAATTAAAACTTTTAAGTAGCCACCGTAATAATAAAAAACTCTAAAAAAAAAATCTTTTGGCCTTTTAATTTCATTAAAAATATCTATTCATATTTTGACGATGAACGTCACCGCGTCGGGGGGCCGCTAATACTTTACTATTATCAATTTTCTTTTATTTGTATTCTGGTTTACATTTTATTTACTAAGTTAAAACTTACTTAAACTTAGAGAAATGTACTGTATGCTTTATATGTTATATAAACTATAGTTACCTAGTGAGTAACCCTCGCTTCGTTCGGGTGCGTCCCTATGTGCCTAACAGTAGCTAGTAGTAGGAGTAATAAATACACACATGCACACACACATGTGCGCACGCACACACGCACGAACGTACGTACGCACGCACACACACACACACACACGCGCGCGCGCGCGCAAGCACGTACGCACGTAGGATGGATGGACACTGAGTGGATTGACGGGCGACTGGATTACTAATGATAGAATGTGCAGAGTAGTTAGAAAAAAGCTATGTAAGCTCAAAGGGGTGCATAGCCTATGTATAACAGTACGCACACATACACAACTAAAGTTTAAACATACAGGTGGAGGTACCCATTCTGAACGCTAATATATAAGTCTGTCTGATTTCTTTTTATCTATACTAATATTATAAAGAGGTAAAGTGTGTGAGTTTGTGACGAGATAATTTCAGACCCTGGGAAGGACATAGGATACTTTTTATCCCGAAAATCATCCCTTAAGGGGGTGAAAGTGGGGATAAAAAATTGTATGGGGAAGCAACCTAGGGACGAACCCTCGCGAAGCGGGGTGAGTCGCCAGTACAGGCATATACTGACCGGTGAGCATCGACTCGTTGACGATGCAGGTGCCGGTGAGCAGCATGGCGTCGCAGGGCATGACGCAGCCGTCGCGCGGCAGCACCAGCACGTCGCCGGGCACGAGGCGGCCGGCGCCCACCACGCACTGCTCGCGGCCGCCGCGCGCCGGCCGCAGCACCGTCGCCGTCGCCGCGCTCGTCGAGCCCGCCATCTTGTGCAGGTTGATGCTCATCTGTGTCACGACCGTTGTCCGTGAGTACACTGTGCCCAGCCCCGGCCCCCGGCGAGCTCAACAGTGAGACCTGAACGAGGTGGCTACCGGGGCCACCCTTCCACGCGAACGGGATAAAATCCATCACGCTGGCCAATTAATATATAATTTAGTTGGCGATTAAGTTACTTCAAAAGACATGTCTTTTAATAAATTGCTAGGTTCTCTTAGACATGCAGGTTACCTCACGAATTACTTACTTTTCGAAGCAAGTTTGTTGTCATCGCGTTATCACTGGGCTACTACTGCCTTTTAGTTAATGCAGTATATAAAATACAATTAAGTATGGGATAGTAATGGTAGGTACTAATAGCTCGTGGTAGACAGTTTATTAACCGTAATAAAAATTTTGGTTCAAAAATCACGTCAATCCGTGATTCCGTAAAAATAAGTATCGCATTGAGAAGAAATTGTTCGGTTTGAAATAAGTATTATCCATAGTATTTAGAGCTGTCTGTTCGTGTATATTAATAATATTATGTAAAGGAGTAAGGTCGCGAATGGGAAAAACTTCACAAGCTCAGAATTACAAGTGCAAACAATTTAACAAAGATAACTTTTTTTCTTTAGTCATTTACCATTATCAATTAAGAAATTAAAAGAAATATTATATTACGTACATTATACGAAAAGATTTTAAGACAAGTGATATCTAATGATATATGACGATCGAACGTGATAAAATTTTCAAGTGTGAATCAACAATTGCTTAGAAAAATCAAATAAGGAAATCTATAATAAAACAAATTTTCTTTATCAAATGGTAAAACCAACTTAAAGGTAAATTACCTGTTTAGTTTGGTATAGCGCCATCATGCACGAGCCGGCAGAGAGGAGGAAAACGCATGTCGCATACTGATAATATTCGTCCAACGACCATAGGATTATAGAGAATACTTGGAATAGGTAGAACGGATTGAAAACTTCGTTCACAAACAATGTCCAGTAACTTTTCACCTCTACTTCCACAGAATTTCCTCCATACAATTTAATCCTAAAATTAAACAAAATAAACATATTAGAAACTAGCGACTCAGGGTGAGTCGACCGACATACGTAGCGATACATCGTTCCAGGTTCGTTCCTAAACAAAAAGAAATCTGTCCCACGAAAAGCGTACATTTTTCCGCAATAAAAATATAACCTATGTGCTATTCCAGACTATAATCTATCTGTGTGCCAAATTTCATCCAGATCCGTTAAGCCATTCTGGTGTAAAAGGGTAACAAACTTCCATCTATCCATCCTCACAAACTTTCAAATTCCTCACTTCGCTTCGGGATCGTCCCTATACTAAAACAAATCTATCCCACGGGAGTCGTACCTTTTTCCGGGATAAAAAAAACCTATGTGCTATTCCAGATTATAATCTATCTCTGTGCCATATTTCACCCAGATCCGTTCAGCCGTTCTGGCGTGAGAGAGTAACAAACATCCATCCATCCTCACAAACTTTTACATTTATAATATTAGTCGAATAATAGGATTAACAAATGAAAGTTACAAATATATATTGAATTATAACAAATGTTCCAAAAAAAAAATAGCATGTAATAAAAAGCAGACTTCTATACAATGAGTCAGAAAAATAGAACATCTAAAAACATCGTTATAGAAAGTTAAATGTTTATTTACTTACAATTCATTTTGTTGCCTCTTATTGATGCCCGACATATTTTCCAATAACAAATTGATCGTAACTTTTTCGTTTAACGTTAATACGTTGATGAAGGCTCCATAATCATTCAGCCAAATATACCGGCTGTGCTGGTATACGAAATAACGCAGTTTATTCTCCCGCTGGTTGGAGAGGCTCAGGTCTAGTTCCCTTACGGCTTCAATGTGGAAAGAGCCCTCGCCGTCCATTACTATGGAAATACAATTAGTTAGATGTTAATGTATTAAATATGCAAATATTTAAATTAAAGTGGATATTATTAACTTACCACAAACTTCCTCAGCCATTTTCAAACTGCATCTTACGTATTTGAAGCGGTTCAATGTAGGGTAGTATGCTAAGGCGAAGTATGGTATCCCACATAGTATTATGCAAATAATATGAAAAATGACCGCATGAAATTTAGAGTACTTGTAGCCATAAATCTTGATGACCTGATCGTCGGCGTTGTTTTCCAATATCTGCCAATGGGCTTCACCAATAACTTCATATTCATCTGTAAAATAAAGGAGGCTGTCTGCATACCTCACTGGGGATAACTGTTGGGTGTGGCGAGAGCATACACCGTGTTTGCTTTGCTCAGTTTATTATCTTGTTTAGTTATCTATGCTAACTAAAAAAAATTAAACACACTTGAAGATGTTTTAGTTAATCATCTGTATGCTAGAGAACAGATTTTCGTGATTTTCTTAACAATTGTACCCTTATTATTACACATTAGTAAAGTATTCAATTATAAGTAAAAACTTATAATATTTTTATGTACCTACTAAAGTATTAGAAACATCTAATACATGGTTTTTGTAGATGATAAATATGTGAACCATTGCTTGTTATATTCATTAAATATTTGCTTTAGAATACTTAAATTTTAGTTTGTTTAAATATTTGAATGTTACCAGAGGTTGTTCTAGTAACTGGTATCAAAAGTTGTTAAAGAAGAAAATATTTAATTTATAGCAAATTATGTTGAAGCACAAATTATTTATTTAAAACTTTATTAGATCAAAAGAAATAATCTACAAGTAATGCTTGAATACAAGTATTACTTGTATCTGTACTTGTAGCTATCAATGAAGCTATTTCATCTCCAAATTAATTTGATTGACCTATTTATTTGCAAATGAAAACGTAATAAGCATAAAAAAAATCTATAATATGTGAAAAAGCATATACATTTTATAAATATATTCTTTCATGGTTAATGTTAATAACTCATAATCTAATGACATCTCAGTATAGAGTGCAAACTTCTTATGTTTATCCTCAGAATAAAGAATTATATAGACAGAGCCGACCACAAAAGTTTCAAAGTCCAAAATATGCTATTTATGCTACTATTTTCAATTTTGTATACACTTTAATTTGTACTTTTTGAGAAGAAAATATTAATAATAAAAATATATTATTCTGTTTCCCTTGAAGGAGAGGTAGTGTAATATTAGCTTATTTATTTTTTCTTTATTTTAATAAAATCCAGTAACTATTTTTATTTATTAACATTTATTGACTTACTAGTTTTTCACGGTTAGTATAGATTTCTCAGAGATGAGACATTTTTCCTGCAGTAAAAAGTATCCTATATGTTGACCCAGATAACCAGCTATCATCATACCTAATTTCATCAAAAATTGTCCAGTGGTTTTCTCATGATGCATTGCCAGACAGACAGGCAGACAGATAAAAATTATTAAAACTATAGATACAGCCTCTGTATTGATAATAATTACTATTTCAAAAAGATTTTCCAAAAAATATTTAATATACAGATTTGATTGAGTTAGAATTTTATTATATTTGTATGACAGCAATGAATATTCTATTAATCCCTCCACCTGCTCCACCTGGAGGTGTTAATATTTGTATTCTTATATATCTACTTTAAATCATTAATGTTTGTCTTCACGATTAATTCTATATTATTCCTTATTCTGAGTGTATATCATAATTAATAATGTTGAAATCAATTTTTTGAATAAATAAATAGAACAGTTTAATTATATATAATAAAAAAAAAACAGCAAAAACTTATCACAATTCCAAAAAAATAGACACGTAAGCAAAATAAAGCTCCTGAAGCAATAAATATAATATTAAAATATTATTCAAGCAATTTGTGCAAACACATTATGCCATCATCACACAAAATAAAGATTAACACTTAAGCTCTTAAAACTGAAGCTAATGTGATAATCTTTATCCCAACAGTATCCCCAGCATAACAAAAGGTGAATTAATAAATGAGGATTGAACAAAAATAAATAAATATTGTGTAATATTATAATAATACAAGTGTCATTTAATATATTAGTGATTGTACTTAAATAGACAAATATGAGTGAGTAAGTGCTATTATAATGTATTTTCAATATTATGGAAAGTATTTGAAAATAATCAAGTTACTACTAGTATAGAAATCAATAGAATTCACTTATGATGGAATTTGAAAATTTTAAATTGTTACTAATCTACATATATTAATTGAAGAAAAGACAAGTAGAATGAACATTAATGAAATAACAATCAAATGGATCCCTTTACTGTTGCTCTTAACTGGAATGACCTACATTGTTTATGAATCATAATCAAGGGTAAACATCAGTAATCACCAATTCTAACTACCAATAAAACGAACAATTAATATTATAGTGGTCAAGTCATTCATAACAAATTACAAACACAAAATGTTATTTTTTATCAAATTTAAAAAGTTAATCTTTACTAATATTGTTAACCTTAAAACAGATCATTATATTTTTTTATATTATAACACAATTCTAATATCTATGCTAATATTATAAAGAGGTAAAGTTTGTGATGTTGTAGGGGGTAATCTTTGAGTCTACTGAACCGATTTGGATAAAATTTGGTAAGAAAATAGTTTGATACCCTGGGAAGGACATAGGATACTTTTTATTCCGGAAATCATTCCTTAAGGGGGTGAAAATGGAGATGAAAGTGTGTATGGAGAATCAACCCAGGGACAAACCAGAGCGAAGTGAGGGTGAGTTGCTAGTTGTAAATAAAATAGTAAAAATATAAGATGCATCAGATATTACCAATCAATTGTGGCATTATGAGTTATCATATTGTGTTCCTTTTTCCCTTAGATGTAGTAATATATTACATATCTTCCTTATTGTGCTTAAATACAGTAATTAAAATATGTACAATGAAATTTGCAAAGGTGGTGGTGATAATATTATAGTGACCAATGTTAATAAAAACCTAATAAATAGGAAAAAATAATAGCAATTTAATAATATTAAATGAAAATATATTATTTGCCCAAATTATGGTGAATAATGAAGTAAAGAATAACCAGAACATAAATTTTGACACCAATAGAATTAAGAATGAAAATAAATAAATGCTGTAAAAATTATGTTTTTGGACGTTTTCCATTTTATTACATTATGCTTATTGTTTATATATAAACCCAACAAGTTATTACCTTTGAATTAAATCCAATTTTACAATGTAATTGAAACCAATTATAACCCTTTAGCATACTTCAGATTTTGGATTAAAATTTTCAAATAACATTTTTGTCGGTATTTTTAACAATTGCAAACTTAAGTGAAATGTGATATACAAAGTGTTAATAGTAAAAAGAAAAGAATAAAACCCAAAAATAAAATGACTCAAAAGATTAAAGTGTAATTTGAAAGAATAGAATGATACTCACCATTTGCGACTAAAGCATTATTCATGTTCAGCATCCCGATAAATTTATTTTAACACGAAGAATTAAGGCATAATAATTAGATGTTATTAATACTAAACTGTTCACCAATGCTACCTCATTTCAAATAATAATAAATTAGATCCTTTACAACAAGATCACATTCACATCACACCTTCTTAGATGGATCATTGAGTGAAGGAATTATGGTTGCCATCTCAAAATTCAAATCGCGATAAAATGTAGTATCCAATTTTTGCTTGGGCAATACCAATGTAATAATTCCATAAAGAAACAATGTTTTCTCTATATTTATTACCATAATATTTTAATTTACCGTCACGTAAAACTAATTATTATATATCTGTAAACTGTAAATAAATAATTTTCATGATATCACATTGGGTCCAACTGATAACAATAATCCATGAACGAATTAGACACTTCGTTCATGCAATAATCGTACGCCATAGACTAAATACTTACTCTAATACAACATAGATGGCAGTAGTTGTATATAGGAGCCTGAGAAATGTCTTGGAAAAGCGGATATTGCGCAACGGCCAATCACTAATGTGCACTGTGAAATAGCCAATAGGTTTTTGACAGAATCGTGTTATTGTATTGATTTTGGCGCGAATGAAATAAAAATAATAAAAATAAGTTTAAAGGAAAATATTTTTTATTATTATTACTAAAATTTTAATATGTCTCATAGAGGTTTATCAGATGTGAAAAGTGAATATTTGGAAATAGGACAGTATAATTTTACGTGGCCCGGAGAAAATGGAACATTACAACACGATTTCGGTTCTGTTAATTACACCATGCCGTCAGGTAAAATAAATGAAAAACTTTTAAAAAATAAATAAAACCGACTTCCAGGCACTAAAATGTAAAAAATAACTAAACGGGGGTTTTCATTTAGAATAGATACCTAATCAGATATATTCGAAGTCGGTGCCAGCCGGCGCATAGGAAATCTAATATATTTTGATACGTAAAATACATATTTACCTATTAGGTATTCATATCTTACAATATTGTCCGCTATGTTATTTTTTACATTTTAGTGCCTGGAAGTCGTTTTTTTTTAAAGTGTTTATTTTTTTATAAGCAGGTAATTTGTAGGAAAAAAGTTTTTAATAACATATTCGATTAAACAATTTCTTTAAAAAAAAATTATTATTGATTTTTTGAAAAACCGCTCGACCGATTTCGATAAAATTTATATGGGACCACCTGGGAAGTATACCCTTTCAAACAAAACAAAAATTTTCCAAATCGGTTAAGGTGTCTTCGAGTAATCGGTAAACATACATAAAAAAAAAGATTCCGACGAATTGAGAACCTCCTCGTTTTTTGGAAGTCGGTTAAAAATATTTATACTAATAGTTTCCTCTATGCTTAGAGTTACATATTTATTTAATTTTTATTTACGAAAAATTCTTCAGGACCATGGTACTGGCCTTGGTGTCCTTTATGGAGAGTTCCCCAGCATCCACTTTTTCAGGTAACTATAGTCAATAGTCCCTAGACTTATACCTATAATATGTATATATTTATATAGCGTTACAAATAAGAAAATAAATATTTTTTACTATATTTTTGTACACAGCTTTCAAATATGCTATTTGTAGCAGCATATTGCGCCCCGAGTACAAAAAAAGGCCAACTGTGGATGCATACTATTTTGATTTTTAGTAAGTTTTGTTAAATTATTCTTTTCAAATTATACATTACATAATATATAGACTAATTTGAATAAAAGGTATTGGTTTAAATGAAGAATTGTATACTACCAGACTAGTGGTAGGCAGTTTTGGGAATTTTACAATACCCTACATATAAAACTGCATCTATTTTAATTAAAATATTTATATACTTTTAATTGGCGACAGGTTTTATGTTGTATTCTGTCTGGGCTTGGCACGTCATATGTTCACCGGACGCCTTTTCCTGGAATTTTGGATTCGTATTCTTGAATTTAGCTCAAGTAGTCTATTTAGTATATGAAATGAGACCAGTCAAATTTGACCCGGAACTTGAAGAGGTTTACCACACACTGTTTGAACCATTTAAGGTAAGACATTAAGTTATGTGCGTATTGAAAAAATACATACATTATAGCTATATATATATATTAAAAAAATAAACCTGCATAAAAAGCGAACTAAAAAGATGGAAACTTGGTGAAGGAACATAGTATTACACAGTCGGAGATATTTATCTTGCTACGAGTATGTGTATGTATGATTCCGACTCGATTATTATTTTTATAAATTATTTTTTATTTATAGCTATTTAGTTTTGGCCAGTTACACATTTTTAGTTTTATTTAACAATCTGTTAGTCTAAATTAATTGAAACATATAAGCTGTATATACTTTTGTAATAACCTCGTAAACACTTATTTTCACATCCCATACGAATTTTTTATTTTGGGCAAAAAATTTTTTTTATTTTCCACACAAATTTGCGCCTGAAATCACATTTTCATGTTTAATAACATCCGTACGCCGTTCGTGCCAACAACACTCACGTTTTCAAGACGAATCTAACGACGCGGTATGAATCATCAAAATCCGTTAAGCCGTTTAATAATTACGAGGGAACATAGGACGTACATACGAGCACATACATACATACATTCATATTTTCACATATTATACATACAGGCCAAACACAATGATCTTCCTTTGGGCTTTGCCGCAATTGGAAAAAAATTATAATAAGTTCTTATTATTTTCGTAGTTCTATCTACATTTTTTATAATTTCAACCATTATATTATTATGTACATATTTTAATCTTTATCATTAATTATGAGTAATATTTCAACATTTTTAAAATATAAATGTATAAAATACCATGCTTATAAATAATATAATTGAGCTTACTTATGTATGAAGTTGATTAACTTTGATTGCGGATTGTTAGGGCTTACTCTCTCTGGTGTTAGTTTAATTTAATATTAATATTCAACATAAACACAGAAACTTATAACGTCTGCGACTCGGTTATATCGGATCAGTATTTTTTTATAAACAATGTATCACGTATAAATCCATCTATCCCAGAAAATATAAAAAAAAGCTTTTATTGATTAAATAATATAAAACTGGGAATCGAGCATAGTAACAAGCCATTACTTTACTCAGACGCGTATTACATAGTATTTTTTAAGCAAAGTAATATCCTACGAATACTCCATTAACCGTAAATAAGTAGCATAAGGTCATTATAAAATCATGTGATTATAACTATGTATATACTATATTCGGCACGTTTGGCTCAGTTTGTAGTGACCCTACTTGCTGTGCCAGCGGTCGCGGGTTCGAATCCCGCTAGGGGCATTATTTGTATATGATGAGCACGAATGTTTGTACTCCAGTCATGGGTGTTTATATTTATAATATGTATGTATTTAAAGTTATAAATGTGTAGTGTATCAACTATCTGGTATCCATAACACATGTCTCGTAACTTACTATGGAACTAGATGGTGCTGTGTTAATGTCCCAATATATTTATTTGTTATTATTTAATACATATCATATATTCGACATTCTTTTTCATTTAAAAAAGGTTGTTATATGATAAAAAGCTTTTTCAAATAAAAAAGAATGTCAAATCATTTCGTACTTGTGGTATAAAATAAAAGTACAAACCAAAAAACTCATCATAAAAACTGACGAACCGTTTGCATTTATATTGAACGTATGGATCTCCATAATAAATCTTATCTTTTTATACTTATATTTTTTTGTAACATGGAGAACCGTACGGAAAAATATTTGTATTGAAAATAAACGTCTAAACAATGCTAATCAGACACAAGCAACATCTAACTACGTTCATTGGATACTAAAGAAATATTCAATAGGTGTCCAGACTCCAATTCAAACGTATGGTGTCCCCTGACTTCGCTCACGTGATGTCCTTACACGCGGGTGAAGCTTACGCTATGCAAAATCTTACCAAGACCGATCGACTTGGATTATTGTTATCTGGAAAGGTATGTATTCCCGCAGACGACATTCATATATTACTACGAGTACAATAGTATTCCTATACATAATTACAAACGGACATTTTTAAAATATTCTATTATATATTAAAATATAATATTAACAATATATAGATATTAATTTACATTGATTTGTAACTAATCTTTATATAAGTCATTTTGTATCTACTTTGTAAAATACTGGTATCATTTTGTGTGCGAAGTCAAAGCCATAAGTTAAGTGAATATTTAATTTTATGAATATAAAGTTTAAAGGTTTGCAAGTCGCTTATGTTTTTAAATCCTTCTATATTTTAGAGTTTCGAACATTTTTAATAGCTTTCAGTGGTAATGGACCTCAAGCTATTCAAGTCTTATTCATGAATAAGAATCATAAATCTTAAAGACGTAGTAGTTCCAGGTAAAGCATCTGTATAATATCAGTTTCTATTTGAAATATTTATTACTTATAGTTTAAAAATCGTGACAAAAGTGAGTTAGCCATGTATAATGAGGTATAAAAATTGTTACGTATTTATGAAAAACTTATTTAAATTTTAATTTAATATTACATTAACAATTTAAAATTACACTGAATTGCATATTCAAAAGTTTAATTCGAATATCAGTCAAAAAGCTCGTTAGCGTAATTGTTTTAAATTTAAAGTTGCGACTTAAAAAGGCCATTTGAAACACGATATCAGTTTCCTTTAAAGCTTGCTATTAAATAGAGTTAGTAGGTTTACTGTATAATAACACTATTTTTACATAAACTTTACTTTCATGGAAGAAAGGAAAACTTGATGAAATATGAACAAGCTCTCAACGTAGGTACTTGTTGATTAAGTATTTACGAATTAGCATTACCGTTATGTTGGTGGGATCACTTAAGTGAAGCCACTGTTACGGTTAAGAATTATGCAAATTGCAGGCTTGTTTCACAGATCGTTACCAGTGGGGAAATTTAAAACAATTTTTGCTGGTACACGTGCCAATGTTTGCGATGTACACCTATTGCGGTCATGGCTGCCAGATTTGAAATCACGTTACGTAGATAAGAAATAAAACTACCTATGTACCTATAAATTGAAATTAATACCTAGGTAAAATTTTAAAATCTTCTCATAGTTCACGGACTATTTTTTTATCGGTATTTATACTCGTCCTTTAATAAAACTCAGTGGTAACGCACTCGCTTGAGCAACTTAGTGAAGCGGGTTCAAATCCCGAGTCTCGCACCTCTGATTTTGTCCTGTGCTAATCATTTTCAACATATGTAATTGCCATTGGCTATACGGTAAAGGAAAATATCGTGAGGAAACCTTTATGTCTGAGAGAACCTAGGAAGTTTTCGTAGGTCATTTGAAGTAAATATACCAACCCACACTTGGCCAGTGCCTCGCGTTGAAAGGAGACCAGTGCCCAGTAAGTTTACAAATTACTTTTGCCTTATGAGAGACATGTCTTACCGTAATTAATTTGTTAAAATAAAAATAGTGATAGCTATAAATAATATAATATGTTCCTAACACCCGGTAATGGTTATGACTTGAAAATGCCTAACGACGGAAACGTGCTTTTAAAACGTTTAAAAATGTGTCTCTACGAGTATATTTTGTGGGCTCGGGCTGTTGGTAAATAGATAATATTAATGTCATCACAGTGAGCTATATATAAATAACTATGTTTGGTTTTTGTAGGTAAAATTTAAAAATATTCATAATAATAAATTCAGACTTAAAGGCTCCTAAATTATATCTCGATTATGTTAAATATAAATTAGAAATTATTTTTAAAGTTTGTATTTACACAGCTTTATCATTTGAGTACTTAGTTTAGTCGCAATTTTAATTGTAGTACATCGTGCAATTAAAGATAGAAGTTTTTAGGGTTACAAATTTGTTATTAAAAAAAAATTATGCCATAATTATTTTGATTAATTTAGTGGTGTATTCATATAACGTCTACATAGTATAAAACAAAGTTGCCATCTGAGTCTGTCTGTTTCTCCGCTTACTTCTAAACCACGATTTTGAAGATTTAAAAGTGCTTGTAATAATAAGTTCTTGAATAAAATTCCATTTCAATTAATTTCATTTAACGCAACGGATTTTGATACGGTTCTCACTAATAGATAGAGCGATAAACGGGAAATGTTTGTGTATATAATTTGTAAATATACTGTACAAATTGATTAAGCCTAGACGGTGTTTATTGTCACAAAAACTATTTTCGTACCATTACATGGCTAGCGCTGGCTTCACTTTTAGAGATAAAACAATGTACTAGAAAATTATGGGTCTTAAAAAGTCCGCGATAGAATGTGTTAGGAGATACCTAAGGTACGCTCACAATAACTATTTTTGTCTATATAAAACGTACATAAGAGAAGGAAGTACGTACATAAGAGAAGCGAGGGTAAGTTTTTAGTTTAGTGACGACACGTTTGGCTCAGTTTGTAGTGACGCTACTTGCTGAGCCAGTGGTCGCGGATTCGAGTCCCGCTGGAGGCATTCATTTGTGTGATGAGCACTATGTGGGTACTCCAGTCATGGTTGTTTATATTTATAATATGTATGTATTTAAAAGTTATATATGTGTAGTGTAGTGTATGAACTGTCTGGTATCCATAACACAAGCCTCGTAGCTTAACATGGAACTAGATGGTGCTGTATGTTAATGTCCCAACATATTTATTTATTTATTTATAGTATATTTTATATTTGATCGTGATATATAATTTTGTATTTTTATATCAACAGGTGAACGTAATGAGCGGACATCAATTTTTACATCCAATTTTGCCTTGTGAGTTTCTGGATTCTCCTGAATTTGAATCTAGTAGAGCTACAATCGACGAAAAATTTAAGGTGAGAAATTTAATCGTAAAAAATTGATATAGTTTATTTTCTTTTACATTCATATTTAGTACTAGCATTCCCCGCGGCTCCGCCCGCGTTCATTTGACCAAAACCAAATTCTTAGGTTTTATATATTATTATACTCGTATTAGTATATTAGTTGACCCGGATAACCAGCTATTACCATACCAAATTTCTTCAAAATCCCTCTAGTGATTTTTCTGTGATGCGGTAACAGACAGACAGACAGACAGACAAAAATTCTAAAAACTATAGATCCGGCCTCTGTATCAATAATAATGTCTATTTCAATAAGATTTTCTAAAAAATATTTAATGTACAGATTTGACTTAATTAGAATTTTATTATATGTATAGATAGTGTCTCCATAAGTATACTTACTAATGTGGTAAATGTTAAAAAAGTGATTTTTCAAAGGTACAATTATTACTTTTTTATACCTACATATACAAAAAACCTGCTATTTAAAAAATTTCTTGTTACAAATATTTTAAAAGAAGATTCGAAGTCTCTTGAAAATAATATAACACAATTTTTTTTAAGTTGGCAAATTAAATGATACATAAATAAACAATTTAAAATATGCAAAAAAAGTATTTATCAATATATGTACCTACATTTGTAGTTATTATTTTATCATAATAGGTAAATTATTTAAATTACGTGTAATTTTGCTGGCTTCTAATCAATATAATAGTATGCCTATATTTAACGTAAGTATGAATATTAAGCTATGCAAATGCTTATGGCCCCACATAAATTATACTTACGGCTATCATAACTTTACTTTTTGTTAACATGTTTGAACTAAAGTATTATAAATTGGCTTACAGTGTTAAAATTTTTATTTTGAGTTTAGTTTATATCCCGCTTTCATGTCGTGTAGATATGTATGTACCTATGTATGTGGACACACTGTATATTTAATAAACTGTAGCGGTTTTACTATTTATTTTTATTCATATTTTTTGTCATCTATACATACCTATAATAAAATTGTAACTAAGCCGAATCTGTACATTAAATATTTTTTGGAAAATCCTTTTGAAATTTACATTATTATCGATACAGAGGCCGAATCTACAGTTTTTAGAATGTTTGTCTGTTTGTCTGTTTGTTACCGCATCACAGAAAAACTACTGAAGGGATTTTGATGAAATTTGGTATGGTCATAGCTGGTAATCCGGTTCAACATATAGGATACTTTTTACCGCGAGAAAAGATCTCATTTCTGAGAAAAAATACAAAAACTGTAATATATGTAAGAGTATACTAATATGTAAAACCTAAGAATTAGGTTTTTGGTCATCTAAACGCGGGCGGAGCCGCGGGCAATGCTAGTCTGAAAATAATTCTCAAAATTAGATTTCATTTAACCATTACCGTTATAGATACGTTCTATCTATTATTGTATCAACGTCACCACATACCTGTATAGTGTACTTAGTTAAAGTGCTTTTTCATCAAGTAAATATGGAGTAGACAGGGTGTGACTAGAATAATACTAAATTAATTTTATTTTTTCTTAAGATTTAGGTTAGGTGGCTTAAAAAAAAATAAAGCTAAAGCTGATAATTTCTTTTTGAATATCTCGTGTTTAGTGCTTGGGCGAAATGTCCATATATTTTATAACTAGTGTATGTTTGTGTATGTGTATACATATCTCATACATATCTCTAGAAAGCTGATCGAATATCAAGGTTTTTTTATCAAGCCAGTAATACTATTATAATATATTCAAACTTCCTTCCAAATATACTGTCTCCAATATGTCCTAAGCTCTATATTCTACGCGTTCCCAAATAAAGCTAGTGGTGGAGGATTAAACAGATTAAACAGGCAGCTTAATTCGAAGGCAGAAGTTAGTTCTGACTATAAATTAAGATTTTAGTATGAGAACTTTTTATATGACGTATATATATCGTTTAAATCTCTGTCATCAGTGGTTTAGGTAGAGCGTTTTCCTTTATCGAGTCACGGTACCGCTGTGTACATCTATCTAGATAGTAAGTAGCGCTTTGATAAGCTTATCACTCGTTAAACCTTTTTAATGTTTCGTTGCCGCTACCGGTACAAACAAACAAATGGACTTAATGACATTATACTCGAACTACAGTCTACACCAGCCATACTCAACCTTTTTTTATAGGAGCCACAAACACGTTGCAGTCATGGTGTCGAGGGCCGCAAACAAAAATTATTTAGCTCTTAATGAAAACGTAATTCCAAGTTAACGATGTAGTTACTTTTAACTAAGATATGTTATAATGCGATTTTTGATGCTGCCGCATGCGGCCCGCGGGCCGCAGGTTGAGTATAGCTGGTCTACACGAACGACACACTTTATTAGTGTAAAAGTGATTTTTAATACTTAGTACGTAAATATTTATAATAATTGTATAGTATTATTATATACTGGGCTACAAAATCCAAAAAAAAAACTTTACTGGAAATCGGAATAGAAGTTTCAGAAGTTAGTCCGTTTCAACAAATAAAATAAACTAACAATTTCTTCAGCTTTATAATATTAGTATAAAATATATGTTTAATGTTTATATTATACTAGGCTTCGCTCTCGCTAAAAAATGCTAAAACACGATTTATTTAATTGTATTGAAGAGTGTTTATGTTTTCAAGTTTCAAGTAATTCTGGTCACAAATAATGTTTGGGTTGTACCATAACGTGTTTTCCCGTGGGAATGAGATTATCTCCCGCGGTAAAAAGTAGTCTATGTTACTCTTCAGCCCTCCAACTATCTCCACACAAAAAATTATACCAATCCGTCACTCCGTTTCGATGTGAAAGAAAGACAAACAAAGAAACAAACAAACAAACACACTTTCACATTTATAATATTAGTATGGATTTACCAAGATAAACTTTAGAGCGAGATGTAACTTTTACTAAAGTATTTTAAATTCTCTCTCTCTCTCTCTCTCTCTCTCTCTATATATATATATATATATATATATATATATATATATACATACAAATATATATATATATTTGTATATATATGTAATGGTAGCTATTTATTTATTTTATTTGTATTTTGTTTTACTAACATAGTTCTTAAGTAATTATTGTACTAACCAACTATGAGCCTATGTTGCTCGCAAATAAAAGATTTTTATTTTTATTTTTTATTTATTTATTTATATATATATTATAAATTAAGTGAACAGTTTGATTTTACAACAAAATCTCTGCATCGTTTTAGCGAAAAGGTCTATCGGTCAATCTTTGTCGTGTCGTTTCCATTGTATGCGGCATTGCCGTAGCAAACTGCCCAACTGCCGCGCTCAAAAGCCGCAAAAAAAGGATTTAAAGTGAAAAGGTTACTGTAGTAGTCGACTTTGATCTTTTTTATAGCTAAAAATTCTTTCGCCTTTCGCCTGCCTGACCTTTCAGTAAAATGTTACGTGCAACGCAATTGACAAAGGTCCATAACGCCTATATAGATCATCCGTGTATACATTATTGTACTCAAATGTTAAAAAGTTCTCTAGTAAGCTAAATTATGAATCCTTTTAATGCTTCAATCTATACATATAATAAAATTCTAACTAAACCGAATCTGTAGGTACATTGAATATTTTTTGGAAAATCTTATTGAAATAGAATTATTATTGATACAGAGGCCGAATCTATAGTTTTTAAAATTTTTGTGTGTCTGTCTGTCTGTTACCGCGTCACAGTAAAATTACTGGAGGGATTTTGATGAAATTTGGTATGGTGATAGCTGGTTATCCGGGTCAACATATAAGATACTTTTTACTTTGGGAAAATATCTTATTTCTGAGAAATCTATACTAAACTTTAAAACGTAACGAGCGGAGCGAGGGTGAGTCGCTAGTACTTAATATTTCTATAAATTATATGACTAATTCGGTTCTTGGTTTAAGTGGCTATTTTAATTAATATAGGTAATATGTCTACACGCAAGTTGCGTAGTTTTTTATTTGTTGTAAAAATGAATTTGTGAACATTCATTCTATACAGATACGGTAAAAACGCATATTAACAATGATATATTGTCCACATACATAGTATAGCGATATATAAGTTTGCCATGTTCAAGTTGAAACCTCCAGGGAGTTAAATAATGGAAAACTCCACTACTATTACTCCTTATGGACGAATTCTGTTTTCAGGCAATATTATAAATGATGGCTTTGCACATAAAACCTGGGAGCGTTTTATAACTCAAGCTATTTACATGGTGTCGTTTAAACATAAAAATAACCTACAGGCTACCTACAGATGATGTCATGTCCCACTATCGATTAGAATACGCATTAAAAATACATTACAATTATTCATATTTTGTATGCGATAGCCCGTACATTAATTTACTTACAATGCAATTTTTATGTATTCTAAGCATATAATTCAATATAATTACTGAGACTTATTTACTTTGATGAATATGGTAGAGCACATTTTTGTATAATAATAATAACAATTTTGTACACTATGTAGGCAACTCTATTAAAATATATGTAAATGAATTCTAAAAGCTTTCAATATATATGTGTTAACGAGTAATAAAATGGCTTTTACTATCAATTAAGCGCATACGTCATAGTAAGATTTCGAGAAGCCCACCCTATTCCGGTGACCTGATTGTTGTCTAATACAGCTATATAAAAGCAAAGTGCCTATAAATGCAAGAAACTGGGTTAAATATCGATGAACTCCAAACACTTTCGTCTATGTCCGACATCGACTTATTACTTACCTGTGAAATTGTTTGTTTACCATGAACTATATAGCCAGAGCAATTTTCTGTAAGCATTTGCTTAACAATTATTTATCGATGCACAACAAAATTTTTCGCGAAACAAACCTAAGCTATTTTGTTTTACTTCGAAAACTTTAACCTTATATTTTCTGTTATACGATATCTTATACTTTCATCTAAATAGGAGGTTTTATTTGGTAGGCAAGTAATTATGAATAGCAAAATGCTTACACGATTAACAAACAGAAAAATTCTTGGAAATTATTGGATGACTTACAAGATTTAGCAGGCAGGCACCTAGCAAATATCAGGTTTATAAATATTATAAGTAATAAGCCTAGAGTCCCTTCACTACTACTTATTAATTATAATTTTGTATCTTAAGAATGTATTTAATTAGACGACTGCAAATACTTCTTTAACGATTAACTTTTTCATAATTAGTCAACGTTTTTATTGGTTTTTAAAGAAATAGCAAAGTATAAACTTTTTAATCAAACTTAATTACGAGTGTTTATTTAACTTTTTTTTGTTCGTGTAGATACTGTATATCTGATCCAATTACATACATATATGAATAGAACAGTAACATATATATAAAAGTACTGTTTTATGTTTATTTTAGTTCCGCTTATCGTACTGATACAAAAAGTGACAGCGTTGTGATTGTTAAACCTAGCAGGGCCCTTAGTATTTAAGATGAATATTTTTATCCATATTAATATTATAAGTATGAAAGTGTGTTTGTTTGTTTGTTTGTTTGTTTGTCCTTCTTTGGTAGAGGAGGGCTGGAGAGTGACATAAGCTACTTTTTATCGAGGGAGATTATCTAATTCCCACGGGAAAACGTTATAATACAATCCAAAAAAATATTTATGATCGGAATTACTTGAAACTTGGTACTCTTTAATAAAATTAAATAAATACGTGTTTGAGCATTTTTCGAAATTTATTCTATAATAGAGTAAAATAGGAGATGAAAGTTTGTATGAAACTAATTTTTTAATATTTTTTTGTACTTTTAGAGCGGGCGCGGCTTTAATATATTAGATAAATGCAAATAGCTTAAACCTAAAACAATATGCAAGTGGTTAGTAAATATCTTGCAAACCGCAAACGTTGATGTGCTCTAATGAAGCGTCACTTAATTGTATTACCTAATTAGTCATAACACCTCATTAATTATAAATGCCTCCATGTATTCATCCATGTACAAATTAATCCAAGAATCGATGGTTCAACAGGTGAAACGAACATATCTCTTCGGATTTTGACGCGAATTTGTAACATTTTAAAATTAACTATATAAAAATTTTGATACGTCAAAAACGTTTTTCTCTACCTTGACCATATTGCCGTGATTGCTGTAAAGCATTCGAAACGTCGGAAACCAAAAATGAAAATAAATTCGCCAAAACACATAACCCGAAAAGATGGTTTTATTTAAAATGTCAAATTCTCGCGTAAATCTAACATAGTATTACGTTTGACAGGTTTCAATAGTAGCTGCATCATCATGTCGCTACGTATACTGGCAGCGCAGTTCATTAGAATACTTATTTGTAAAAGAGCCGTATCTAGCGTGCGTAGTGACGACATTGATCGCACGCGATATCACGACAAAACTGTACGCAATGAATAGTAAAATAGTCACCGAGAGGGGCGCCCATTTAGATATACGATTGCCGAGTATATCGCACGCTCTCGCCAGAAGTCCAAGGAGATTGCGATCTGCGAACAAACCGCCGCCTCCGACTACCGTACAGCCGGTACCCCCAGAGAAAAGGCCAAGTGAGTACTAATTATATAGAAAATGCTTAAAAATTTTGTTTATGTTTTGTATATATATGGAAATTTTAGTTGTTACGGGTAACTTGAGAATGAGAATGAATGAGAATGAGAATGATAATGAATGAATAATAATGACCGATCTATATATGTAACGCCCGAATCACATGGACAATGTGAGTTAACCAAATGATGAATCACTTTTCCCGGTCAGTATGAATAATGACTAGGGCAGTCTTGGGCAATATAATAATATAATAACAGATGAACTGTAGTATTTTTGTTTATTACATGAAATTAAACTTTCATAATTTTTATTGAAAAATACAAAAAAAAACAATTGAGCATAGTAGTTTAAAGTAAGTAAAACAATTAAACGTAATAACATCAGTAGATTACCTTATTTTTATTTTGATAAAAATATTACATATGAACAACATATTTAAAAATTAATTAGTAATCTAGGAAAAATTAACTGAAATATTTGAATTCTTATGATTGTGCAAGAATTTTATTAAGATTAGAATTATTTACTCTTGCAAGGCGAGCTTTTGTGACATTTTGAATTACAAAGAATGTTTGATTTCTGTATCACTGCGAACTAACACGTCGTTGCGTGCGCTCGCGGCCCTCCCCGTGCGCGCCGCACGCGCGCTGCACGGCAAGACCGATTTTTTATTTATTTCTGTACCACTAAATATATATCATATAATATATTTATCATATTGCCTGGCTAGAAGTAGGGAAGTATTCATACTGCCCGGTCCAAGCGATAAGTTCAAGCTATTTCAAACCTTGATTTTTTAAATGAAGCTTGGGCCGTCGGACATTATTAATATGGGCCGGCCAAAGTATAAAATTTATCAATTTAACCTACGCTCTTGGTCATTATTCACAATGATCGGTCCATATTAACACTGCCCGGTTAATCAAGTTGCCTGTAACATAATCATATTATGATATATAACTATTCTATAACAATATTTAGTCGTTACCAAAAATTTTTCTTCAACTCATATGAAAGGTTTTTCAGTTTCCAAGAATAACACGAGCAAGCCTTAATAAAGTAATTGCAATAAGCTTAACGTTGGCTATCGGCCATAACAAAATTTGCGTAAGTGAAAACTAAATTATGGTCTTGTTAATTCCATTGACACCGAGAGAAAAATCACTTGACACAGTTCGTAGTTCGTTCGTACTATAGCTAACCTAAATTGAATTTCACGAGAAAGGCTTACTAGGGATTGCATAAAGAAAAAAAAATTTTACGTTTCTAAATAATTTTCAGAGTTACATTTTGTTTTGCACCAATTTTTTTGGGTATCTGTGTTATGTAATTTATGGAATTAGTAATTTATCAGGTTACTGGACAAAGGAGAGCGATAATACTGGCTTGAATATAGCAAAGCGTAATGGAGTAGCTAGTTGTTATCCCGATGGGGATGAGGAGTTGATACCACTCGCCAGCAATGAAGCGCCCACCGGTTCTTCTGACGAGCTTTCTATAGCCGATAGCTGTCCGGACACTTCCTCCAAGTATCACAGCTGTGAAGCGGTAGAAACTGATGATGAACTCAGGCATTAATCGGATTAAGATGAGGCTACGCATATAGCACAAGATATACACTAAATTTGACCATCGCCCATCTGCTTAATAGGTGAAAATTATTTTGTGTTACATATAGTATTTATAAATAAATGTATTTAAATAAGTTGTTTAGTAAAATATCGTCAAGCCTGCTTATAGATATTTTTTATTTCTTGTTTGACATACCTATTAGTTGCCTAATTAATCTTACATTAATTGAATGTACAAAAATGAATTGAATCAACAAGCAGAAGTTAGGTAACTGACAAAAAACCGGTCATAAAGCAGAGTTACCAGGCTTCAAAATGCACAAAATCAAACCAAGGTAAAATGTATGATGGAAGACAGATTAGCGATATAATATTCATAGTATTTTGTGTGATATCAAAAGAAATGGCAAGTTAGTAAGTAAAACAAGTAAAGTATTTTATTATTTTGAGTAAATTGATCATTTTTCACTAGGTATCCTGCGAGGTTTTTGTTTAAATATTATGTTGAACAAAATACTTTTTCTAACGGTAAGCAGATGAGTCAAAGGCGAGATTACTTCTGATCTTAGACTACAACAATCACTATTGTATATAAGTCATCATGTGATAGCTTATTATAACAAATTTAAAACAATCAAGTTTGTACTTATCGCATAAAAAATACTTTGTATCTATTACTGCTTTTGGTATATATATGTATAATGTATATGTATATATAATATACTTGTCATAATATTACTTCCAAAATATTAACAGTAAATTCAAGTTAACTTTTGCTAAATTCTCTTATTAATATACGTAAACCAAATTTCAATTTTAAGGCACTAAAATAATAAAATTTAATCTAAAATTGACTTTTTAAGTCAAATGATTTTTGCTTGCTTTAAATAAATACTAGTCATACGAAAAATAAAGAATAAATGCAAAAAATAATTGTTTTTATTTCACCCACTTTACACATAATTAATATTTTCATTTAAAATGATTAGAATCATTTTAAAACAATATTTTATGATTATTAAAATGTAGGTAATTATGTGAAGTAAAACTTACATACTTAAATACATTTTGTCGCTTATGAACTCACTAGCGACTTACTCTCGCACCGCTCGGGCTGGTCCCTAGGTACGTTTTATCGGTTAGTATAGATTTCTAAGAGAAGAGATATTTTCCCGCAGTAAAAAGTGTCCTATATGTTGACCCGGATAACTAATTATCATCATACCAAATTTCATCAAAATTTGTCCAGTGGTTTTCTCGTGATGCGTTCCCAGACGGACAGCCAAAAATTTTAAATCTATAGATTCTGTATCGATAATAATGATAATTTCAATAAGATTTTCCAATAAATATTTGATGTACAGAGTCTACTCAGTTAGAATTTTATTATATGTATAAATAAAATTCAACCCCAAAAATCTTATAAAATTTCTGAATATTTTTACTTTCTGTATATAGAAGTTTCGAATAGCTTTAGCGTGATTATTAATGTAAAGAAAAATTACATAATAGCCGAACAGAGTCTTTTCAATCTATTTCTATGCAAATACCCATGGCTATTCGCAGTCATTGTGAACGCGATTGTGGAACAAATAAAACTATGAAGCAAGTAGCAACATAGCTGTTACGTTCATTTTAGTAGAATTACTTTTATGCGAAAGAGTTACCAGTAAATTTATTATGAAATTTTCCTGACAAAAAATACAATCCCTACATACCTATTTACTTATATTTACATGATTCTACATATTTTTTTTTATTTCATTATATCATGTTATGGATAATAAAGAAAATTACAAATATACATAATTATATATACAAAACATATGTACACTTAGTTATTACTGTACAAGTCATGTCCGCGTGGAATAGTGGCAAGAATGCTAGCCGCATTCCCCCGTTGAATGGAAATGCCGATTCTTTGGGCGAAAAATGCGCCAGCCCTCCTGTCACCAGTAGAGGTAATAAGACGGGGTGTTATGTCTTTTAAGAAGAGCTTAGCACTTTGACTCCATGGGCCAAGGGTTTCTACAGCAATAAACTTTCATAGTTTTATGAAAATAGAATTTAAAATGTATAATCACACAACAATTAAGTATACACTAGAAATGCAAGTAGTGGTAATAATACTTAGCTTAATAACAATAATTGGGCCCTTTATTAATAACATCAGGCTATCCATAGCTAAAATAGAGTGCGCGTCAGCCTTCAGTACGGGCGCGGAACCAATCAATCAAGTGGAACCGATTGAGTTATCCGCTCACTATCCATTACGCTATGTACGCAGGACACGCACACATATGTACCTTAAAATTACATTTATGTATTATTAAGTACTTGCTTTTAGATGTGCCAAAAATATAGATTTATTGTTATTACTTAGCTTATCTTTCCTTCATTATTTTCTATGATTGTTGGTTTTCAATGAAAACTAAGTCGAGGAAAGGAAAAAATGGGAGTACTATAAAGATATAGGATAATATTGCCCGAATATGTATGAATATGCACATCATATTTGTAAGTATATAATATATTATATTCAATTTCTGTCAATAAATAATTTCAAATAATTATTAACTTTTAAGTCAGCTTAACCGTTATAGTTACAATAATACTCTTTACTGACCTTTAAAAATGAAATTAAAATCATTACAATCCTGATTCACCTGAATGAATTGAAGAAGTAAATTTTCACACTTTAACTACAGAATAGATGTTCATGAATAATGATATAGATTGCGCCATGGGGGCAGATGGAGGCTACATTTTATTTCCTAAGGTACATTTTATCTCCAAGGTGCTTTCGTGGAAAACGTGAAACGTCTATTTCAGCGAGAGTCGGTTTTAATGTTAAAGATTGGTATGAAAACAAAGTTGATCGTTCTAATTGTTTTTATACTATACTGACACTGGATAGATAGTGTTTATAAAGTTCCTTAGATTAGTATTGCACAACAAAAGAAACATAAGGCGTTATCTACTAATCGTAAGAGTGCCTTGGCAGCTTTGAGACGCCTTCAGAATCCTCTTGCTCGCTCAACGCCGGACTTTGGGGTAAGTATGCGTAGCCCATAACCCCCTCCTTCCGATGCCAATCGTGATTTATATTTCCGGCTGGCTGCACGAGCTGAGACGACATATTGTAGTTACAACTTACACCGAAAAGAAAGGATCGAGAACGGCGATTTCCGTTATTCTACACAGAGCCCTATCCCAGCGAGCTGACTGCTAAATATTGACACTAGATTTATGTTTCTAAGACTAATTGTTTTGTAATTAAGGTAAGACGATACGGATTATTTCGTTACGGTCCACGTTTTTGACCGAAACTTATGGGGTACCCGATATGTTTCGGTGTGATTTTAAAGACGTTTCACATCAAAAGTAGTCTGATATAAATAAAAATGAATCACCAAAATATATACAGTACGCGCATAACGTCCGATCGACTGCACCAAATTGGATAATTCTTTTTTTTTTGTATTTGTTATTGTCACGACAAGTTTTGTATATAGAAGAAAATGAAAATTTTTTTTTTACTAAAATAATATTTTTTTAAATCTCATGATATGAAAAGTGGATGACGTAAGAAGATAGTTTGAGACCCTGGAAAGGACATAGGATAGTTTTTATCCCGGAATTCATCCCTTAAGGGGGTGAGAATGAGGACGAAAGTTTGTAAGGGGAAGCAAGCTATTGACGAACCCGAGCGAAGCGAGGGTGAGTCCTTGTTAATGATACGTGTAAGCCGTTTGAAACTCTTTAAAAGGCATTCTTCAAGTCTAGTATGACGAAACAAAAATACAAAATGTAAAAAAAATATAGAATAATATATTGATTTCCGAATATTTTTAAAACGTTTTACAGTGCTAATACTCTTTAACGGATTACAATCACAATTGTTGGGAAGTGTAATTAAAAATATCGGGTTTGTGGCATGCAATATATTCGTAGGGGATTTGGATGATATGCAATATCCATTAGTATTAAAACCAGATTTATTTAACAAATTAATATATGATCTGCTAAATAGTGATATGATAGTTTTAAACATTAATATGTACGAGTATATAGGTAGGTACTTTGCATAAAATTAAAAAATCTTAGCCTAACCTAGTATTGAATTATAATGATAGGTTCTTTCAAATTCTTTTAGTTCAAAAAATGCGTCATGTTGTTTAAGTATTTAATCTTTACCTAAAGGTGATATTAGTTTTTAGTAAAGAAAACTACAGTTTAATACGCCAGCAACGATATCACCTCCACAGACCTGTTTCGTGTTTGTACCCACTGGATATTTCTCTATGTCGTAGGTACTACATTATTTAGCTGCGGGAAGGTTTGCCAGACATTGTGAATAATGACGCGGGCGATGACCAGCCTGCACTACCTACATTAAAAGAAATAGCTATGAAGCCAATCATTTACCAACTTTCATAGGTATGTCTAATTAATTTTAAAGGGTTGTAATAATTAAATTTGAATTTTAAATAAGAGTAATAATAATAGTTGTCTTTTCATGCTAATATATTTCATAACATACTATTATTATAAATGTGAAAGTGTGTTTGTTTGTTTGTCTTTCTTTCACGTTGAAACGGCTTGGCGGATTCGCGTGATTTTTTGTGTGGAGATAGTTGGAGGGCTGGAGAGTGACATAGGATACTTTTTAGTGCGGGAAATTATCTCTTTCCCACAGGAAAACACGTTATAATACAATCCAAAAAAATATTTATGATCATAATTACTTGAAACTTGGTATTAATGCTCGTCAATAAAATTAATTAAATACGTGTTGTAGCATTTTTCGAAATTCACCCTATAAGGGGATAAAATAGCGGATGAAAGTTTGTATGAAACCTACCATTTTAGTTTTTTGTAGTTTTAGCGCGAGCGAAGCCGCGGGTTCTGCTAGTATTTTATATATTAATTTAAAGTTTATTGTCCATCAATACCAAAATATCGTTATACTTTTGTTTAATATACCTATCATAAATTACTTGG